CTATTTTTTCTATTTTTAAAAATGCAACGCATCTGGCGGTATTGAATAATGAGAGTAGTCCTATATGTGTAAAATGCTCCGGACCTATAAGGTGTTCACATGAATCGTATATGCTTCTAGGAGGCAATAGAGGAGATAATAGCATTAATTAAATTTAGTACCACAAAATATCCAAAAAAAACCTGCGTAGACATCTAGCGCCTATAGGCCAAATGAACACATTACGGGACCTAAACAGTGAGAATCAGGTATACTATTACGGATAACCTGCTAATCAAACTCGCCGTAAATTGGCGTAGCGCGCTCATTTTTTTGTTCAAAAAACAATTTCAAATTTGGTGACAAAAAAATTCAGTAAGATGGGTGTATTCGGATTTTCTTTATATCATACGTGTCCCGGTGTTTTCACGCATTTTCGTGTGCTTACATTTATTTCATCATTTTCAAAAACGTTTAAACCTCAAATATTAAACAATCAAAATCGAACTCAGGCAAATGAAAAAAAAATATTTTGAGACAATTCTAAAATCTTATGAGGTTCGTTGAGAGGCTAACGTGTCTCTATAATATTTTAGATTTGTCTCAATAAACTTTAGGAAATCTCATAAGATTTTAGAATTTATCAATAAGTTTCAATGAATATTGTGAGACTTTAAAGTTTATCAATAAGTTTTAGATTTGTCTCAATAAACTTTAAAGTTTATCAATAAGTTTTAGATTTGTCTCAATAAACTTTAGAATATATCAATAAATTTTAGATTGTTCTCAATAAACTCTGTCCAATATTATGTAATATCATACGTTATCGAGCAATTTTCACACAAATAGAATGTAATAACATCCATAATAATTGAATATGTATGAACATTTCATTTATTACAATATTAATGCGAAATGAATATATTAATAATAAAAATCAGAAAAAAAATAAATGAATCAATTTATTCTTTTCGCATTTTCTCCTTTTTCTGCGAATGACGCACAACGTTGCTATAAGGAATTCGTTGCATATACTGAAAGAAAATGTTGAACTTACAAATTTTGATGATTGAATTTGTCGTTTTTCGATTAATTTCATGAGTTCTTTGCGATAAAATGACTTCTTAATTAAATCCGGATTCGCGTTGAAACGCATTTTCAATGAAGTCACAATCTCGTGATATAGTTTATAACTGAAAATTGCCAGTTTTAAAAAATAACTGAATGAGTCTAACTTTCTCAAAATACTATATCCAATCCCGTTTGTCTGTTCCGAGCACATGTTTCTCTTGATAACGTGATAAATGTGCTCATGCGCTTGCGTGCTTATTGCCGACAGCTGACCATGACATTACTGTACAAATGGTATATAAGTTGCTGAAACAATAAATACAGTAATCATTAGTATTATTTCTTATATCAACGACAATAGCATGATGCTACAACGTTCAATAACTCTTAAAATTGCAAAAAAAAACGACTTACGTGCACTTTTGAACCAGAAAACAATTGAGGCGCCCCATCTCAAATTAGAATTTCTAATAATTTGCAAATACCTGCGATCTGAAATAAAAATTTTCTATTATGTACATAGCTAACGATCCCATATTACTTTGTTTGGTAATGTTGTATTTGTAACTAAGCGAGTCGGTGACACCATCCATCGGTAGCAGGCATGTATAAGCAACACAACAGCTGAACCTAACGGAGGGAGGAACCCGATGGCGTTAGAAACAATTTTCACTTCAAAAATCTACAAAGGATGATAATTGCAAGTGGTAAATTAACTTACGCTAGCTTTTTCAGACCCATTAATGTCATTGAATTTTCCCGATAGCGACTTTACCGAAGATGGCAGTCTCGCTTTCACATCAATAGCTTTGCATCGAAAAATATTTATTTCGTTTTTAACGAAGACTTCTAAAAAGCAATCTTCAATTTTTGAAAAAGGAGAGACATAATTGAAGTACCTTTTATTATACGTGTGAAAATTCCCTCGTGAAAAAGGTGGAAAAAATCCATGGCCGCGATCCACATGGGCACCTGCTCATTGAATTTGCTGTATTTACCTCGTTCCTTCAATCCATCGGCCAATGTTTCTGGAATGTTTGTTCCACACTTTTCCCGATCTACAGAAAACATTTAAGATCCTTTCTGAATTTTGAGTAGATGTGCACATTAAAACGCACGTCCGACTTATAACGACATACCTATAACATTTTGGTCGTTGATTTTGAGAATCGTTTCTTGTGAAAGACAGTATGGACACGAGCCAGGTGATGAAAACATTTTCAAATTGTAGACCTTCCTTCGTGCCTAAAGTTTGATAATTTATTTGAGGTTATTTACCTAGAATACCTACAGGATCGTCAAAGACGGCGGTAATCACTTTTCCTCTAAATGTATCTTGACGGCAAATGATTTGATGTTCGAAATTCACGTTGATCCAGTCTATAATTCGATCGTGGATATGGTAATTGGGGTCAATCGATCCGATGTACACCCCGCAAATCATCATCGCGCTTACTAGACTTCGCGAACTGTCTTCGAGATCCATATTTTGTAGTGACAAAATCCAGATTTTCTTGCTGAAATTTGTTTTAATATGGAAAATATTTTTGTTCTTGAGAAGTTTAACCTCCTCAGATTTATTTCAACTCCATCGAAACAAGAACTGAAATGGACGACTGTGCTTGCGCCCGATTCTCTTACAAGAATTTTCTTGGGGAAACTTTCATTCATGAGTGATGAATTACTTTCACCACTTAATACTTTCCTTTGTGCTTCTTTTAATTCGCTTCCATAGCTTTCAACGAAAAGTTTCAGATTACTTTTTACATTGGGTAAAAAAAGTTCGCTTTCCATATATTCGTGACAGAAGCATCTAAAATAAAACATATATATAAATATATACATTTTTTCGAAGTTCACTTCAATTTGTCATTGGCGCAATATGAGCAAACACGTATTCGAGTTGTTTCTGTACCTTCTAGAAGAATTGCCTTCATTGTTTTCTCATTTTCAATGTGTTCGACATCGAAAAACTGTTTAACAGCTGTAGTTAGGCATAATTGTTGATAAAAAAGAATTGTTATACCCTTTTTAGAATTCGTTTCTTGAAGAAGAAATGCAATTCTTGCAAAATCTTGAACGCTCAGAGCTGTCCATAATAATCCTGTAAGAAAACAATAAAAAAAACTTTATGTGTATTTAGTACTTCGATTCCGGTCGGTTTCTACTTTCGAGTCATAGAGATCCTCGATGGCATTTTGTTGGGACCCGAGCGATTCGATATCTGAATATATATATATATATATATATATATATATATATATATATATATATATATGTATATATATATATATATATATATATATATATATATATATATATATATATATATATTTATTTATTTATTTATTTATTTATTTATTTATATAATGTTCAATTTCCGCGTAAATCAAATTTGAACAACTAGCAAACACACGTACCGTTCGAATGTGATACTGCTTCACTTTTTTCTCGCATTCGCCTTATTCTCCACACCTTCTTCGGCTTTCCATCTTTTCTTAGTGCCTCTCCGATTATTTCCTTGGTCACATTTCGTATTCTCCGCGGGGTCATCTGAAATATCGAAATCATTAGAAACTGAAGTATATTTGTAATTAATTGTAATAATTGTGCGCATTTTTTAAATTCATGAACCTGTTCATGCAATGACATGTTTAGGCACAACTGTTTCAAATTCAGCATGTAAAACAATGCAGATTTAAGGTAGTGTTAAACATTTATTATAAAAACTTGCATTTCATGAATACGTCCATCACTAAAGTGAAGAAACTATTACAAAAAGCTAAAAAAAACGGCAGGAACATCAAAAACATAAATTATTGATTGGAATTTAGAAGATCTTAAAAAGAGACGCCGCAAATTGCGTCAGTGAAAGTCATAAGGGCCCTATTCAAATTTTAAAGTCTCACAATATATTGAGATACTTTACACTTTCTCAAAAGATTTAACTTTCTCAAAAGATTTAATTTACAAATTCCAAATTTTTAAAATTTATTGATTCTCAATAAGTTTTAGAAAGTATCAATAGACTTTAGAATTTCTCAAAATATTTTAGAGTTTATCACTGAATATTTGATTCTCAAAATATTTTATTTGATTTGCCTGAGAAGACAAAAAATGGTTGTGGGAAAATCCATAAAAAGCCTTCAAGAACCGCGTTTTTGGCGGAGAATGCAAACGAAACTCCAGGACATTTGCAATACTAGTGGAGTTTCAAGAAAAAACAACGATTTTTAATCAGTTTTTGAGCTTTATCCAAAAAATTTCTCGCGTTTACGATTCTAAATATAAATTAGATACTTATTTTCAAATTTTTGTGCGAGAATATTTTTCTAACTATTGTCGCATAAAATTTGTACCATATTGAATATTTCTTAAAGTTTTTAGCAATCTGATGCAATTCTATTCTAGAAATTCAAAAAAAGCTCAGCGGAAATTCTCCAGCGAATTGTTTTTTTTTATCCAAATGGCCAGTTTCAGTAAAACTCAATTTTTTTGTTCACGCCAATTCTTTTCTTGAATTGTGAATTCTTTAGTTTTCAAAGAATTGCAAACATTTTGATCTACCTTATCATGAGACCTCCCTCCCAACAAAATTGCGGCATGATGGAAAAGACTGCAAATCCGCCTCATCACTTCTCCAAAACTTGGTGTCGCCATGCAATATTACGGAAAGCAAAACATTTCGATCGCGATCCTCACGTACAATTGTTTCGGCGATGTTTCCGAAATCACACGTACAAAAAGTGCGCAAAAGGGATATGGAGATATATTAGAGACGCAGACAAATGATACTTATCACTGGGCGATTATCATTCAAACATTTCCAAATAAGAAAAAACTTCGATTGAGGGATTCATTGAATACATCAATTTATTGAAATCGTTATTTTTCACAACTTATGATTCTATGTAAGTGAATTACTGGCAATATTAAGCGACATTACAGATTTATTGTGCTTCGATCTTCGACTCGCCACCGGTTGTTGTGATTTTAAGAAGACTTCCAGATTTGGGACGGCTTGATGTATCAGTTGTCCATTTGTGGAAGTTTTCCGCAATATATGTCAACGGGGTCCAACTGAAAAAAATGTTCGTTTTCGAACGAACAATGGCATAAACGTATTGTCGAGATTAAAAGTAAAAAAAAATAATGGTCTTGGCTCAAAACTAAGTGAAGATTTGCGGAATTAAGGTGTATACCGCGCACAAAGAAATTTACCTAGTTTTTCTAATGACATTTTGTCAATTAACCGAAGTCCGACAATATTAATTTCTTCATTTTAAACTTTCTATTGAAGATTTCAAATGAAATTATTTATTGAAATATTTATTTTTGATAAAATCCATGTTGTGTCCAATGCGGTCGAAATTCGCAATCTCATGACTTTTGCTTTCAAAAGGTCAACCCGGCACAGCGAAATTTCTCGTTCAAAATGTTCTAATTCGATAATTGCTTTTTGATCCCATAAACCGCGGATAATTGAGTGTCCAATTATCGCCCACAAAATTTCCGAATCAATTTAGTGGAACGATAGAGGCCATTTTAAAGATTATTATGATAATGAAAAATATCTTCTTTGTGTTCATGTCGTTTATGTTCCGAAAGCAGACTATTAATGAAAAAACGAATCAGGTTTTCACCGGTATATTGCAAGATTTTAAATAGGAAAAGTTGAATATGAAAACGTTCTTAAGACGTTCATTTTTCCAAATAACCATTTACCTTGAATGGTCCGCTTTTGGCATCCATTTCCTGTTCATTGGCGTATCAAGAGTGATTGGCAAAATAGCAACAACCGTAGAATCGTCGGGAAGGCCACTGTCTTTCGCGGCGAGAGTTTGGGTAAGTTGATGAACGGCAGCTTTGGCAATTCCGTATCCAATCATGCCAGGGGTGGCTCCGGTAGCGGCAGCTGCTCCAGTGAGCTGGAGAACTCCTCCGGCCTTGAGATGGACAGAAGCCAAACGAGCAGCAATTGTGCTGCTCCAAACCTAGAATTCGGCGCCTTGTGAATGGCCCTCTGATTAAAAAATTACCGATTGTTTCCACATCAAATCGCAATTTTTAATGAAATCCTTGGAAGAAGCTGACCCTCCAGCCCATCCTCCAGCAACGCAAAAGATTCCATCGACTTTCTTTTCTTTCAAAGCGTTAGAAGCTCTATAAAAAAACGAAATTTCCTTAAATTGTTGCAAATTACTCTTTAAGGATGAATTCTTCTTGCTCAGTCCATGAAGATGCCGGGTTTACAACAATGTTCGAATCCGCTTGCTCGTTGGCAGAAAGGTCAATGTTCAAAACTGACTGGAATTTCAAAATTTACTAGGAAATCATTTAAAAAAAAAACGAAGTGTTTTCCCAAGAAAATAATGAGGTAGCAAAACGTAGAATTTGTGATTAAAAAAAAATGAATTGTGAAATATTACAAAATGAAATATTACGAAAATATTTGAAATATACTTCGCTTATGCAATGGGGTTAAATAATTGACAATTCTTCGATTTTTATAATCAAAACGTTAAGATTTATAATAATCGATTAACTGAAACGTCCAGAATGTTTAATCCCCCGTTTTGTGAAAATTTTGACTACTTGAAAGTTTTCGCAAATATGTTGAAAATATACGATCCGATTATTTTTTTTTGAAAAAAAAACCACTCAAATCGAATAGGTTAAAAATACGTTCCTTAAATTATTTTCAAACGGATTGTATCGACTTTTCACTATTATCGAAGACTTCATTTAAAAATTTCGAAACCCACAACTTCTCAATAACTTACGAATCCCTTTCCTTTGAAATGCTCCAAAACAGCCGAACCGAGGGCTCCTTTTCCTCCATAAACGATGACTGACATTCTGCAAACAACCAGACAGGGTAAAAATGGGCAATCAATAGTCAACTAGTATCATGGTTAGACTGTTCGACACACATCGCTGCCCCGATGTCAAGGACAATTTTTATTGTTTTTTTACTCGCTGTTGTTGTGATTTTTCGGCACCATAAACAATAAAATCAAAGGGTTAAATAGTGAAAGAAAAGAAATGAAATGTGGCTGTGTGTCCAGATATAATATGCACTTTCCTGCGTATATAGTATTTATTTAGACTAGAGTTGACGAGATTCAGGATACGCATTATTTTCCTTGGGAAACCCCTTTTCCCTCTTTCTTTTTGGTTCTGAAATGAGTATACTGCTACTTCATATTCTATTATATTTTAAACTGAATTCTGACGTAACTGATTGAAACGACATTGTGGTGCCGGTTGGAAATTCGATAGATTTCCATGAGAGTTGATTTAAAAAAAACGCAATACGAAAAATAAGTTAGATGGCCGAAATTTGAAAAATAGGCCATCACTTAAAAATTAGGGCCACTCACCAAAAATATATTGAAATGAACTTTTAGTCGTAAACCGTGAGGAAACATGCCATAATATTAAGTAGAATAATGAAAAATTCTAAAAATTTATTACTGTTTTTATAGGGAGGTTAAGATTTTTAAATGAGGTCCCGTGAAGAAGAGCAATTCGTCTTTTTCTTTCGATTTTCTTCTTTTAAAAAATGTATATTTAATCGATGATCGTATTGTTTTCACTGCCAAGATTGATGAAGCTGCTTAAAATACAATTGCGTTTCATCCTGCACAGAAATCGTTGATATCGTTTTTGTTTCCCCTTTTTTGTTGTAGACACGAGATAATTTCTACAATGCAAATCACAGAAAATATTCGAGCCAATGTTTAAATTAATTACCGAACTAGCCAATGATTTATATTTCCTAAGGTAATATATGAATATTAATGGAAATATTGTAGTTGCTCTAAATTGATAAAATTCAATTCGGAATATGGTGGCATATTCTTACGATGCTAATAAAAAATCCACCATACCCATTGTGATTTGTCCTAAATTACTTTCAATTCCGAAAACAGCACAAGAAAAGATTAAATTGGACACAATAACTGCAACGAATACTGATAATAATATAAATCCATTTTTCAGAATCTGTGAAATAAGGGAAAAATGCTAAAGAAGGTATCGGTTCTCGCCAAACTTTTAAAACTTTCAAATTCTCCTCGATTTGATATTTTTTGCTCAAAGAATAGAATTTTCGCTCTTTTCCGGATAATTTCCAGTCCAATCGTTTTAATTCGTCAGTATTGATTTTATAAAGTATTATAAATATCTAAAATTTCAGTTTCTATGAAATGCGACATGTTAAAAGAATAGCTTACAACAGCTGCAGAACCGGTAGTGATTGTACCAATAAATATGAATAAGTGCAATTTAATGCCATCTGCAATTGATTTACGTTTTTAAGTTTAGATAACATCTTTAAGTATATCGATCTCGAAACCCATACTTTGGTAATCGAAAACAAGACGGAGCCGAAAAAATTCGGGTCCGAAATCAAAATTGCCGCATTCAATTCGATTCGATAAACATACTTGTATAAAATAGCAATTTTTATTTTGAAATTTGCGTAATTCGGATCAGATTGGTTTTCCGTTATTTCATTTTTTTCAGCCGCTTGTCAGTTGTGAATATTTAAAAGTTGCAACTTACTAAAAACGACAGTTATTGTCACCCAAACTGAAATAGTTAATGAAACTGCAACACAAATAAGGGCCACCCATGCACGACTTTTCGCTTCATAATCATGCACAAGAATAGTGGAGAATGTTCTGAAAACGAATTAATGATCAAAAATCTTAAACGAAAAAATATAATTAAAAGATTTAATAATATAAAAAATGCATGTTATGGACCTATTCATGCAATGAAAAAAATTAAAAAAATCAATTTTTTTCATTTGAATTCCCTATGCACGCACGTCAAAAATTACAAAAAATTGCCGCGATATATCGTAATTCTCCGCTATCTATTTTTAAAGGCGCATGCGAAAAGTTGCGCGGGTCACGTCGCGAAGTCGGTACTGTATTTTTTATTTTTATTTTGTGGGCTAGTTTTCCGTATTTTTCAAAAACTTCGAAGAGAAACGAACGGATTTAAAAACGAATAAAATCAATTATTGTTGGTATAATTACTCCTAATTCGACAATATTTGTCTACTTTTTGTCATTTAGATAGCAATTTTTATGAAAAATCGTGATATTTGTGTTAATTTGATGCAGACTTCGCTCGATGACGCTTTTGATGAATTTTCAGCGTTTATTAAATAAAATACTTGTACAGATTTCCAAAAAAAAACGTTTTAAAAGCTCAAAAAATAAAAAAAAATCTAAAAAAAACAGCCATTAAAAAATTACAGTACCGACTTCGCGACGTGACCCGCGCAATAGGTCCATTAAAAAAACAGATTTGTCAGAAATCATGACTAATAGCGGAATATTTGACATAATATTCAGAATTTCGCTTTGCGGTCAATTTTGGAAAAAAAACCGAAAAGGATAATACTTTTCACGTACCTCTCAATTGCCACCACAGGCATAATTGTAATTGCAGTTCCATAGTATTCGGCTCGTATAAGACTAGTAAATAATACAGGAAACGTTTTACTATCTGAAATGATCAATTAAAAATAGCCCAAATTAATTAAAGTGGCAATTACCTGTAAATACTTGAAGTTGGACCAGAAGCAAATACAAACGAGCAATTGCGTTAATTGAGTGATAATTAACGAATATATATAATAATCGTAATAGATTTTTTTGAAATATCGGCGTTCGATGCATATAAATTCCGAAGCCGGTGATAGTGAAAATGCTAAGAATATTCAAAACGAATTCAACATGGAATGCCGTGTAAAGAACGATATTGTTGGGTTGATCGATATTGGTGAGAATCGGCATAAAGAAGGTGACATTCCGATATCGGCTCCGCACCAGCGGCAATCTCGATTCGAGCAGAATCTTCACGTCTTCTGAATTGATCAAATATATAATTACGAGCAAACAAATAAAGAAAAATTTTAACGAATATATTAAGAAGCTCAGCTGGTTATAAATAACTGAAAATTTGTATTTACACGAGACTATTGATAATTTAATCAAAAAAAAAATAATATTTTCTCGTATGTGATCGACATTCAATTACTAAATCTGCTACTATCATGTGCAGCTTTAGTACTCTGATAATAAATTGAGTTAGTTATCAGGAAGTGAGATTTTGATTTAGAATTTGGAGATACATAGAGGAAATCGAAGCAAGATGTTGAAATGAATATGAGGCAATCAACAAGAAAATGGAGAATAATAATGATAATGGAAGAAACAAGACTTATTTATGTATATATGAAGATGAAGCTAGAATAATAAAAACACAACTTCGATTGTCTAAAACAATTCTGTATCGAACTTGAGAAAGTAAAATTTCAACGTAGATAATTTCACAACGATTTGTAGAAACTTAAATTATAATAAATCATATCAAAAACATTATTATATACATATAAACTCAATTTCACGATAACCACAGGGTGTCTGAATTGCAATGTTTGATCGCGAAAAATTCCAAAAACCACTTTTTTTTTTGAAAACACACTATAATTTATTTTTGAATGACTTTATGTTTCCTTGAATTTCAAACGTCATCAAAATTAAAATAATGATCCCTAGAATAAAAATAATCGGCGCGGGGCGAAAGACGCATGATGATCGTAAATCTATTCGCGTATGGCAATCGCCGGAGGGAGGTTAGCTAAAAGTAAATGATTTATAATCATGGAAGAACAAAATTTGAATCACAACCATGTGGGTTCTTGACTCTAATACTTCACGTAGAAATCAGCCTATTGCAAAAGAAATGAATTAAAATTTATTTGTAGACTTTTTGCTCCGCACACATAATTTTGCACCCAATTTTTTTAGGTACACCGTTTTTTTGCACTCAAATTGAATTTAAGCCAAGGACTGAAAAGCTTGAAAGGCTGTGGTTCGCGCCTCAACAGGCGAAGGACGAACCGACTAAGTGACTGAGTAAGTAAGTGTAAGTGAATATTTTCCCAATTTTTAGGATTAGTTTATTTTTCGTATATTTCAAATTTTATACCATTTTCAAAAAATTGGTGGCAACAGAAAACTGAAAAAGGTAGCAGAAAATTTATACCATATGGGAATTGGGAGTAAAATGCTTGATGTCACACAGTTTTACAATTCTGCGGCATACATTTCTTCTGGCGGTATTGTGAGCGTTATATTTCCGGTTATTGGATTCTATCGCATTTTTTAAATTAATGAGACTATCCAGTATTTATTAAAAATTAAAAACTGGTAGAAACAGGTATAAAATAGGGATATATCCGTGCTCGCGTATAAACATCGAGCGAACGCGTTAAAAATTCGCCTATTTTGAATATCTATACGGATTTTGTCGAAATGAATTTTTGGAAAGTGGCAAAATTGTAAAAACAGATGAAAAGCAGATAGTTTATAGTCTCAATCATCTCTCATCCACTTTTAATCCATTTTTTGTTCTTTTCACAGTTTCAATTCTGCAATGGATGATAGCATTTTTCAAAAACGATGATTTCACAATATTGCGCAAATTGCGCAATTTATTTCCACCACGATGTCCGTTAAAAATTTTCTTTTTTTTCATTTTATCCTAATTTTCCTTTCCTTTTGATTTATTACATGAAATCCAAGGCATTCTAGATCGGTGCAATTGTGAAAATTATCGCAAAATTTAGGTGGCCTAGAATTTTATTGAATATCGGCCACAATATTTTCTCTGCCATTCCAACATTTTCATTTTTTTTCCTAAATTTCACTTTTTAAAAGGTAGTTTCACCAGCCATCAATGCGTTGTCATTATGAAATTTTGGAAGTTGAACGGGATGCTGATGCGGAGACGATTAAAAAAAATTATCGGTAATACTAACCTCGAATTATGCGAAATTTAAGAATTTTTAGAAAGCTCGCTCTAAAATGGCATCCTGACAAAAATCCTGACAATATTGAAGAATGTACGCAAATGTTCGCTCTTCTTCAACAAGCTTACGAGGTTTTAAGTGATCCGAAAGAAAGAGATTTTTACGATAGGCATCGAGAAAGCATCTTAAAAGGAGGTGAATCTCAATGTTGGATTTAATTAATAATTTTAATAATTTACAGGTTTTGATGGCGAAGAAAAAGAAGCAAGCTTTGATTTATTCAAATATTTCAGCATGTCTTGCTATTCTGGTTACGGTGATGATGAAAAAGTTTGTAATTATCTCTTCAAAATGAAAATCAATCAGTTTCAATTTGAATATAAATTTATTTGTTTCGACAATTTCAGATATAATTTTCACTGTAAAATAAGAAAAAAATTATTCGAATATTTTTGAAACAAATCTATGTGTTGAATCCGAGTTCAAAACTTTATCAATCGAATCTAGTTAATTTATATCTCGTTTTTTTCGAATCCGATTGAATTTCATTTTTTTTTTCATTTTCTTGAGTTTGAGAAGTTTATTTTTAATATTGAGCCAATTTCAGGGGTTCTACGCAGTTTATCGCAAAGTCTTTAAAATTCTCAGTGAAGAAGACTATGATAACATGGATAAAGACGATGAAGCTTATCCACAATTTGGAGATTCAACAAGCGATTATGATGAAATCGTCGGCAAGTTTTACGGATTTTGGAGCTCATTCTGCACGTGCAGATCGTTTGCATGGCTTGACAAGTACGACATTCGACAGGCATCGAATCGCTGGGAAGCGAGACAAATCGAGCAGGAGAACAAAAAATATCGGGATGTTGGAAAACAAGAGAGAAATGAGCAAATTAGGGTGAATTGTTTGAGAAATGCTTTAAAATTGAAGTATTTTGAAGAATTTGGTGGCATTTGTTCGCAAAAGGGATCCTCGCGTTAAAGCTTATAAGGCGAAACTTGAGGAAAAACAGGCAGAAGCTAAGAGAAAGCAAGAAGAGAATCGAAAAAAGCAAATCATCGAGAATCAGAAAAAATATATGGAGGATAAGGAAGCAGAAGCGGAAAGAATTGCTCATTTAATGGAAGTTAGCATGCAAATGGCTGAAGAATATGATAGTTGTTCGGAGGAATGCGATGAGGATGGAGAAGAATTGCCACATTGCGTTGTATGCAACAAATATTTCAAGACCATGTATGTAAAATGAACAAAAAAACTTTTTTTTTCGAAATTCTGAGACACATTTGTAGTTTTTTTTCTTGAGGAATTCAAAACTATGAAATAAGATTGTAATATATGTAGTTTTAAATTTTAAAGAAATGCCAAAAAGAATCATGAGAACTCGAAACAGCACATCAAGCAACTCAATGAGCTCAAAAGACATATGAGAGAGGAAGATGTAACTCTGTTTGGTAGGATTTTCGTTTTTTTTTTAAATTCAAATTCTAGTTTTTTTAGAATCAAACTGTCAGAAAGATCAAACCGAGGAAGAATCACCACGAAATGGGAAGAAAAATCGAAGGAAAAAGAAGGGAAATGCGATTTTCGATCTCGACTATAAAGACGATGCGGATAATGTCGAAGAAGCTGCTGCTGAGCCGGTTCAAGAACCTGAACCTTCTGAAAACTCTCCAAAAAGTAAGGAAGAAACTATGGAAGAGCCGTTTAAAAAGGAGAAGAAAAAGAGGAGAGGTAGGATTTTGTATGGGCTCTGCAAAGCAATTGATGATTTCAGCGGACAAGAACAAACCGAAAGAAGAGAATGTGGAAGAAGGAGAAGCAAAACCAGGTCCAAAGACTGGCAAATGCGACAGATGCCAACAGGTAATTTGGAAATAACGAAAAAATGCCAAAAAAAGGTTGTTCAACATTTTGTTGAAGATATTTGAACCTTTAATCTACTCCTTAATTGCCAGTTGATCAAACTCTAGACGCGAAATTTCGATTAACTCATTATAGGTATTCCCAAGTCGGACTCTTCTCTTTGCCCATCTCAAGGAAACTGGCCATGCGACACTTCTCATCAATAAACCTTCTGAGAAAGAAGCGGCGAAGAAGAAGGGAAAGAACAAAAATCGAAAACACGATGACTGGTGATAATTGTCTGTTGATTAGGGTATCTTTATTGAATTTGAATAAAAATCTATAAGCATCAACTAGAATTAAGCAAGGAAAATGAAATAAACGATAAGAAAGATGAGCGTGATGATTGGGAAAAGAACACGTGCGATGACGTCGATTCCGTTGTTGTTGCGGAATGCCGAACAGCCTTGATTGTAAGCAACTTCGACTGTCTGAGATTGAGATTTGATTTGAATGCATTTCCATCTGCGGGCACGGTTACCTCTTTGGCAGCTCCCATTGGATGGTCCTCAGCATGATCCAAAGTCTTGTAGCGAATTGATCTACGGATTCCGCAGCAAATCACAAAGAAGTATTCGATCAATGAGAAGAAAGTCATTAACTGGCAGAAGGCGAACCATGTCGATTGTGTATGGGAATCGATTCCGCAGAACAACTAAAAAAAATGTAAGACTTGGTAGCCTTTGGACAGCTATGTACTTACGAAATAGGCAGCGAAGATCAAAAATGGGATGGCGGCTGAGGCGGTTCTTGGAACGGACCAGCTTCCGTGGATCCAGAAATGAAGCCAGGAGGCGATGAGCAAGAGCAAGGATGGAAGGAACCACGACATCAGCGATCCGAGGAAGCAGGTTGAGAACGTCACATTGGCATCAATGCAGGAATAGACACCTAGAAAATATATATAAGTAAGTAGAAGGAAAGGAATGAAATATGGCAATTACCGATAGTGTAGTTTCCAACGCAGTCTCCGGCATTTGCCTCTTCGAACACATAATCACCGCGGAGCAAATCGCTGCTCACTTCGACAGGATTGAGAAGTGGTGGAGAATTGGCCCAGAGGTAGACGACATCATCAACCGGATAATTGTCTGAACAAACACGGCTATATGTGGCTGGTGATTAGATGGAGAATTACAGCTTCCCAATCGAATGGTGAATTGTTTCGAATTGGTATACGGGAAAGAAGCGCCGTTGACATAGGGAATCTCGAGGACGACACGTTCGGAAGATCGAACATATCCAGATGGCTCAATAATAATATTCTTCGAGTATTTTCCGCCGTCGCGTTCGAGTTCGCGGCCAGATGAAAAATAAGTGTCCGGCTCCCAGATTTTGCGATTCGCTGGCAAACGGACCTTCAACGAAAGAAAATGATATCTATGGTTCCGGAACAAACCTCCTGAATTCCCTCTCTTGTCTTGACGTCATATTTGAGTCGATTGTCTTGCCATTGTTGGCGAAGGTACAAATCGACTTCCTGAAATACGGAAAATCGCGTTGAATTCTCGAATTTCGCTGAATACCGCTGAATGTTTTTTCCAATTGACACGATTTATGTGAACATTGGTCATCACAAGAATCGCCGAGTTCGAAGCATGATCTTAAATAGTCAATTTGAATTCGATAATTTTCGACATATGGTTAATTGCCTCTAATTGGGGGTCTGGTGTTAGAATCATATTCGGAGAGAATTCGACTGAGAACCTGTCCTTCGGTGCCAATACGACGAGAATGGAATGATTGTTGAGCGGAAACGAGGCTACAATTTCATTTTCATACTCGATTATTTAAAATGTCGGCAGATTCTAGGGCTCAAGTTGAACAATTCACGTGAAAAACAGCGTGGTGAGACCATTTATAAAGGCGCACCCCGTAAATCTACAACCGTCGCCGGACACCAACTATTTTTGTTTAAAATTTCCCTTGTGAGTTTTAAACCAAATCGGGAGGTAATAAAGACATCCTAAATCTTTTTGTTTAATCATTTCCGCGCATTGAAAATGAAAGCAGACAAATAAGGTTTGGCATGTGATTTTGATGAGTACTCTAGTTTATATGCTCGATCAAATTTGAGAATAATTTCAGCATCGTGGCGTCAATGTTTTGATTTTTTCTAAGAAGCGCCTTTCAAAACTCCAATAGAGTAATTTTCGTTTAACTGAAAAGAAGATTTTCTTTTTATTTTCGTTCATCGCTTCTTCTTCTCCCCGTTTTTCTTCTTCACTCTTTGTTCATCCGGATAATATCATCAATAATCGATTTCTTGTTTTAATGTTCTTGCAGGAGAGCACTGCTTGTGGTTTTAAATTATTAAACAGCTCGTAAATTTCTCACCCACACAACGTGCCAATAATATATATTTTGCCGTTTTTTTTTTACCTTTTCGTCAATCCTCATTTTTTACACTTTTCAACCATTTTAAAGGATTGATAATTTTCGAAAATTGTTGAAAATCTTACATTTTCGAAAAGTTTGGACACAAAATCAATGAAAAATTCTTAAAACGTCTGAAAAGTGTAAAGAAAATGAGCATCGGCGAAAATGTGCGTGAGAATTGCAAAAAAAAAAAACTGAGTTTTACGAAAAACCGATTTGAACTAACGTAGAACAAACGAAATTGGAAACATATACTGATTTTGAGCAACGAAAAATCTAATTGCAATTTGGGTCTTGCCACGATACAGATTTCAGTCAGTTTTGTCAGAAAGACGCCCCCTCCTGGTCGGGCCCTCATTTTGAGAACCCTGATTTTAATTATGCATTTGGTATACGGTTTATCTTTGTGGGCCCAAGAAAACAGTTTTGAATTTTGCTGTAATTCAAAGCTCGAATAGCAAAAATTTGGCAATTTATGCCAGAAAACCCAGTGAACATTTGACGAACCTGCTTCCAATAACTAGAAATATGAATAATAGTAATCCGCGATTGTTAGGTATCATCGTTTTGCCGCCAAGTATCGCCAGAGAGTGTGTGTGAGTGTGTGCCTGTGTGTATATCTATCTGTTGACAAAAAGAAAGAAAACGAAACGACGATGAAGAATATATCAGCGAACACAAAACACCGGCGAATGGATGGCAATTGGCTCATGCGTCGAAGAAACATTACACAGCATACTCATTCCTCTCGGTCGGTCGCGTTTTTCGAATCCACACGAAAGAACCATTGCCGATGGGCGAGAAGAAAAGAAGAAAAACGAGCTTGGGTGTTGTTCTGATTGTGTAAAACAACTATCGAATCACCGAAGAATACCTATGATTTGAATTGCTATTCCCAATCGACTTTTTATGACTTTAATTTCTTCTTATAATTTGGAAGGGAAAAGTCTTATCAGATTTTATTCAATTAAATACGATATTATATATTTATTATCAGTTTCAAGCAACTGATCGAAATTTGAAAATAATTGTGTGTTCGATTAATTGAGAATGGTGAGTGTTTGCGTACTCTGCATTTTAGTGTACGCGCATTTAACATTTAGCAAATCAGCGATTCGAAACCGTCGAATTGTGGTTGCTTTTGGTTTAAACACACGGGGGTTCCAAAAACTTCCGCGGTTTGTCCCTACGAGTACGACACTCCAATTACACATCGCCCTCAATTTAGGGTGCCGAGCTAAACCGTGGGCGAATTTTGTTTTGACCGAGTTCAATGTTTCCGCTGTTGGTCCCAAAATGTTCCTCTGGTTATCCCAAACCAAAAAGTGTTCCCAGTTTTTTTTGCGAATTTGATATTCGCGCCATCGATCAGTCATTTCAAACCGACATATCTTATAATTAGTGCGATGCTGATTTTTGTGAATAAAATTCGAAAAACAAATTTGTTTTGCGCAATCTACATAGAGGTTTTTTTCATAGTTTTTATTGATTTATTTGAGTTTTATAACGAAACCCGAATAGAACCATTATTGACGGACGTTATGATGATTTTCAAATGGTGTATCGATCAGAGGCTTAGGCATCTTGGATTTCAGCTGCGGACATTGTCAAAAGATTATTTATATTCTCAAAAATTTTTCATGCTGATTGAGCTAAGAATCATAGTCTTTATGATTTTGTAGTGTTTTAAATGTAGGACGTCATTGGGCGTCATTATCAGCAAAGTTAATTCGAAATGATTATCTATTCAATATTCAATCGTCGCTTCTGAAAAGAAATATTGAAAAATAGAAAGGAAATTGATATTGCTGAACCTCATCATCCGAAAGAAACCCGCGAAATGTCGGAAGATTCAAAGCATCCCCTAGATTTTTATCAAATCGATCTTTCGCCCTGAAATTTCAGAAAAAACAAATGCGAAATTATGTCGGTTATTTAAACCTCTGCGCTTCAATCAAATCGTCATTTTTTAGGGCAATCTCTCGTTCTTCCAATAATTGACGAAGGCCACTTTCTCGAGAATTCAGATCTTTCAGGTTTTTCTCAATCGCGGCTGCTTCGGCGTACCTTCAAAAAATTTCTTATTTCCCACTAATTTTTAATTCCAAACTTTCCAAAAAATATGTGGAATCCGAATTTTTCAAAAAAAAAATCAACTAGTGTGTTGGAAATTATTTAGAAAAAAAAAACAAAAATGTGAAATTAGTCGGTTTTAAATCAGTTTTTTCGGACAAATGAAACCTGGATATGAGGATGCGATAAAATAAAAATCATCTGCGGACACTCATACAGGCGCAAATCACCTTTCATCCCAAATCGCTTCTTCTTTCTTTCGTTCCAAGACCCTCACAATATTATGAAATTCGTTCATTCTCCTCCCAAAGTAGATTTGTCTTCCCGTTTTGCGACGTTCAACATGCTTCTCTTCAATATCGTCCAACACCATCTTCTTAGTTCTAAAATCGAATGGTATGGCGACAAATGATTTATTACAACTGCAAAAATTCAACCAATCACAATGAAAAGAAAAAGGGGCAAAAGGACAGAAATATGTACAAAGTGTGAGGAATTGGAAAGGAGAGTGCGCACTTGGTGCCGAATTCAGTCACCAGCATCACCTATCCGAGAGCGGCGGAGACAAACTCGACGGATTCTTCGACGATGAGCCTTGCTCGCTTGAAGCGTCCGAAACATCGGGCAGCGTCGGATTCTGAAGAAATTGCAAATTGTCCGCAGATCGATATTCTCAAGGAATGATTCGTTTATGGGACAGATGTTGATATTATAGAGACTCAATTGTCATCTAGTCGACGTCCGGTAATGCGTGGGCACAATTCTTTCAAAAGAGTCTCACCACAGTCTCGTAAAAGCTTGTTTTTGAACTTTTCGATGAACTAAATTCTAACGCCGCTGCAAGCTTCACCGCGGACATGAAAATACGCCAACAAAATGAATGGGTGAATGGAATTCCTTTAGAAAATCTCATATGATATTCAGAACAAAATTTTCAGATTTTGTTTTTTAGGCTTCTACTCCGATATTGATTTCTAGAGTCGATACAAAATTTTTCGTAGATTCTATGAGCCACTAATGAAAAAAATCGGAAATGCAGTGGAGCATATCTTCTTTCTAAATAAGTTTCTCAGTTTTACGGAGAAAAAATATCGAAATGAGAAAGAGCTAGAATGCAAAATAACCAGTTTTTCTGCTCAAAAAGGTTTGAAAAAAAAAGCATATCCGTAAATCTAGTCAGAAATCGCCGGTTGTGCAAGCAATTATTAATTTACCTTCAGAATCTCTTCTCTCTTTTTCAATCGTTTGAGCATTTCCTTCGAGAATAGAATCTCTTCGTCTTCTGAATCGCTCTCGTATAGTCGAACAACCTTTTTTTGTTGCATATTCTGAAACGAATGCTGAAATTGTCCGCAGCACATCACCATTATATTTAAGGAAACAAAATGAGTAAAGTGACGGAAAGACAAACAATTTGTGTGTTTATTTGAACAATTTTTTGATTTTGTTTGCCAAAAGAAAAAAAAAACGATGAGAATTTCGAATATTATCACTTGTAGATATCAAAAATAAATAAAAATTGAATTCTCGAATTTTTCAAAATCACATCGAAATTTCAAGTGCAGGAATAATATCAAAAAATGTCAAAAAATGGACGCGTCAAATGAAAAAAAAAAAACAGGATTTACAGTGAATTTTGAAAATATGAAGAGAATTGAGGCAGCGAAAGCGAATCGCTATGGAAACGCGAGCAATCACGTGGCCTCGTTGAATTGGTTGGAATATTGACCGAATCGTTGTAATATAATACTATGTACATATATGTATAGTTAGCATAGTTAGTTGGTTTGAATATATGATTTCATTGGATAAAATATGCAAAATTTGCCGACAAAATATTGTCATTTTTCTTTAAACCATGAGAACGATGGATGTTATCCATTTATAGAATGTTCAATAGTTGCCTGAAAAATTATAAATGAATATCGATCTGCGGACATTTTTCAGGTCCAAAATGTTATGTTCTATGCAGATTTTGGAAAAGATACTCGAGAAACTCAAAAATCGAATTTTTTTGTGAAATCTACAAGAAATATTCAGAGATTTTTAAAAATAGTTTTCTAATCGATTTTTGCGAAATCTGCATAATAATAATAAATAAAAAGGCTTGTTTTCACCAAAAATGATAAAATAGATGAAAATTATGAAATTTTTTTAATGAAAGAATCTAAATACCCTATTTTCTAAAAAAAGCCTTAAATATCAGATAAAAATACTTTTGCAAAAAAAGGTACCATTTGTGGACCACAATTTACTCGTTTAAAACAGTTTGAATTCGGGTACCGTACTATGAAATACTACTAATCAGTAAAACTCACCGTAAATCGGCGGGCAATATTCATTTTTTAACGTATTATCTTTAATTGATTATAAAAAGTTTAAGATAAATTTATATAAAAAATATATATAGTCGGCGACTGCTGTACGTGGGTAGATTTACTGGAATGCGTCTTTCTCTTGGTCTCGCACGGATTAACAGGTTATTTCAAATTTTATGGACCGGTTCGATAATTTTTTAATATCGTTGGAAATTCAAGGAAATGCGAAACTCATTAAGAAAATTGAAGCAGTTCACGTGAAAACAGCAAAATAAGCGTTCACGTGTGGAGAGACCTTTTCAAGGCGCATGCGCGTAAATCTACCCGCGTACAGCCGTCGCCGGACGCCGACCAAATATAAAGACGACAAACCAAAGTGGAAAATTAATAAAAAATTAGCTTATCGGCATTTTATCACAAAATTTTCACCTGAGGTGTTTTGAGCGGCAGCAGAACGCCTTTGTCAAGTTCGACGTAACTCATCTCGACCTCGTCCTTCAACGAATCAACGCCGAGAATTTCTCCTGGAATGTTATAATTGCAATTAATAAATATAGTTTTCAAGGCCAAACATGCATGCATGGAAATTCTTGCAATATTATATGGTTGAATAGTTTCGTTGGCAAAAGCGGCGACAATTTATGCAAATATGAAATGTTTTCAGAAAATCAACAATTTTTGTTTGAATGGAATGAACAAGCATTTCAATGAAAAAAAAAACAACAAAGCATAAGCATTTGTCATTTTCATCTACCGACATTTACCGTTTTTCGGACTCCACGAATCAAGGTGCTCAATCAGCTCATAAACATGAATCGAATTTGGTTGGCGGCGAAAGAGCAGCGCGAAAAACCGCCACATTTTCATGATTTCTCTTTTCAACCAATTTTTGCTCGTCAATTGCCTTTCAAGGCGTTTATTTGAATGCCAAACGATATTCTCCCATGCGAAATAGGCGCACACGCGCGCGCCGCCATCTCTCACCTGCTCCACTGATTTCGATCGAAAGAATCGAGACTTGACGGAATTGATTATGAGGTGAATCGATGAATCCGTGAACTGATATTCTGCAATTATCCAATACTTGCAAATTATTTCATCGAAAGATGATAATGGCAGATTTTTGAAACTCAAAAAAACCTTTAAAAGATTGGGCGGCAAAAAATTCGTTGAATTTTTGAATTTTATTCCCAAAATCGGCATAGCATCATAAAATCCAACGAATATTGATATAAATCATCAGAATTTCTCAAAGGGACGACATTGGCATAAAATTGAGAAAAATTGACCAAGGAGAACTGCCCGCAGCACATTTTCTATTAGATACTTCAAAAAATATTTATTTTATGTTTGTTTATAAATTTTGATGCGATCAAACTATATATATAAATAGTTGGCTACGTGCCAAGTATCTAAAATATGACGAAAAAAATTATATTAAAAGTATAGATTAAGCAAATATGTAGATTGCGTGCATTCTTCTCATAAATCTATCCGTAAATATTATCATCCCGAAAAAAAACATTTCGAATAATTGTGGACCATCGCAATTTGCCGAGGCGGCAATTCAAATTTCGATTTCAAATCTGGGAATTTGGATATCGTACTACGGATATCCTGCGAATCAAACTCATCGTAAATTTTGTTTTTTTTTTGTTGTGAATCCAATACTGTAGTTTAGCATTCGATACGCAGCCAAATAATTTTAAATTCTTGTTGCGACAATTTCACGAATGAATGTTTTAAATTTGAAATTTGGTGATTTGTTCAAATTTTCATTAAAAATACTCTAAAATGAGGGTTTTTAAGTATAAAATTTTGCTCGAGAATTTTTATTATATATATATTTAAAAATTTCTATTGTATCGTTATTCTAATCACAATCGTAATCCAAAAAAGTGGTTATACCGTTCTAAATTGGATTCTTTTTTTTTGGTAAATTATACTTGAATGAGCCAAAAATTTGAACTGGAAATATAAGAAATCCTTTATGCCAAATTTGTTATTTGTTCAGGTGTTTGGAACAAAACTGAATCGCTTTGATTTTTCGGAGAAAAAAAAACATGAATCATCTTGAATTCTTTAAAAAAAGAAATCATTCTGAAGAGGCGAAAAGACCAAAATAAATTGTAGTGGAATTGTGCAAGACATCGCGAAATTGCTCGAAAACTGTGTCCAACAAAACCTGAACAAATATGTGGCTCGCAAAACTGTAAAATGGTGATGAATGACAAAAAAAAAACAAACAACACTGGTTGGGGAAATGGCACAACCTCTCTCTTTCCCTCTCAATTCCCTTCGTCTTCCTCTCTTGAACAGAAATGAGCAAACAAACCGAATGAACTTTGCCGGCGATTGGAAATAGACAGTAGTCGACGGATGCGAAGAAGAATCACTTGATTGAAAGTCGCGATACGAAATCTCTTGACGATTTGAATAATCGGCATCGTATGATTTGGGACGAGAATTTCGAAAAACATTCGACGCAACTCCCAACGAGATCGTCATTGATGATGCTGGAATGAGTCGATGACTGTTGTAGATTTACGGGCTGCGCTTTTCGAAATGGTCTCGCAACGCGAATACCATTATTTGCTTAATTTTGGTATTTCCTTGAATTTTTTACTTTATTTATACTTTTATGATCGAAATGAGCATTCAAAAACGAAACTATAGTGAAATGACCCCGTAAATCTACCCACAGCAGTCCTCGGATGCCGACTATAAGCGCTATACATTTTTGAGAAATTTTGAATATTGTCGAATGGAAAATGATTGAAATTAAAACAATTTGTTCATTCTTGACTATATATAGGAGAGAAAAAAAGCAAATTTGTTTCCTATTCGTTTGATTTGAGAAGCAGTAGATCAAAACCTGCCGCGAGACCCAGGTGCAATAAATGCGTGCGGTTTAAGCTAGCGCTTCCTCAAGACTTTCAATTTTCAATAAAAAAAATTTTGAGAAAATAAATTTAGCTTCAGTAAGAAAATGAAATAAAGACGAAAGTAAAAAATCGGAACCAGCAATTTTTTTTTTTCAAATTTCTTCAATTTTTTATTGGAACCAATTGAAACACAGCCGCTTATTGACAAAAAAAAAACGAAATTGAGTTTCCATTTGTTCGAGTATTGAAGAACCTAACAATTTATCATTTCTACGATCTTCTCACAAAGAATTTCGTCGTTAAAGGAAAAATGAGAAGCGATTTTGACGTACGCGGAAAGTCTTTATGCACAGTTACTCGAATTCCGTTCACAAGACTTTCTTCGTCGAGTTCCAAAATGATCGATTGCGGGAATGAGTGATTCCTGGAAATATTCGATTCGTCTCGAGTGTTGATCCGATCCTTCAAACCTGGCGCTGATCCAATTCACATTGCCTCCGCTAATCGGCTCATCGTCGTCTTTTGAACTTGACGAAATAATAGTATAAGGTAGAGGCATTCCAAATATGGTCAAACCATTCTCGTTTCTCATTATTCTCTGCCTACTCTCTTCTTCTTTTTTTTTGAATTATTCATCGGCGTCGACGACAACCACCGTAGTCCATTCATTCACTCAACATTGTTTTTTGCAGCGGGATGACACGAAAAAAATGAGAGCAAAATTTGAATGAGAACACAACGAAAAGCTGTTGTAAAATTGGTGACTTCGGGACAGCTGCGCGAAATAGTGGGCATTGTGGAGAGACGCAGACATGGTTGCTGTAATATCACACAGGACAGCAGTCAGCGCCTTCAAGATTGACCACCGGATCCGACTCGTCGCCGGATGCTTCTCGTTTTTCAAATTTCCATTTTTTTCCTCATTAAAAATTAAATTTTGAACGGAAGACAAATTGAAAAATGTCGTTTTCAAAAATGTATTTTTGAAAATTTTGGAAAAAATATTCAAATAATACTTGAAATTTTAATTACTGTTTGCTATGCTCCTTTAAATATGGTCTCATGCGGACAGTCAAACTATTTTCGTGGTAAATCATAATGGTGCCAGATGCAAGAATCAATGGCGCATCTCAAGACCGTATTCAAAGGCGCATGCCATTCAACGAGAGCAAGCATTGAACACTTTGTTTCAAGCTTTTTATGAGAATTGCAATTTGCGGACAATTTTGAGGAAGAGATCTCAATTGTTTCAACAAAAACTCAAAAAACAAACAATTAGAAAATCGTTTTGTTGGGTGTATCCTTCAAGTGGTTTTGAACAGAAAAATTCGCATCGTTTCTATTCATTTTTCTTCTCAAAAGTCCGCAGATTGAATTTATTTTAAAACGTTTATCATCTAACAATTTGATGACTTTCAAATTTTTTTTGAAAAAAAAAAACAAGTCATATTTTAATAGCGAGTATTCACTAGTGAGTGACTAGTGACTTTCTGTTTGATTATGGTGACAATTTCGAATGCGTTTCTCAATGCTGAAAGCTCCATTCAATTGTCCGCATATGGTTTCAATAGACTTTGATTGACTCATCGATCAATTTGAGCGATCAGCTGATGGGCAGTGAGTCATTGTGAGTTGCTCCCAGGCGATAAATTGATTGTGTCATAAGGCGGCTCGGCGACAAAAAATATCCGAGTTGGAGCAAACATTAGCAAAAAGCAGCGGCGTCTCCGGCGAGATCCGCTCATTTTGCCGCGATTTTGCCGCTGACCGCCAATTCATTGCATAGTTTTCGGATGATACGTTCAAGATTTCGTATCTCGCTTTCATGCTTGTCAATTTGCAAACTGTGAAATTGTCCGCAGATTGTTTCTTTATAAACATGCACTTTTAAATTGTTAACCTTTTTTCTCTTTCAGATGGCTAGCCCAGAATTAGCGGAAAAATTGAGGAAGCGATTAGAAGCTGAAGCTCAGGAAGTCGCTCAAAACTCATCAGCAAATATTCCGCCACCTCCGGTTATTCCAAAAAAGGTGAATTCAAATTGTTGAAGACAGACGAATTTAAAGGATACAACACATTAAAAAATGTTGATCCAAGCACGAATGAAATATTTTTGTTTGGGCTTTTGATGAATGCTGTAGTTTTCATGGGCATTTCGTGTTTGACAAAATAGAAAATTATAAAAAAAACGGTGAATTTAAAACATTAGATTCATCCAAACTCGTTTGTTTGTTCTCAGCAATACTATAACTTCAAAAAGCGAATTTTTAGATTGTTGAAAACCCATACGTCGCCAAATCCGACGTCTCCATCGATGATTTGATATTCAAAGTAATTGAGAAAAAAGAAGAAGAAAAGAACAATAATAACAATAGTAGCTCAAATAAGGCGGTAAAAATTTCTATAGGAATTACTCGATATTCATATATTGACAGGTGCCGTTGAGAATTGAAACTGCTCCAGTTGCCACGAGTCCGGACCCACGAAGTCCGCCTCCAAAAGTGTCAATTCAAGAATTGCTCGAGAAAGAGAAACAAATGGTCGAAGCTGCTCAAAATGCGCCATCGGTATGTTTGCTCAAAAAAAAAGTTCGAAGGTCATTCTCTCTCAGGTGTCCGCTGTTACAAAAGCACCTGTTGTCGTGATTGCGAAAGGCGGTCTGCCTCGAAGCGCCTCGCCACGCCGTCAGCAATTCGTGAAAATCGGAGACGATGGAAGTGAGTTGGAGAAGCGATTGGCTGCGCAGAGGCTGAAGAAGTACAACGAGGAGCTCGAAATGAGGAAGCCGATCGATCCACTCGATGAGATCATGACGACCGAATTTCCGGGTCCGGCAAAGGTGATGCGAAGCAAAGAATCGATTGAGGAAGAAGAGAGGAAGCAACAGGAAATTGAAGACACAAAGGCGTTCGAAGAGCTGGAACGCGAGATTGAGAAAATGAGCAAATCGCCGCCAGTGATCACCATCCCACCACCACCCTCGATTACACCGCCATTGCCACCGATCCCTGTTTCGCCAGTGTCTCCTCGTCCGAAGTGTCCACCTCCAGAATGCCCGATTGCTGAACCTGAAGATGAAGAGATGCCAGAGCCACCACCAGCGCTCAATGTTCTAGAAGAGATCAAGGAAGAGGAGGAGATAGTTGTGAGATCGGAACGAACTGTTTCAGCTCCTACATATCTGCCGGATGAGCAACAAGCGACGTCTAATGAGACGCCAGTTTTAACGGCATCTCCTTCAGCTTCTCCAGCTCATCCAGTTCCTCAAGCTACTGAACCGGGTACAACTTCTGAAGAAAAAACAGCGCTTAAGATAATTCCGGAAAAGGAAGAAGTTCCTCCTCCTCAGACTGCAGAAGATGTTGTCATCTCAGAACCAGCAGCCACTATCGGAGCAGAAGCTTCAAATCACACATCTTCAGCTCCACCAAAACCAGAAAGCTTAGGCAAAGGACCTTCTCCAGTTCCAGAAATCAGTTCAATTCCGCCTCCGCCTACTGGCGAATCTCCTTCAGCATCCAGTGAAAACGATCGAGTTCAAACTCCACCGGTTCCAGAAATCAGCTCTATTCCACCTCCGCCTTCAGAAGACACACCGATGCCAAATCCTGATGGTGCTCCAACAGCTCCATCGATTTCCTCTCTCCCGCCACCTCCAGATCAACCGACCATCATATCTGCTTCCTCGGTACCTTCGCCAAAGTCTCCGCCACCACCACCGCCACCAAAGACATCGACACCATTAGCCAGTCGACGAATAATCATTCCGACTCCGCAATTGGTCGAATTAATTCAAACTGAGGATTCGAAGAGAAGCAAAAGCCCGACAAGACCACAATCGCCGGCCGTTCCAAAGGTTTCTATTTTTTTTAATAAAACAAATAATCCAATGATAAGGATTCTTCTAGAAGCCGGTTGTCAGCTCGCTCGGCCTTCTTTGCGATCCAGATCTTTCGATTGAGAAGCCGATGACGTCACCAAATTCACAGACTTCGCAGGTATGTTTGAAGAAGATAATTATTGAAAATTGATCAATTTCCCCCCTCCCATTCTTTATATTCAATTTTAAGCCCATTATCGCACCAACTCCAATCGCCACAATAGATGAAAAAGAGCTGAATGAGGCGCTGGAGCGACGAGCAAAGATTGTCGAAGGTTTGTGGCAATTAGCCAATTCAAAATGCAAACATATCATTCTCGGTCGGCCAGTGAGCAAATGAGCGAATTCTGAGGGTGGGAGGGGGTCCTGTGAAGCCGGTAAATAAACATCCCACAACACTAGACATCCGTTTTTATCATTTTGATTTGCGCGTTGTTTCCTCGCTTGCATAAATTCCTCCAATTTTTTGTTTTGTCGCTTCCTTTAAAAAAAGCAACATCACAAAAATATTGTCGCGGATATTCAAAAAAATCGTGTGTTTTCTATTGTAAAAATTGCTTTTGCCCCATTTTTTTTTTGAAAAAATGCATTTCTTAAGAGAGGAAATAATTGAATTTTGCGATGAGTCACTCAATCTGTTTAAAATGCGTCGAATGTGAGTCAGTAAAGATAGATTTTGTGTTGTTCTGTCAGAAAGAAACTCGTTTGGTAAAGGTGACCACTCTTACTATTTTTATCGGCATACAAGCTCTACTTTTTGTTGTATTCTATGAGATTTTCATTGATTTCTTTTTTTCTTTTTCAATCCGCACATATAAACCTAGCCAAAAACAAATTACTCATCACTTTTCAAAAAATTGTCGTAATGATTTGTTTTCATCAATGGAATTTTTAAAATTTGAAATCAATTCACATAAATGCATTTTATTATTTAATGGCGATTTTCAAAAAGAAAATCCGAATTTCAAAAAAATTTAATCAAAAGTCGCCTCACCTTCTCAATGATTCTCAAATATTTCAAAATCGGCTTATGAAAAAAAATTCTTCAACGGCAAATTTTTTTATAATGCGAAAAACACGCGATTTCCACATTTTTCATCAATCCTTTCTTTGAGAAATGTTGGGCAAAATATTTTTTTTTTTGAAAATTCGAATTTCAAATATATGGTATCGTGTATATAATTAAATAACTTACACATAACTAACTACTGAAAACATTGGAATGTTTTCTCTCAATAGATTTCGCTTTGAAATATTATTATTTGCATCGAGGTCAATACCAAAATTGATAAATCCCGACGAATTTGCATCTCGAAACAAACAGTCATCGACCGATGATTCATCGCCCAATTCTCTGCGCGCTCTTCATCCGCCACACTCTCTCAATCGTCGCCATTTCATTTTTCCCGCCCATTAACACCTACATATGCACCCACCCAAGAACCTAGGTCGTTCATTGTTCTCAACACCAACTAAAGGTTCTTGATTTTGGCGTCGTTTTCCTCGATATTTCCATTAATTATTAATTTTTCGTCTGTTTGAGAACGAGAAACCTAAAATAATGGCCGACGAGAATAAGAATTGCGGTGAGTATCTGCTATATTCCCATTCTAACCATTATTATTATTTTTTTGTTAAATATATTTTCATATTTTTTTGCAGGTGAAGCCGTTCCAATCAAAATGAACAAGAAATTATCATTGTATGCGGAATTTTCGGAATTCACCCGCAAACAGATTCAATATTTCACCGAGACCTTCAAAAAGTTTGCGTTTTTTTCTTTTTTTATCCAACAATTTTCTTCATTTTTAGGTATGATGAGGATAATGACAATTTTATTGATTTCAACGAGTTGAAGCGAATGATGGAAAAGCTTGGAGAAGCTCAGACCCACATCGCCCTTAAGGAACTGATTAAAAAGGTTTTCAGAATTGTCGGCAGCTAAATTTGATTATTACAATTATTCGCAGGTCGACGAAGATCAAGACGGAAAAATTTCGCAGCGCGAGTTCTTGCTCATTTTCCGCTTAGCGGCCAGCGGTGAGCTCTCATGCTCCGAGGTTTTCAAAACGCTCGCCGATAGCATCGATGTGACGAAAGAAGGCGTCCTTGGGGCGGCGAATTTCTTTCAGGCGAAGGTATCGAAATCCCTTCTTCAGAATCCAATCAAATCGCGAATTTTCAGATTGAAGAGCAGACAAAATTGTCGCGATTCGAGGAGGAGATGCTCCAAGAAAAAGAAGAAAGAAAGAGAATCGAAGAGGAGAAGAAGGAGCGACGCGAGAAGTTCCTCGCAAGTCGCTCAATCTTCCATTGATCCGGCCCAATCCGATCCGACCCCTCACAACTATTTATTATTGATATTTTGAATCTCATCTTTCAACTTTTATGCGGTGCTATTGAGAAATAAATTTCGATCTGATCAGATTTCTACGAAAGGGATGCGTCATTGAAATCCTTAAATACTTATCAGTTTTCTGCTGCGGACAAATTGAATCGGAAAAAAACCAAAAATGCCCGAAATTTCTTATCATCACAAATATGCGATCAGTTGCAGTACATATTTTGTATCTGACGTGAAGAATGAGTTCCTACCGAATAAGAAGCTTTGAATCAGAATCATATTCTCAGGTAAATGAAAATCAATCGGATTCGAAAATTATTTAGTTCTCAATCGAAATCGAATATAAAATAATCTGTTTCGAATTATTCCAGAATTTCAATCGAATTCGATTTTAAAATTGAAATTGAGAATTAAATCATTCGATTTCGAAGGTTTTTGAATCGAAACCAAATTTTCAAATCGAATTTAATCACTTTCTTAATCGATTTTGAATTATTTTTTAATCGAAACAGGTTTATTTATATTTAATTTTTCTTCGAATCCGATTTTTTTTTCATTTTCCTGAGTTGCTGATTTGTTGTTTCTTCGCGTTTGAAATTTGTATTCTTTTTAAAAATTCAAGAACCGAATTGTCGTTTATTCCGGTAAAAAATTCAACTGTTTATGGTTTTTTCTTAAATTAAAATGGCTTAAAAAAGAAATTTTTTTAAAAATATTCTCTGCATTGCCCTTTTTCCGTCAATTGGAATCATAAGTTTAAATTCGAAAAATTTTTTTAATATTTTTAATCGCAAATCAAGTTTCCACCACTTGATTTGTGACTAATTGAAAAGTGCACGATTCACTGGTAGCCACGTCGTCACAATTCATATTTGCTCACCCAATAAAACGTAGTCCCACAAATTGATAACCGGGTCTTCCGAAACGGTTGATAAGGCAGCCAACCGAATTTGATCGCGCTATGCGACGTGTCGTTGTGTCTTTCATTCGCATTTTATAGGTAATCATGATCACCAGAGTTCTCCTCGTTTTGGCAATTTTTGGTGGAATCGTCGAAGCGAAAACGAAATGCGATGATGGTGTTGAGAATGTGATCAAATTCACTGATACCACAAGAGGTTTGATCTCATGTTTCAATTATATTTCATATATATTTTTTAATTAAATTTCAAGTTATTGAGTACGTGATAAATAAAGCGATATTCCAGGAAAGGGAAAGATCATTTTCACCGATTTCGAGGTCTCCACGTATGACGATGAAAAGAGCCCATCGTGCGTCAAAGGAAAACCGCAATTCAGACTTCCTGGACATTTCAAACTCACGAAAGGCAAATTCCTTAAACAACGAATCGAAATTATTTGATATTTAGGATTCATTGAAGTTAAAGAACCAATCACTGATGAAGATTCTCTTGAATTAGCGATGACCGTCGAGAAGGACAGCTTCATGATCGGAAAAGTGTGTGAAAATGGAAAAAGTCAAAATTCATTCGTCCCCGACCAACTTTGGTACTCTTCGATTGTTCAAGAGAATCGATTAATTCGATTTCTTCGAAATTTTCAGCAAATTCAAATTGTGCAGCATTGCTCCAAGTGTGTGCGCTCTTCTTCGCGTCAAGACCAGCGCACCAATCGACGTGACACCGTTCGTTCAGAAAGAGCCGATTGACATTGGAGCTTTGCCAATTCCGCAACTCGGCGTAAGAGTCGATCACAGCATTCGCACGGTTTTGTTCAATTTCTAGGGAAACTGGAAAATCTCGGCGAAAATCGTGCAAGGCTCGAAAACTCTCGCTGGAGTTCAAATCGGAAATGGAAAGACGTGGCTCAGCATTGACGTAAGCTTCATCCGTGGCATCAAACTCTTTTCAAATCCCAATTATTCAGTCGCAAGAGGGTGCTGGAGGTGGCCTCAACTTCAACCCAGTGCCACCATCAACTGGCCACGAAGAGTTGTAAAAAACAGTAATTATTATAATAATTTGTTATTTATTATTATTCAATTTGTTAACTATTTTGTTATAAATATTATAGTAAAGCTATAACAATATTAAGGGATCGTTTAACCATATATGGTGTATAGTTAAACGATGACGTGGTCGCGGATCATCTTCAGCTGGACGTCGTGAGTGTTATCGAACGCTTGGTCGTGATTCAGATCCGTGTAAACTTTCTGGCCGGTTTGTCCAGGTAGAGGAGAAGTTAACTGCATCAAATATACAAAGATAACGAGAAATTGATTGAGCATTTACCTGACCGCATACGGTATAACCAACCATTTGGTCTCGTTGGGTGTAGATTGAATAAGTGTACTGGCCTTCGTAATGAGCATACCGATTGATATCCTTCAAATTTTCAAGTCTGTAGAAGACTCCAACTGATACAATTCATTTATGTGAGACTCAATTTAAAGGATGCATTTTGTCTATTCTCTTGTCGCCTACTTATTACTTTAAATTATTCTGACCGCAAGTATAAAATATGAAACAAATAATATTAATCGCTTCGAAACCCATAAAAGGCTTAACGGCAAACCGATAATGTACCAGAATGATTTTTTGTAAATGACAACAATTCGTAAAATATATCAACTAAAAATCAACATTTTTCAAACTGGCAGTTTTTGTGATCAAATTGAACCACTAGGAATCTGCTTAGAATTCTCAATTTTTGGGATTCAGAAGATGTGCATAAAGTCTTAAGAGTTTCATGACTCGGAGTTGATTTGTATTCATTTATTGTTTGAGTACTATTTTTGAAAATATCAAATTACCTGTAGAAATTCACTTTGAGCCGGACAGTTTCCGGAATACAACCCATTTACTGAATTACAAATTGGCGAAATCGAAAGAGCACAGGCTGGAATTGAAACACCTCCCACTTGAGGAGCCGCACCGCGATTTGGTCCCGCAACGCCGACATAGGTATCGACTACACGAGTCAAAGGCCCTCCGAGATACTCACCAGTGTCGACACAACGACCTCAAAACGTATATAAAATAATAATAAGAATAATTTCCAAACGGCTACCTCCCAAAATTGCTTTTCTCGATACTGGAACCCCTAGCGAAAATCCGATAACATCAATATTTCTGCCGGTGTACAATCGAACGGCGACCATAAGAGCTCGCACCTTCAATGATTGTTTTAAGTGCTAAATTTCCAGCTAACAATAAACTTGTTTGACATATTCGCATCGCATTGAGTACTCCACCCATTTCAGTGGATTTCCCTGTGCTCCATTGAAGTATGTCGTCGAGTAGATCTCGTTGTCCTTGTAGCCATTCTGCCTAGACATCTCATTTCTCGACGGGTTACGATTTTTCACGGCTTACTTGAACCATGTCGCCGCGTACGTCGGCTTCTCGCCTGCCGTATCTGAGACACCATGGACAATTATCAACGGCTGATTCTTCAGCGTGTCGTTCCTATTCACTTTGCCGCCAAATGATCCACCTGGTCCTAAATCCATCCTGAAACATTTTCGAAATTCCACAATCGATATCAACTCGAACAATATACCGCTCTAATTGATCGCGAACCATCGGACCATAATAATCGGCGAGCCATTGCGAGAAGTCCGGCGTGAATTTCGACGCGACGGGTCTCGACAAGAACGCGAGAGCGACGACAACGATGGGCAGTCGAGACATAATTGTCCCCCGCCGGAAAAAAGAAATCCGACATTAATAAATGTATTCGGGTCAATCGCAAACGGAATTATGCACGAAAAAAAGGAATAAAGAACATCGAAATGGCTATTTCAAATTCAATTATTTATTTATTTTTTTACAAATAACGGTTTTTTTGTTTAAGTTTTTTAATTGCAGCTTCAACATTTGCTTTTTCATTAACAATTTGTTAGCTATATTGACAAATTGTTAACATCGGTTTCTAAAAGTTGATTCTGCAAGGTGATTGTTAGATTTACTGATTTTTTTGAAGCCATACATTCAACAAATGTTTGAAACTAAAAGCTAAACATGGGCAAAAAAGTGCAATGTTTGTGAGGGATCGAAATACTGACAAGACCGCGGATGAGGTGCGCGAAACAGGATTGACGACGCTTACGTTATCCTCGTAACACCGCCAAAAGCGCGCGTTTTGAGACGATGCGACGCGCAAGAATATCAAGTCCATTCTTTTCTCGGCCTGGTGGCGACGACAACGACGACGACAGACGGCGACGACAAAAACCAGACCTGGTTTTGGTTTTCTTTTGGCCGTGCCTTTCCATGAAATTGATGCCATTAAAAATCACAAATCCTTCAAAATGTTTGACGCATTATCGCCATTTGATTCGTCCAATTCGAATCATTCACACTTCTTAAGCCATAGTTTTTTTTTGAAAACTTTGTTCATGAGTGTTTTAACGCGGCATGAAACAACGAAAAAAATCGCAAAAAAATAATAAATAAAATTATATAATTTAGAAGTTTAATTCCAAAATGGCAGTTTGAAGTTTCGCGATATTTCCGATCAAACTGAGCACATTTCCAGTTGAATTCGCATGAAGTTTCATCGAAGGAAGCCTTAAATCATTCAATTTCTGAAGTTTCAGCTAAAATTTGAAACTCTGACGGCGTTGGAAACGAGCAAGCGTCGCATAAATGCAAATGAGCACAAATTGATTGATTCGGCTCAAATCGTTTCAATTGCACATAAATTTCGCCAAGGATGTCTTCTACTAACAACAAACGGTGTTCGAAATTTAATCGAAGCTTAGAGATTCTTACCAACACTTTGGCAGATCTTGTCGAGAATCTCATTGAATCCCAAAACCGAATCGCATAGTTTGCTGGCATCCTTCAAAAAATTAAAAAAAACAGTCCAATCGCAGAAAAATCGCAAACTTCACCTTTTTCAGCGTCTCATTATCTATCGCTTCATCCACTAAAACAACAATTTGTTCACATCGCGTGCACAGAAATGTGAAAATGTTCGATATACTGTGAATAACGTCTCCTATTCGATCATTCCGACGGGACTCGATTGGCCGGACAACGAGGAGTATCGCGAAAATCGCGCATATTTTCAACATTTTGCACAACACTAGGAATAATAATAAAAAAATTCTTATCAAAACGATTTTAAAGGCGCTTAACAAACCGACACCAAAACAATAAATACATATTTTAGGTTAACAAAATACAAAAATTTCAAGTCGAATCATATTATAGCAAAACAACAAGTGATTAATAGGTGACGTCATTTATTTAGTACTGCTCTCCGTCGTCTTCAGTGTCTTCACCTTCGAAATACGACTCATAACGATCATTGATAGCAAAGCTGCAAAAAATAAAAATAATTACTTCAATTGGGACTAATTTTTGATTTTTGTAGTCGGCTACTGTACACTCTGAAAAATTGCTCGTAATCGCCTTCAAACGCGCCACATTCGAATGCTTATTTTTCCAGTTTCATGTGTTTTGTCGACGTCGCGCGACTGCCGAAAATTGGCAAACGATTCCTCACTACCAATTTCTCATTCCACTACGGATTTTTCACTACCAAATTTAATATTTAATTAAAAAAAAGATTTTCTTTAAACTCGTTTTTTTTCTGAAATGAAGTGGATTATTGATAAAGTCAAGAAGAATGACTATAAGAAAATTTCGTAGTGAAAAAACGGTAGCGAAAAATCGAAAGTGAAAAAACGGTAGTGCAAAATCGGTAGTGAAAAAAAACTATAATTTCGGTAGTGAAAAATCCGTAGTGGAGTGAGAAATCGGTAGTGAGGAATCATTGGCCCGAAAATTGGGTAAATGCCAGACAAACAATGTCAATGATCTTGGCGCAAAACTAAAGTGTAGATTTACGAGCTTGTGCACACCCGTACCTAGATACCTCTAATTTTTGGCATTTCGCCTATTTTCCGCAGTCGCGCGACGTCGACAATACTGATTTTTGGTATCAAATACGTATTGAGGTCTGTTAGGATGAAAGACACGCAAAGAAGCCGCTAAATTTTGAAATGAAGTCGAAAATGACATTGCGGACTTGTGCATTTTATTTGCCGAAAACACACGCGTTGTTTGCTTTGTGATCGTTTTTCTCCGGAACCAAATCACGTAGAATTTTCGTTTTTTTCGACTTCTCTAGTTTTCATAATAATTTAAGATTTTTTAATTACTGCCCCATGTTAAACTATCATAAACACCTACTTTGCAAATCTTCGATGAATTCCCTCGTCAGGGAAAGCATTTTCTCCATTATGCCAATTTTCTGCTGTCAGCTCACCATATATATCGTCACTGTCCGAGTTCTGAAGATGGTTTATTTTCCTCTCTGCCACTTTTTTTAAAGTATTTCTCCTTTTTTAAAACATTTATCGTTGTGATAAAATTATTCAAACTTACTTCATCATATGAGTCCTCATCGGGGTAGTCGTTTCTCCAATTGTCCTCAGCATTTGAATCATCATCGTCATCCGCGCGAATATCTGAATCATTGTCAGACTCATGTGGGTTTACGAGCTCTGCTTCATATCTGAAAATATGAAATAGTGAAAATTCAAGAAATAAGATAAAGTATTTACCTGCTCGCAAATCGGACATCAAAAGTGTCATGAGAAACTGCATTGGATTCCAAGAATTTGTGCGAATACAAGGCAACATTGCAATCGTTATCTAGGCGAACCTTGTAGTAGTCGAAAACGACATCGTCCTCTGGAGAATTTTGAGCTTCTTGAGCTACTGGTACAAGAACTTTTCCATTCAACTGGAAAAGTATAAGTCATTTCTATGATACGTCTTCAATTGTACCATCACTCTATCAGCTTCCTTTGGTTTTTCAACCTTCTCTCCTCCAATTTGTCCAATTGCCGAATCATTCACAAATGCAAGAGGATTTGAACACCCTTCTTCTTCTGAATAATATATTAACGTATGAAAATCATTAAAGTATACTGATACCTTCCATTGGTTGGTCACTTTCCGGAAGAGTGGGAAGATCGACAACTGGGACTCCGGCCAATTCTTCATCAGCGTGTTCCGCTAGCTTAGCATCCTTGGTCTTGAAAAGCGTGAATACGACGGGTTCCGCCTGTTTAACCCTTTTTATCTGGACGATTAGTGCTTCATGGGGGTCAGCAGTCCGTTTGCGGCTCACACGAATTAGCGGGGCATTTTGAGCCATTCTAAATAAAGAGTTTGACAAATGTTAATGATGAATAATCGATAATTAAGTATATAATTGAATAAACAATTATACATAACAGAACTAGAACAAGTTATATGTAAAACTGAAATTATTTATAAATTAGGTAAGTACAGAATGAGATCATTAATAGCCACGATCGATTTCATTAGCAGTGTTGAACTTCTTTATGGCGAGTTCTAGGCGGTATTCAAGCAATGATAGTTCTCCTAATAAGTCTGTGATTGCAGAATTCAAGGCGTCTGCAGGTGTGGTATCTTCAGTCGTCTGTACTCGCAACAAAATCTTTAAGAATAATAATTAAGATTAATAGTTGATAAGAAAAATTGCCTTGTGCTCCAGTGGATGAGGATTTTTATAGCCAGCGAACAACACGTTTGGATCGCGCAAAAGCTGGCTTAAACTCATAGTTAATGAAATTATTTTAAAGCCAAATCACATACTTTTTAAGCATGTTTCCGAGTGTGTGATCCTCTTTGTTCAATGTGAAGATCGCGGCATTCGGAACCTAAAACCAATTTAAAAATAAATTAAATTTGCAATGTAAAAACAAAACCTTGGTGTCTTTTTCAATTTCGATTTTCTTCTCATCAAGAAGCAAAAATGATTCGAATGCTGATGGAGCATTCATCCTAAAATATCTAATTTAATTAATTAAAACATATATAAAACGAGCGGAAAAAATTGGAAAATTCGAAAATCCGGGGGACGCTTGTTTGAGTCAAGTCAGGTCAAAACTGACGCGTTTGCGGTGTAGCTGGCGTATTTTCCGACACAGAGGCTTTTGGCTGTAGTTTGTCTAATAATTGGGGAAAGAAATATATATTTGCGCAAGCTTTTACAATTTCTTATTGAGTTTTGTTAAAAGTTGCAATTAAGCAAGAAAAGTGTTTTTGCTTATAGGCTAGCCAAAATAGCGTGCGATATTCTCGGGTTTAAATTTGGAAACTTTCAAAATATCAAAATTTTTACCGAGAGGGTTTCATCTAATCAGAAATTAAAATGGAAATGCACTGAAGGCATTCACCGAAGTGCATGTTTTAAATCGAGTGAATTCATTAGGGACATTAGAGAAAAATCTAGATGCGTTAATTGAGCGCCTCGAATAGTGCGATGGTCCACAATTATTCAAGGCGCCCGTTTTTTTGCAAATTTTTATAACTATCATTATAAAAATTTAATTAAACTATGCAGGTTTTGAAACATGAAACAGATAAGGGGCTATTCAGAAAAAAAATAGAGAAATTAGAAATTGTCAAAACTTTGTTTCCTTTTTTCTGAATCCAAATTTTCGTTTTCTCACCAAAAATTTCGTTTTCTCACCACCGACGCCTCAGGATTTTCTAATCCGGAAAATGGGAAGAAATAAATATTATAAGGCAATTTTCCGCAATCACACGGCAGCGAAATTTAATACCTAAAACATTTAAAAAATATGTATATCAAATCCATTAGAATATTAAAACTACGCGATCTGCATTAGTATTTAGCCATGTGCATTGGGTTTTCGGCATCATGGTCTCGGTGCGAAAGGTCGACGAGCGTCTCGCAAGAAGTGTGCGAATAGAGCACAATAGCACCCGATGCTTTCCGATAAATAACTCCAAAATTATTCGCATTTTTTTGGGGAAAAAATTAATATTTCAAATTGCATATCGATGAGTAATACTCACCACACAATAATTCTGTTCAATTCACTTCTTTTTTCTCAATTACTTTTCCTTTTTCTATTCATAAAAAAGCTGCTTATACTTCAATTATTTTCTATATGTACACGTTTATTCGATCAAAGCAAAAAAGGTAATAACCAGTCAGAAACATACAAATAATTAAAGTTTTTGTGATCTACACATCGTCGGTGGGTTTAAGCGATGACGGCGAATTCGCTGGTTAAAGACTTGACATCCTTGGAATCGGATGGAACCGCTGGATGATCGCTCCAGAGCCTTCGCCAGATCCCTCAAGAACCGCCGTTTCGCCGGAAGCCTCGCCAGAAGACTCGACATGAGCATCAACGTGGGCCTCGCCGCTTCCTTCGCCAGATGCCTCGACTCCCGAGGATTCTACACCGCTTCCTAAATCGTCCAATATTATATTCAAGCATTCTTGTTGTATTCCAACCTTCTCCGCTCGCTTCAACAACATCACGACGGGCCCGAAGATGGTCGAATTGGGCGAAAATCGGCACAGCGACAACAGCCAACAAAGCGATGAGAGTGACGGTCTGCATGACTAATCTGTAACAAATTATAAACTATTTGTCGAGGTCACTTATAGTTAAATGAAGATAAGAACTGGTTAAGCGCATCATCTATTTATACCGAATAAAATGGGACCGGTTTTGAATAGAATCGCTCAATAATATTTTCGAGGGGGGCGGCGAAAGTGGTCCGAATGAAAATTGAAATAAAATTGTCGAGCGAAGTGAATGAATGGGCGAAGTGAATGAATACGAAACAAGTTTGGTTTTCGTACTGCTTTTATCTTTTCGGAAATCACCACGGCCTTTTATATGTATATCCAGCCCCCTTCAACGGAAGCCACGCCCAGTTTTGGTCATTTGTTTGGCGGGGGTCAGGCAAGCTTCTGCTTCTGCTTCTACTTCTGCTGCTGCATTGTTTCGGCACGTGAAACACACCTAGCGTGCAGCGTGGGAAAAAAAGAAACCTATACACCTTCATTGTTGTGGGTTTTCAACAATAATCATGATGACGGCTGGAAATGAAACCTTTGAAAAAAAAAAGAAACGATATTATCGAGCGAGCGAATAATTGGAAAAAGCTTGTTGGCCCGATTTTAAACCCATCATGATGAAATTTCACATCAAAATAGGAAGTTTTTACTTGATGGTGGCAATTGATAAGAAGGAGATTGATGAAAAAACATATAAAACGAAAGGAGGAAGCGAAATGTGAGAAGATCTTGAACTTTAATTAAATCCTTTGATTACTCCTCAGGCAAATCAAATCAAATATTTTGAGAATCAAATATGCAATAATAAACTCTAAAATATTTTGTGAAATTCTAAAGTCTTTTTTTTATACTTTCTAAAACTTATTGAGAATCGTTAAACTTTTAAAAAAAAATTTCTAAAATTTATTGAGCTAATTCTAAATTATCTCAATAAATTCTAAAATCTTGAAATAATTTTTAAAATTGATTGAGAAAATTCGAAAATATTATAGAGACACGTTCGTTTTTCTCAATGAATCTCAAAATATTTTATTCGATTTACCTCAGTCATTGTGTTAAAAAAAAACAGCATCAGTTTTACATTGATCCATCTGCCGACGATTTTTGAGATTCACTAGTCGGCATTTTCCGGTTCAGAAGCCAAATGTTCGGTTTTTTCGTGGTATTGCTTGCAGCGCAGTTGTCCAAATAAGGTTACACCATTTTGTTCGACTCGTATGTTATTTTTTTTTGCAACATTTTCAAGTGTTTTGCCCTCCTTGCCTCAATTCATAATGTCGAATTGTCCTTGAACCAGTAGTCAAATTAGGCAACAAAAATAGCGAGTGGAATCTGTTTGTGCGGCGATCCGGTCGCTCGGGAATGCCAAACTTTATTGGTGCGAACGAGATTCGAAAGAGCGAGAGAGAGAGAGAGAGGGGGGAAAGAGACAAAAAATGATGACTCCTCATTTTATGATCTCTGTGGTTTTGCTAAAGCTTTTTTGGAACGCAGTTTGCGATTTGCGAACACGAACACGTCAAACGGCTAAAACAGGCGAAGCAAAAAAAATGAGGAGCGAAAGTGAGGTGTAAAGTATCTCGCATGCATCGCTGCCCAAATTTGGCTATGCTGTTTTGACGGAATCACCGGACGTTCTGACTAATGATTAGAGAATTAATTTTGGCGGCCAAACTGTCGGTATTTCTGAAAAATGTTCGCAAAATCTCCTCATCACTTCTCACAAAGAATATTTTGAAATTGCATATTCTCAAAGCGAATTCCAATTCGATCGTTGCTTTCAGTCCCAGAAAAATGCAACAACTTTGCTTGCTGAAATTCGATCTAATTTTTTATGGAGTTCGAAAAAAAGCATCTCAGTATAAACAGTGTGCAAATGATAAACATTCAATTGGTTTTTCTTCGAATTCCCCACCGATTCGGCATATCAAAAAATTCGATCGCTGCTAACACATAATAATGCTTAAAAAGGCAGACGAATCGATGAAGTGCGATGAAATCGGCATTTGTGATCGCATAGATCCCAATCTCCTAATTTGGACATGATTCTTGAAATTGGCAGATTCGAATTGGACGAAGACAGAAAAAGCGAATTCAAACTGCCACATTTTTGTGTAAAATACTTTGTTCCAGAATATTTTCAGCCAAAAAGTGTGACCTTTTACACAAAATCACATTGATACGGTTCGCATTGTTCTGCAAAATGCCGGCAAATTGTCCGCAGCTCAGTTTTTTCGAAAGTAAAATGAAATTGGTGGAATTTTCGATGAAACGTGTGTCTAACAAAAGAATTCGCCTATTTTTATTTTGCGATTTATTTCCGAGATTTTTTAATTTTTCTATAGTTTTGAGTTTCCTATTTTATTAAATTTAGAAACTTCAAAACACAAAATATGATGGTGAGGAATCTTCGAACTCTAATTTTCGAGAAGACAAGAGGCCGACTGGAAAAACAAATAACGAGAAGCTGTTTTCGATTTTTAAATATTTCACTTGTACTTTTAATGCGCTTCGAGACCAATGTTTCGCATTACTGTAGCAACTGTTTACACGAATTCTGTTGTAAACCGCTAATGATTTGGCCTACTGCAGACCGCGTGTAGATTTACGCGCATACTATGGTCTCGCGCGGATTAACATGTTATTTTGAATTCTAGGGGTCGGTTCGTTAATTTTTAAATTGAATGAGGAAATACCAAACTCATCAAGAAAAATTAAAGAGTCCATGGGAAAATTTCAAAAAATAGCCGTCACATGTGGTGAGACCCATTCGAAAGACGCACTCGTAAATCTACCCGATTACATCAGCCACGATTATAAAAACAATTTTGGAATTTATTTGAAAATTGAAAAATACACTGGCAAGGTGACTGAAATTCAATCAATTCAAATATGTTTGAATAATAAAATGATTAAAAATATGGTATATAAAATCATTGATCAGTGTAATGTTTTTCGAGAAGTGGTCTCGAAGCGATGTTCATTTATTTTTTTTTGTCAAGTGAAAATCCGCTCACAGCTAATAATTGATATGTTGTTAGGAGGGGTCTGACCCAAATGGCGAGACGACGACGGATATAATCATAATAAATCAGAAGAGAAATAATAGAAATATGGAAACGTAAAACATAATTAAGAAGCGAACATTGAAAGAATGAAAAGAAGGAAATGATAGATGGATTGCGGAGGCCCGTCATCTCCGCACCCTTTTTGGCGCATTCTTATCAATTATGCAATTTTATATTTATATATCTAGCAGACGGCATTTAGCTTAACAAGTTTTCAGTGTTCTGGATCCGCATGTCTTGATTATGAATGAGAATAGAGTGATGTCCGACGAATAACGCAAATATTTCGGAGTTTGCGGATTATCAGTCCCTTTCGTTCCGCAAAAGGTCGAACAAATATTTTTGAACAATCAATCGAACACATTTTGTTTCCTATTGTGTATCAAACGTATGCATAACTACAATATATATCAAAGGCGCATGCAAAAAGAAAAAAAAACGTTGATAAGAAATCAAATTGTATTCGGTCAAATTGTTTGAATTTTCGACAATAATATAGCAAAGAAAAACGAGTACGTTGAAAAAAAAACAAAAAATAACGGGATTTCCATTTAATTACTAATAATTATTACTAATATGTATTAATATTTGTAAAAAGATGAATGTTTTTTTTTAACTATTATATTTGCAAAAAACGAGCGCCATACGCCTATTTACAGGGTTATCCAGAGTACGGTAGCCAAATTCCCACTGATGAAATCGAAATTTGAATTGCCGCCTCGAAAATTATTCAAAGGCGCTCGTTTTTTAGCGATGATAATAGTTTACTCAGAAAAAATTAAAAAAAAAAAACAAATTTTCTATGAAAATTTGATGTTGTTAAAATAGACCAAAAGAATTTGTTGGGACTAATGAACATTCATCTAAATCTAAAATACGCGGGCTGCCTATCGGGACCCAACGCGGCAATTCAAATGATACAGTAATCGTTTCACCAATTCATCCGTCTTTGACTATAGAGTATTAGTAAATTTACATAAAATGATGGCATTATGAACAGTTTCAACATAAATATAAGGAAGAGAATTGAGGCTTAAAAAAGATTGGGTTAAAAGGGTCCCAATTTAAAATGTTGTAAAGTTTTGAATAATTTCATCAAATTTTTTCCAATTGAGAAACAATTCTTCTTCTTTTTTCACAATGACGAGATGCGTTTTCAAACGGCTTGATTTCAATAATATTTATGCAAATCGATAAGATGTTAATTCATAATTATGTCACTTTTTCGGCTTCTTCATTGTACTTTTCTCTTTTGTTTTTGAGTTATTCAATGACTCGTCTTTCGCATGCTCATCCCTTTCCACCTCCAAATCAATCACTTTTCCATCCCCCGGCACCTCAATTGGGCCCATATAAGGATGATCAGGGTCCCAATCAATTGGATCCGAATCCTGTAGTCATTTTCAGTTGTTGGTTCTTCGAAAACGATCACATACTTTGATATTGTTTGCGCTCGCTGCATGCTGCATACAATAATAAATAAACTGATAGTCGGGAACCGCATAATATCCCAAACTATCAATATATTTCAATATCCGATTAAACTCCTTTTTCGGGCAATTGTAGAAGAAGTCATCGAGGGCGTCGGTTTTAGTCCGAACTTCGATTTTGTGTTGAAGCACCTTCTCGCGATCTGTCGCCTTCAATTTTCGCCATGGAAGCCCTCCAGAAGTCCATTCGACGACCATATAAAGCCAACCTACAAATTGTAATTATCAAAATTTGTTGAAATCTCTTGTCGACTACCCTCCAAATCATCTTTTCTCGCTTGATCTACCTGATTCATTGCACTTAAAGGCGCATAGCGAGTTGTTCCGCGAAAAGGTGCTGTAGCTCTCGGAGTCCGAATATCTTTTCCTTCCTGTTGAATACATTGCAATTAGCGCGGTTCGCCCATTCGGCTTCCTTACAGCACGTTTCACAAACTCGCGACAAAGTCCAAAGTCGAGCATGAAGATGATGTGGTGCTCATTAGTTTCCTTCCTACCGGCAGCAAAGTTTCCAGGCTTGATGTCGCGGTGAAGAAAACCGAACTTGAAACAATAACAATAAAAACATCTGCGGACAATATAATGCTAATAACGTTTTCAGGAAGACCGGAACAACGAAAGAGAAAATAGGCTAAAATTCCAATTTTAATAGCCAATTAGGTTTTGCGATTTGTCAGCAGCAACGCATGTTCATAAAATGAATATCGAAGACGACTAGTCAAGACGAACCCGATGAAGTTGCTCAATGGCTACTAGACACTGATTCGCTGCCTTGATCGACGTGCCTAACGAGAATCGACCATCCGGGCGATCTTGTCGCAAATCCCACAAATTCTTTCCGATCTCAAGAAAATGGCTCACACTCGAATATGCTTCTCCCCAATAAGGCATACCAGTGTCATGACGATGAAATTGAAGCGATCTTTGACTGCGGCGCGATCGATCACCGAACAGAAGTGTTTGGATTTGATCTGCGAGGCGCCTCGCATCACATTGCAGTCCATCAGCAGCACCTTCTTGATCGCATTCGATTTTTCGCATTTGATCGCGAGCTTCTCGTTGTCGCTGATTCGACACACCAGAAATACCGCACCATAGCCACCTTTGCCTAATAAAGCGCCAACCTGTTAATCTCCATTTATGAGAAATTTGAAAATTGAATACCAAACTTTATATTTGTCCTTTTTTGTTTTCAAAATTTCATCTTCTTTTGGTAGCACCTCATCTGTCTCATCCGAAGACATATTTAGTATAGCTTTGTGCACAATAGGAATATCAAACTGAAATTGATTTGACGGCAAACACGCGAGAAAATTATCGATTAAGCAATTGATAACAATTCTTTTTAATTGATCCAAAACTTCTTCCAAATGAAAAAAAATACGCATCTGCGGACAAATCATGTCCGAATGCGAACAATCAGAAGGTTATGGAGATGTTACGTTTCATTTTTCCCACTGAATCCGATTTTCGAATCGAGTTTGACCTAGTAATGGATTTTAGGATTTGTGGATGTTATCCGAGTGAAAGTGTGTGTTTGTGTTTTGCCTCCTCACATTCTCCTTCTCAATTCGGCCACGGTCAATCGAGTTAGCCAAACACGTTTCGCGCGCAGGTGGTGAGATTTGCGTGAGGCTTTCCCGTTTCTGCCCCCCAACAACGACCGCCCATTTGTGGAAGTGGGGCCGGCCGGGAGGAAGAGAAGGCATCGAGGCCGTCGTCGGCGCAACGAAAAAAAAACTTGGCCGTGGATCAGTTTTGGTTGGCATTTCGCTATCTCATCGCACGGCATTCATCATGCGGATTCTCTTGATCATACTATTGATCTGTTACACAGGTGAGTGATTCGACAAAAAAAAAACAAATACATTCAATTGCAGCTCGTGCGATTCTCGCCAAATCCTCATTGGACTGCGACTTCTCTGGCGATTGCTGTTGGGCGACAACTCGCGAAGACGAGCAGTGGGAAGTCCGACATGCCGATGAGCTCGACATCAATGAATTCCGAAAAACGTTCTTGACCGGAAAATCGAGACCCCCACCAAGTATGTTGCTCAATTTCGTTAATCACAATTCAACAACAATATTGAGTTTTTAAAAATGAGAAAAAAATGTTCGAATCGATTGAAAACCCTATTCCGTCGCCACTTTACAAGCCAAACCACAATTCCAATTTTTTTGGGTTGAATTTTGCACAATTTCAGATGGAAATTATGCTATTCGAGTAGAGAATAAACGCAAATCCTCACTGATCTCGTGTGCAGTTTGCAGTCGAAACGGAACTGTTCAAGTCAAATTCCGGTAAGATGTTTCTGAGATGCGTCTACCGAAAACCGGACACCGTTTAGCCGCAATCCGCTATTGCGAATTAATCATAAAAACGGTACGCATTTTCTGCGGTAGCTGCGTTTGAACTTTGACGCTTTTCGAGGGAAATCATCTGCGGACAATTATAAACAGCAAAAAATGTCCGATGATATTTTTATTTTTAATTAAAACAAACTTTCTTTCGGTAATATTCAACTGGGTTTGATAAAAAATTTAAACCAGATAATCCGAATTTGAAATGTATTTTATAAAAGGAAACCAATTGAAATGCCAAAAACCATATATCATATATCCACAAGACATTAATCGGATGAATTTGTGGGCTGATTAAACAAAAATCAAGCTGCGGACAATTTCAGGCATTGGCAAAGTGCGAACGCGATTCTCAAAATCTGTTGGCAAAATGAAGGCGATGGTAGTCCAGCGGCAGAAAATTGTCAAGATGCGAGACATTCAAGACAGAGCAAGCTCAACACGTATTCGTTCAGAAATATCGAAAGAAACCGTAATTTTCGGGTATTGTTAGAGAAAAATCGAACGAAATTCCAAAAAAAAAAATCGTTGCAGCTCGTTTTCATTGTTGAGAATGCGGACGCGGAAAAAAGCGGCAACGAGGCGACGATTCTTATTGATCGGATTACGGTGGATTTCGCACCGTGCGAACACCAACATCGTGCAAGTCACTCAATTCAGCGTGTCACTGAACACAAGAAGCAGAAAAGGATGAAACGACCGAAACAGGTTTCAAAGGTCCCTCAAAATTGCGCGGATTATGTTGATGAAACTCGAAAATCGATAAAAAAACAGAATGAAATGAGATTTCCGAAATTTATAATTCGATATCTAACAATTAAACATTTCTTTTTTTTTTTTAAACGTAGGGCTCATTCTCGATAATCGATGCTTCCAATATGGTTATTGAGCGTACGCATTCTTCTGATACCTCTGGTAACTCAAAACCAATCGGATTCGACAAAATTCGGCTCTAGAATTAACCTTATCCGATTGGAAATTCTACGGATCAGATTGTAAAATTGTCGTATCCGATTGGTTTTTTGGGTATTTTCGTGTACGATTGGTATCCGTTTTGTTTTAATATTTCAATTCGAATCGGATTCGACAAAAAACCAATCTGATCCGTAGAATTTCCAATCGGATAAGGTTAATTCTAGAGCCGAATTTTGTCGAATACGATTGGTTTTTACTTACCAGAGACATTGGATCATTCGTCTGCTGAAGTCTTCTTTAGACCATCGATATTTTTAAACTCAGGTAAATGAAAATCAATCGGATTCGAAAAGAATTCCTTTTTCAATCTAAATCGAATGTAAATTAATCTGTTTCGAATTATTCCAAAATTTCAATCGAATACGATTTCAAAATTGAGAATGAGAAATAAACCAATCGATTTCGATGATTTTTGAATCGAAACCAAGATTTAAAATCGAATTTAAGCGTTTTCTTAACCGAATTTGAATTATTTTCAATCGAAACAGGTTAATTTATATTTAATTTTTCTTCGAATCCGACTGATTTTCATTTACCAGAGAAATTGGCCTATTTCTTCAAAATAGTTAAAGCTGTATGAGTACGGAGATTTTGATGTTTGTCATTATAATGTATTGATAAAGTCAGGAAATTTAGACCCGCCCTGCTTATAGTCAATTCTCGACAATATTTGAGCATTTTCTAAACAGACCGAGTCCGAAAATTATTGTGCAATAGTTTAATGAATAAAAGCTACCAATTTTGAAGAAAACTCTGCGCCTCTTTTAAACTCGGTTTGCTCAATATCTGCTTGAAAGTTGCGAGGTTTTGCCAAATTTGGCTGAGCCCGTATATTGTTAGCCCATTGAGAGCGGGTTTGCCGATCGTTGAACTCCTTTGCTCATCTTCATTCCATTTTAAAACCAGAAACAAGTGAATGGGTAATTTTGGGGTGCCCTACTTGATTTTTTTTTGCATTTCTAGCAAAACATTTAACATAATTATCTGTAGAGTAAAGGGCAATTTGATGCGTTTTTTTTGAATCATAATATTCTTTTTGCAGAATGGTACAGTGACATTGGAAAAACTCGCGAAACTCGATGAGAAATTGAAAGAAAAAATCAAAAATGAGGAAAAAGAAAAAGCTTATTTGAAGAATGTCGATCAACAAATTGCGAAAGTCGTCGAAGAACTCGACGCCAAAACGAAGCCTGTTGATCGTAAAAACATTTTTTTTAATTAAAACAAATTTTGATTTTAAATTTTCAGCACTTACCGATCTTCTTGGAAAAGAATTTGTCGACTTCCTTGATCCGAATTACGAATATGATGACGATGAAGAAACTGAGAAGGCCGAGACTCCGAAGAAAACTACTCCTGCTCCTGTAAAAACGACAAAACCGCCGGTGAAACGAGTGGAAACCGCGAAGAAAGAAGTTCATCCAGAAACTGGAGCAGTAAGTTGAAAGTTTTGAGAATATGATCCAATTTTCGAACAGATCAATAAGCCGAAAAATCTGCAACCAGCCACTAATCACCTTCCGATTCGTCCAATTGCTCCACCGTCGGAAATTCTCAAGTTTATTCCACGTGGCAAGCCGATGCCTGTCCAGCCGCAAAACGGCGCCTTCTCGTTGCCATCTCAACCACATCATCTGATTCCACTCGGAATTCCGTCGACGTGCGACACCGCTGGTGGTTGTCTATTCGAAAAAGATTTCTGCGGATGGCAAACGCCGGCGACAATCCAAAACAAGTTCTACATCAAGAAAGTGGTGCCGTCGAGTTTCGCTGAAGCCATCGTACCCGTTGGAGAAGTCGCTGTCATGGAAACCACGACGAAAATGACGCAAGCGCATACGGTAATCGATTGATCTACAATGAGGTCGAAATATGTCCGCAGCTGATACTGTTGGTTTTAGATCCTATTCGACTCTCTCGAGTTCACGACTGGGACCCGTTTGATCGCCTGCTGTCTCGCTGGGGACCAATTCGTCTGCCCATTTTCGACACCATCTGAACAATCGGCCGTTATCTGGCAATTCTCAAAGTTTGAATGCCCAATCGGAACATCCAAGGTTCGCTTTGAAGCAATTATGTCAAATTGACTACCAGTTTGTATAGTTGGCGTCCGGCGACTGCTGTACTCGGGTAGATTTACGGGAATGCTTCTTTCTCTTGGTCTCGCGCGGACTAACTGGTTATTTTGCAATTTATGGGTCGGTTCGATAATTTTTTAATCGAACGACGTTAGAAATTCCAAGAAATGCCAAATTTATAAAAAAAAATAAATTATTCGCGTGAAAGCAGCAAAATAAGCATTCACGCGTGGTGAGACCTTTTCAAGGCGCATGCGCGTAAATCGTACAGCAATAGGTCGCCGACTATAGTGGGAAAAATTCGGTCAATGTCAAAAAAGAACCAATGGCAGTGGTCTTGGTGCAAAACTATAGATGTAGATTTACGGACTAATGTATATATAAGAATGGCTTAAAGGAGCACACCGCGCACCGAGACCCATTTTAAAATTTTTGGCATTTAGCCAATTTTCCGCAGCAACGCCGACTTTTTTTGAAACACAATGTCATTCTGAGGAATCATTAGATTCTCAAGGAATTTGAAATTCAAAAAAAAATCGGTTCTATTGAGATTGCGTTCATCTGCGAAAACTATGGCCTAACAAACGGGATCTGCGGTGTCGACAACATTCGAATCCACACCTCAACCGACGTCTTCTTCCTCGAACCGTGCCAAAAAGAGAAACTCCATTGAAGAACCACTAAAATCCACATGATATCGATTATTGTAAATATTGTTCGACATTCTTATTTTGTGATCTCTCTATTTCTGTAATAAGTGGGCCCCCGAAGAATAAAATCGCAAACTAGACACGAGACAAACGATAACGCAACAAAAGCGTTTCACTTTTTCTTGACCATAAAAATTGGCAAGAAAGAACATTTTACACTTGTTAATTATGTACATACAGTACTGGCCATAATGATGTTCGCCTAGTGTTTTTTGAGCATAACTTGGCTCAAACGCGGCCGATCGGGCTGAAATTTTTACCATATCTTTAAAACGCGTTGAAAATGCGTTTGAATGATTTCGCATACTGCAGGAAAGTTTTTTTTTTCGAAAAATCGCAAATTTCATAAAAATGCAGAAAATGGAAAAAATGACACAATGTGATTTGAAAGTCTCAGAAACCCGAAAACGTTACAAATGTGTAGAAAACCGGTTTTTAATTTAACAATACTTTATTGCGTATCCCTTGGCATCAATAACCGCTTGGCATCTGCGAGGTATCGAGTCCAAGAGGGTGCAGATCACTGCATCGGAATAGCACTCCATGCGGCTTCGAGTTGAGCGAATTTCTCGTCGGCGTTTGATGTTCGGAGTCCTCTAACCATGCGTACCAGTTCTTCCCAGAGATGTTCGATCGGATTATGGTCCGGAATCTGCGATGGCCATGCAACAATATCAAGTCGGCGTCGCTGGAACCAACTCTTTACATGTTCAGACATGTGCTCAGGGTCGTTGTCTTGCTGGAAAACGAATCCGACGTTTGCCAATGCCCAAGGTCTCATTGTGGTTTCCAGGACATCCTTGTACTGGTACCGATCCATGATTCCATTTACACGTCGGAGCGGTCCCATGGCGGTGTCGGAGAAGCAGCTCCAGTCCCTGCAAGATGCTTCACCGTTCGGAGGTGGTACTTTGGCATGAATCTGGCTCCGATAGGTCGACGAATCCACTTTATTACATCAGTTCCGAACAAGTTGAACTTCGATTCATCGCTCCAGATGTTTTTGGCCCATTCACATCGTCCCCAGTTCAGATGATACTTGCACCATGCCACCCTCGTCTTTTGGTTCTTCTCACTGATCAATGGTTTCTTCGCCATCGCCTTCCATGAAGTCTATTCTCCTCCAAACAACGTCTAATTGTTTTTCTGGATGACATTGAAGCATTTGGCGTTGCCACAAGCATCTGGATATCTTCTGCAGTCCGTCTAGGATCTTCTCTCGAAGCACGGCAGATGTTCCGATCATGGAGCCTAGTGGTTTTGCGAGGTTCGCTGTGTGATTTGTTGACAAAAATGCAGCCCTATAGATTAGAAATAGTCCAGAACAAATAAAAAATCGTAAATTTTGTCTTAATCATTGCAAAACTTTTTGGATTCCTCTTCGGGAGCACAGGAACTGCGGAGCCAGAAGGCTTCTGGACGACCCAGTCTTAAGACCGTTGACGATCGCTTTTCCGCCGCGAAATTTTTCTTTCCAGAAGGTTGAAAAATTACTAAAAACATGTTTCAAGTTCAAATTTTAAATAGAAAAAATTTTATAGACAAAGTTTGAAAAAAAATGAAAAATTGGTAAAATCGAAAAAAACAAAAAAAATTGAAAAAAAATTTTTTTTCAACATGATGCAATTTATGTTGTTCCCAAGGTTGCGCAACTGTGTTTAGCGTTTACAGTAAAAATTTCAGCCCAATCGGCCGCGTTCGTGCCAAGTTATGCTCAAAAAACACTAGGCGAACATCATTATGGCCAGTACTGTATGTATAGGTACAAGGCCGCTATTTAAAGGGACATATAGGACAGGTTCTTATCACGCAATATAATTTTGGTTCGGCCAAAAATTACGGATTTTTCTGTTCATTATTTTCGCCTATTTTCATTCGGATAGGAACTCAAGTTTCTAAAGAATTTCATTGAACATTTCTCTTTGATATCAATGTTTCATTTTTTTTGAATGTGCCCAAATTAAGAAATCTTTCAATCGTTCTCGTGTTTCGACGTCATTCTAAGCGATTAATTTTTGGCGGTTGATATCCCCAGCAGGAGGCTGACGTCGATTAGATTGAATGTAGATTTTGACCCACTAGGTTCCATCCTTCCAACCCCCTTTCCCCTTTGGTTCCCCTTTGATTCCTTCGGACTTGATCCACCAATAGAACTTTAAAAATATTTTAAAGATAAAAAAGATAAAGATAAAAAAGCAGTCATCGAGTTGTCAACATTTCTTCTTTGCACATCTATTGTCGGCGTCAAACGACTTGATGGGGGCGTGGCCTTCAGTATATCGTAACCAGTGTAGATTTACGAGCGGGTAGATTTACGCGCTGACCAAATATTAAATGGTTTTTTTTTCGATTTTTTAATATTAAAAAAATGTTATGCGTGTTTTAATCCTGCTACTCATTGTCATTTGCATTCTTATAATGAGTCGACCTCCATATATACGTAAAAGTTCACGGAACTAACGGCATTTACTTAAACAAACGAGAGAATCGTACATTTATCGAATATATTAAGAGCACCACAACAATGTTTTATTTACCGTAAAAATAGTTTGAAAATTATTGTTCAAAGGGGAAAGTCATCCGATTAATTGAGAATTCTCGAAATGCACCAAGACGCCGTACAATTGAAACTTATAACCGAAAGCCAAACGAGCGTTGATTCCAATCGCCTAAAACTAGTAATAACTTCACATTGAATACAAAATTAAAAAGAAAACTGAGTCTACAAAGATTAAAAAAATGATAACGTACTTTTTGGAAGAAGCTTGAAGTCATTGAGTATATTTTTTCCTTTCCCTAGTATTGATGAAGCTGTGAAGTACCGAGGCGAGCAAATAATTCAGAATTTTGTGTTTGTTGGAGGTTGTCTTTGAGGTTGCGCGAAGCGTTCAATATTTGACGCCATTGAAATCGCTGCAACTATAATGATGAAATAATGACAATTTTAAATAAAAATAAAATAATACCCGTCTTGTTAACTTCAGTAGTTTCCGAAGTCCTTCGGCTCCAGTTCAACATGATTCTGTTTCCTAAAATGTACTAAAAATTAGGAAACGGAAAATGATCAAGAATAAGTTTTTACAATGTCAAATTAATTAAAAAATGCCTTAAAATATATGAAAATTTTAAACTATCAATCAGCGATTATAAAAATGTAAGATAAACCGTAAAAATAAAAGAAATTGGCTAATAAAAAAAAGAGATACAGAAAAATTCTCAAAAAATAACGCGCCCAAAAACACGCTGCGCAAAACACGCTGCAAAGTGTATGCCACATACACTTCTCTTCGCCTCGAGAAATCTGGCAATTAGCCAATATTTTTTAAAATTTCGTCAAGTCGTTTGACGCCGACAATAAGTTCTCTAACTTTTTTTATCTCTAACTTTCATTAGTTTCTTTTCTTCACAAATTTTCATTAAAGTTGTGAAATCTTCATCTTTCATATGTTTATTTTTAACTCAAAATATCTAAAAGCCATAAAAACACAGTACAGAAGAAAAAATTTATTCATAGACAATCGGTCAACAATTTATTGCTGAAATTTGAGATTTTCGTGAATACCCATAGCTAAATAGTAGACTGGTACAATGACTGAAAGAGACGGGAAAGCAGCATTAACTTCACTGAAAAGCTGATGGTGGACAATGGCTTTTCTGCCACGTTGCATTTTTACACAAATTGCAAAGAATGACACAGAATGCGGCTCTGCTGGGCCGGCATCATATGGTGTGGTTCAGTGGTTTCTCATAAATTAGTTTATTGAGTTACTCATAGTTCATTTAATCATATAAGCAGTAAGTTGGGGCATAAGGGACGGGTGACGAGGATTCGCCACCTCAGTTACAATCGGGGGACAAGGTAAATATATATAACAAACAACTCACAATGCGAAGAACCAAATTAGACTAGTTGCACCAGTTAACAGTCCAAGAATCGTTGCGATGCTCCTTGAATCCCTCTTGCGTCGCCATGGAACGTGGCTCCGTTCTTGAATAGCCTAGGAAAAACTTCGTCCATCTCGGGCACGGCCATCTCTATTCCTCGTCCATTTTGCATTCCGCGACAAAGAATGCTATTAAAATAATTTATTGAAAGAACTTTATCGAAGCAACCTTGAACGTCTTAGGATTCGCCGTCCGAGTTTCCTAAACATTTTCACTTTGATTTTGAAAAATTAGAAATGTTAATTAGAAATGAAATGTAAAAATTAGAAATGAAATGTAAATAAAAAATAGAAAACCTTGACTATGACGGAGAATGATGATCCCAATTCCTAAGATGCGCGCGTATTTCTGATCCCCAGACGAATCCAGACATTCTTGAATGGTCGTATTGACACTTAATCCAGATGTGCCGCCGAGCAATAGTCCTGCTAATCTTCCCGATTCATTAAAGACTGGAGCGCCTGAGTAGCCTCGCTTCGAACCAGGTGTTCCGACTAAACAAAAATGTTTATGACAATTAACTTATTGATTAAAATAATGACAATTATTCTTACCTAGATGAAGATAGTCGTCCATATATCCTTCGATGGTTCCTTTTGTGATGGTCGGATTAGAAGAATCGACGCCGTTCGGATAGCCCTGAAATAAAATTGTTTAATATGTATTAAATAGGCCGATATTTCGTAAAAACGTTCCGTCGGCTACAATAAAAAACATCATACCATCATGAAGTATTTATCGCCTCTTCCCAGAGAGCCCATTGTAGGTTCCAGGATCGGCAAATCATCTGACTGCGGGATGGCGAAATCGAGACGTTTGCAAATGAAAATGCAAGTGACGGAAAACTCTTGATTTCCAGCTCCTTTGATTTTGTACGATTGATAAAGCTTGAAGGATAGATGCGCAGCGGTTAAAGCATGACGCTCATTGATTAAAACACATGTTCCTGTCAACTTGTTGCCAGCAATGCGAAACACTCGGCCATCCCAAAAGTCCTTGATTGTTGTGATCCCTAAAGTTTTTATTAAAGGCACCCCACGACCGTCGACTTCATTTCTAAGTACACGCTGACTTTTTGCGGCCGCCGTGAGAGAGAGAGAGAGACAAAAGGGCATAAAAGAGACGAATGAAGTCAGAGATAGCTTTTACAAGGCGCACATGAACTTTCATAAAGTGAAATTTACATTTTCCGAAAGAGTATCAAAAGAGCTATCAACTGTAGATATAAGCCAGTATTCCTACGAAAAAAGTGGTCACTGGGTGTCTTTAAGTACACATTTAAACATAACATACTGATCGCTTTCTCCACTTCAAACCGGCTCGGTGGGCGTTCTAAATGATAATTCAATTATATATGAAAATTCAATTATATATGAAAGTTACCTTGAATGTCCATCGGCGTCGCAGGTCGAGACGGCACTCGATCGGATTCCACTATAAATTGCCTATCTGGCCATTCATCCGGAAGCAAAAACGTTTTTCCAGATTCATCCACCCTAAAAAATTGAAATACAATCAAAAATAATTAAACTTAAATTAAATCAGATAAAATATTTTTATAATTATAAATAGTTCAATATGTAACTTACTCGCATAATATCGGGATCCCGCCTTCTTCATAAGCCATTGTAACGAGCGCATCATCGGCCAGCATAAAGACGGTTTTGATGGTGCTTTTGGTGACGGCATTGCTTCGTAACTTAACGACAACGTTTTTGTCCATCATTTTGATTCGAAGCTGGGCCATTTCGACATCTAAAAAAAACAAAGAATTAATTGTTTACACATACTCTTTAAGATAGGAAAAGGTAGAAAGAAAGGAAACGCGCCCATTCCGGAAAAAAAAACTAGCACAAAGTTAGATTATACCGCAACGACAAGTAGGGTTATTAATTCTAAATGGCGCAATACAGCTATGGATGTAAAATCATGCACAACGCAAACTACAGAAGAAAAGAAAATCTCTTTTTTCACACTAGTGGGATTTACATGAAATGAAAACTCCAACTGTGTCAGTGATCGATTGTTGGCGTCTTTGTCGCGCAGACGAATTTTTCAAAAATCGCAAGGTTTTGACTCTTTTTTCAAGTTTTTTGAATTTTTCTCAAATTTTAACAAAAAAGTGCAGCGACCACGTTTTTCGCAAGGCTTTTTTTCTTTCGAAAAAGCTTTACTATAATTTAATCGGATTAGTATTCAGAGGTCCGTAGTTTATTAATGATTGAACTGTAGAAATATTGGCCCATTGCCATCAACCCCCAATTTTCAACCCCTACCCCTGATTTTCCACCCCCAAAATTTAACCCCCATTTTTATTTTTCAACCACCCCCTAATTTCCACCCCCAGATTTTAGCCCCCATTTTTATTTTTTTATTACCGTTCAATGTTAGTTGACTCATTTTTGACTTGAGTACTTATGTTCTTTTGGACAATACCGTAAATTTTCCTAGAAATTGTTAGTGTTATATGGGGGAGGGGGTCTTAAGGGGTCCGAATTCGAAAGTTTTTAAAATTCCAGAAAATGATCTTAAGTGCCCATTGTTTCAGAAAATGATGCTAAACCGTAAATCTTTTTCAAAAAAATCAAATTTTCTGTTCTGCTCGAAGGTCAAAATTTACAGTTTCTAACAGTAATTGGCTAACTTTGATTTTTCTGAAACTATGTAGACTATCCTTATGAAAAAAAATTTTTACAAGTTTCACGGAAGAGCAAGTTCAGATAGACTTCAGGTTCAGATTCGGGGTTCAGATAGACTTCGTAAGCGTGAATCTATTCCCACAATTTCCAATATTTCAAGTATCCAATTGTGCAATTCTGTATCAAGCTTCTTTGCAAGCCTTGCGCAAATCAAATACCTAAAAACAATAGTGGCAGCCAAATAGGCTTAAATTTTTTGTACAATTTAACACATTTAAAGCATATAAATTTATTTTAGGAAAACAAAATTAAATTAGAATGAAAAGGGAACAAAAAATGGGAAAAATTTAAAAAACATTACAAAAAAACCAGCAAATCGAAGAACGGATATCGATGGCGCGGGATTAGCGTCAGACGAAGCCTGAAAGACACATAAATCATGGAGTAATGTTGAATATACGAAAAATAAAACAATCCTAAAAATTGGGAAAATATTAGGCATTTATTAATTTCAGTCCTAAATAATCACTAGTTCAGTCCTAAATAATCACTAGTTTACAAATATATACACTTAAAATAAAAAACATATGTTCAAAAAAAAAGATCCGATAAAAATTACAATCACTTATTTAATTTATAACTAAATAGACCATAAATTGCGGTGAATCTGATCCACCCTAAGAAATATAAAAACTAATCGTTCTTATTGAAAAAACGCTCCATTTTGAGAATGTTTCTATTGTTGAGAAATGACAAATGTATTCAGGGGTCGTGGGATCCTGCGTTTTGTACGCAATGCTAAGAGACAGTTACCGTAATCCTCTCAGCGATTTACGGAGTTTTTTTATTTTTCTTTAAATTTTTTTTGCTGAATTTTCTTATTTTCTTTAGAAATCTTTTATTTAAAACCTGTAGAAACCGAGTTAAATTATTTAATTTTCAGAATATGCACTTTTCCATTTGTCCAGTTGAGTTGGGAATTATTGTGAAGATTTTGACGCTCTAAAAATTATTTTGAAAATGAAGAATACAAAAACAAGATAATAGAAACGCATACAAAAAGCAAAACACGATTAAATAATTTTTTTAACGACAAAAATGATTTCTTTTTGATCTCTGCTGTTTTTACCAAAAAAAATATCGTTTAAAAGTGTTTATTCTGCTAAATACATTATTAAACTCGGTTTCTGTAACATTTAAAAATTTAAATTAAAAAATTTCGAAAGAAAATTTTAAAAAATTGAACGAAAAATAAAAAAATGAATGTGCGAAATTTAAAAAAAAATCCCCGTAAATCGCTGCGAGGATTACGGTAACTGTCTCTTGGCATTGCGTACAAAACGCAGGATCCTACGACACCTGGATACATTTGTCATTTTTCAACAATAATTTATTTCACAAATTTAATTTGTTGAATTTATGCACCGGAATAGCGCTAAGCCACAAGTGCGCTCCATTGAGACAATTTTTTCATGTAAATCCCACTAGTGTACACACGCGTGTGAACGCCACGCGTGGCTCCGCTCTCGAATGGCCTGGGAAAAACTTCGTCCATCTCGGCCACGGCCATCTCTATTCCTCGTCCATTTTGCATTCCGCGACAAAAGATAGAAAACGGAAGTATTGTTTGCAATAATCTATTTCCTATAAAACATAATTTTGAGGAAATTCAAAAAAATTTTAAATTCAAAATAGGTGATACTGTTAGAATTACAAAGTATAAAGCTATTTTTGATAAAGTATATCTTCCAAATTGGAGTACTGGGCAATTCGAGATTTCCGAAGTCCACCCTTCTTCGGAAGGACCGACAACGTATTCTATTAAAGATCTTGCAGATGAAGAAATCAAAGGAAAGTTTTATGAAGAAGAACTCACACTTTACAATAATATCAATGAAGAGTATAAAGTTGAAAAAGTGATAAAACATGAAAATCTAAAGGAGTAAAAGAAGTGTTTGTTAAGTGGTATGTATATCCGGAGAAATTTAACTCTTGGATAAAGGAAACGGATTTAAATTTCACAAGTGAATCCAAAGGAGATCCTTAAAAGATCTAAGCATTTTATACACTGACAACCTTAACTCTATTATCCTTGGTTTAACAAAATTTTCTGAAAGAATCAGACAGTAACATTTACTTTGAGCAATGTTTTTAGCGAAGCTGGCATTTATTGTAACATCAGGTCTAGATTGAATGATTCTGTCATTTTGTTTAGAGACATCAAAAACTAATATTGGATAATAATAATAATAATAAACATCTTCCTTCATGAAAATATAATCTTTCACACTTTCATAATAACTATTCCGAAACTCTTTAGCAAAATTGTACTGTTGAACTGCATTGAATTTATCAAAGTCGAATTTTAAGCATTCATATGGATATCTTTCTGAGTTGAGGTCCACAATTACCAATTTTGCAGCATTCAGATACAGTACCGCTCAAAAGGTTGGAAACTTTTGGTTTTTTGGGCATAACTTTTTTGAAATCAAACTTTTTCCATGAACTATTTTTCCGATTGTTTCTTACGCAATTGCCGATATAACGAGCTATTAGACATGATTCGTACTTACCAAATAAGGATTTTAAGCCATTTTTTTCAGAAATCTCTAAAAACACATTTTTTGGATATACAATTTAAGTCGGTTTTTTTTACCGGAAAGATAGTTTATTAACACAAAATCGTTGGAAACTAAAATTATAAGGTTATTACTTTATTGTAAAACCTCGGGAGTCAATAACTGCCTGGCACCTGCGAGGCATGGAGTCGATCAAGTTGTCGATGACCGAGAGTGGAATCTTTTTCCATTCTTCTTCCGATTGTCGGAACTTTTCGTTCGAATTTGTGGCGGTTCTGCTTGCCACTCTTCTCTCCAACTCTTCCCACAAGTGCTCGATGAGATTCAAGTCCGGGGATTGACATTGCCAGTCCATAACCTTGATGTACTGACTTGCGAACCAATCCTCAATTGATGAATATTTAAGAAAAAAAGCGAATTTTCTTAATTTCACAAATTTGGAAGTGTGCTTTGGGTCGTTGTCCTGTTGGTAAACACAACCACGACCCATTGACGGCGGACCGATTGAATTCCAGGACGGCGGACCGATTGAATTCCGTCACTTCCAACGAGCATTCATCCGACCAAAGAACACCATTCCAGTCAAATCGCGTCCAATTCAGATGTTGCTTATCCCACTCGACCTGGCGTCGTCTATTCTTCTCCGAAAAAAACGGTTTCTTCACTGGTCTTCTTCCGAACCATCCTGCCGGTGATAAACGGCGTTTGATAGTTGATATCGAAACAGGCGATGGAGAATTGGCAAAAACTTCGCGCTGGATCGCCGGTGCCGTCAGTCGCGGGTTGAATTTGGAGGCTCGTACAATGCTTCTATCAGTCGCACGATCTGTCACGCGTGGTCGTCCAATATGGTACTTCTTTGGGACTCCTCCTTGAGTTTCCCAGCTTTTCAAACATTTGAAAATGCAAGTTTTTGTGACATCAAACTGGGCGGCCAACATCTGCAGGGTTGCTCCTGTTTGACGCCCTGCGTAGATTGCCCGTTGTTGTTCATCAATCAAGTTCCACTTTTTTTCGATAGTGGACATGTCTAAAATTACAAAACTAATAACGGCATGCAAAAAGAAGCACAGAAAAATAGTAAAAAACTTTTGAAAAAAAAAGTTGAAAAAAGTGATTTTTGAAAAAAAAAATGAAAAAGCCCACAAAAACTTCACACATAATTGCGTATGATATGACTACCGTACCAATAATCTTCTGATTATGTTTATCAATATATCTGAAAGTTTCACCTCAATCCATACGTTTTCGATCAAGTTATGCCCAAAAAACCAAAAGTTTCCAACCTTTTGAGCGGTACTATAATTATTGTCTCTAGCAGTCTGAAATGACTATGTATTTTATCTTATCATACTTGGTTCCAAGTTTCCAAGTAAATTCTCGATTACCATTTGGAATATTATAACTTTCAAATTGTCTTGATATAAAAGGCATTTGAACTAATTTATTACTTTCAAATAAATTCAACAGCTTATTTTTCATTTCAAGACTAGGCATAATTTTAGGAATTCATCATTGAAGTTTATTAATAGTCATTTTAGCTGTAAATTTAGTAGGATCTGAGGAAACACATGAATTTTTGTTTTCTGGAGATCGATAGAGTGATAACTGGTGTTCCCTTCCATAAATTATTCGATTGTAGCATTCAGCAAATCCAAAAATATGACTTAGAGGAATGCAGAATGTTAGATTACCTTTTCTATTCTTAGTGTATTTATTTATTTTATAATTCATGATATCCTTAGTCTAGAGGATCCAACCAAATGTATTTTGTTTATTCATTGCGGAAGAATAAGTAAGGAGGCCTTTCATAAGTGAAGCTCTTCCAGGATCAATGTACAGCAGTTGCGGGATGCCGACTATATGCGTCTTCAATTATCTTCTATTATCAACGTCGTGCGAGTGGGGAAAATTGGTTAAATGCCAAAAAAAGAAACAATGGCAGTGGTCTTGGTGCAAAACTATAAATGTAGATTCACGGGCCAATGTATTTAAATGGGTTAAAGGCGCACGTCGCGCACCGAGACCTATCTTTAATTTTTTGGCGTTTAGCCAACTTTACGCAGCCGCACGACGCCGACATTACGAGACAATCACCCGCCGATATTTTTTGAAACACAATGTCATTCTGACGAATTATTCGATTCTCAAGGAATTTGAAATTCAAAAAAGAAAACGATTCTATTGAGATTGCGTTCATCTGCGAAAACTATGGCCTAACAAACGGGATCTGCGGTGTCGACAACATTCGAATCCACACCTCAACCGACGTCTTCTTCCTCGAACCGTGCCAAAAAGAGAAACTCCATTGAAGAACCACTAAAATCCACATGATATCGATTATTGTAAATATTGTTCGACATTCTTATTTTGTGATCTCTCTATTTCTGTAATAAGTGGGCCCCCGAAGAATAAAATCGCAAACTAGACACGAAACAAACGATGACGCAACAAAAGCGTTTCACTTTTTCTTGACCATAAAAATTGGCAAGAAAGAACATTTTACACTTGTTAATTATGTACATATGTATAGGTACAAGGCCGCTATTTAAAGGGACATACAGGACAGGTTCTTATCACGCAATATAATTTTGGTTCGACCAAAAATTACGGATTTTTCTGTTCATTATTTTCGCCTATTTTCATTCGGATAGGAACTCAAGTTTCTAAAGAATTTCATTGAACATTTCTCTTTGATATCAATGTTTCATTTTTTTTGAATGTGCCCAAATTAAGAAATGTTTCAATCGTTCTCGTGTTTCGACGTCACTCTAAGCGATTAATTTTTGGCGGTTGATATCGCGATTTTTTTTGAACATCGGATGACACAAGAAACCCGCAAGGAAATCGTGCCCCCAGCAGGACGTCGATTAGATTGAATGCAGATTTTGACCCACTAGGTTCCATCCTTCAGATTATTCGCTTCAATTGAGCGGCTCAACACACCAGCTTCTTCTCAGTTTTTCATTTGTTTCCTTCCGGCTGGCCCGGCATATATGAAACGACAACGACGTCTCCACTGTTCATCGTTCGCCATTAAACCAGTCTTCACGCAATCGAACACCTTTTTGCCATTCTATTGTATCCGCCCAGGTGGTACTGTCAGCGTTTTCTACCATGTATTTGTTTTCGCTTCTAGTTGATTTTTTTTCGGCTTTTTTGCCTCCCTCAAATTATTTCTAGATTCTTTTCAATGAATAGGTTTTCGCTGAAAAAATCTAGCCAATTTTCTTGGTTCAACACTCTTTTTGACACCAATGACGTTTTAGCTTAAAATCGCAAAAGCGAATGAAATATAGCAATTCCAAAGATCACTATTAAATTGAAAAATTTCCCGGATGAGTTTAACCGCTTTTTTTTTAAATATCTTATAATTATAACTTTCTTCTTGGCATCTTTCCCTTATGAGAAGAATGACATTTTTTTGAGATTGAAGTGGATTCGCCAAGATAATTGCGAGGTTGGAAATTGAAACTAAAGCATATTCGTTAATTGCTTTCACTTATAACGCTCGTCCTTTTTGAATATCAACTTTCAAATTTCGCGAGCAATGCTTCTTGAATAAAAATAATTAGAGTAATTTACTCGGATAAAAGACATACGAACTAGATAAAATCAATTTGAATCTTAAATTCCGATGGCATAGGGTCTACTCTCAAAAATCGAATAAATTGGGAATGAAAATAATTTTTTACGTACAGACAAAAACATTCATACATATACACTCGTACATCTGATCAGTGTTCCGATAAATACGAACCAGTTCAGTTCAATTCTCAATTTTCTTCAAAACCTGATCATGAATTGTCGAAAAAAAAGAACTACGAAACCAATTTGTTGATATACTACTAAATGTACAAATCAATTGTCTTCCGATCAGTCAATTTTGATGAGATTCGGAAGCGAAATCGTCACGAGTTTTCCAAAACCCTTTATTTTGAAAATACGGTATCGGGATTTTGTGGAAAAAAAAAGAGGAGAGGAGTGAAAATGAACCAAATCGAATTCAAATCTTCTCGTTTGGGCATTGCAGAAAAAAAAAGAAAAATCATATATATTTTTTAATTGTTCTTTTTTCTTTAAACAAAACTTGTAATCAGGCATTTGCGAAAAAACACTACAGGAAATTTTTTGGGAAAATTGTTTCCCAGTCAAAAAATTCCGAAACCGATATAAAATTTAAAAAAAAACGCTATCCGAAATTTTGAAAATCATTTTTCGCTCCTTTAAGTTTTTCGGATTTCCGGGAAACCCGAGAGTTCTCTCGATGTCGCGAAATTTCCCGCACATCCCTGCAGTCAATAAAAAATGGGCGGAACTACTCGAATGACTCCTTTGTTAAAAAGAAATCCTGCAGTCCTTTTGGAAAATCGATCTTTTTTTCGTGTGATATTAAAAGTTTAAACCAAAATATAATCAACGCCCCAGAAAAAGAAACAGCTCGAAATAGAAAATACTTAACCTGAAGGCTTCAATTTTGTAATTTAAACTTGTCGTTTCTCATATTTTTTATTAGGCCTACAGTCTTACAATTCTCAGACGGCTGAAACAGAATGATCTATAGATTAGAAGTGCCCGGCCTTACACCCAACCTAACCGATTGGTATCAGCTGTTTCATTCAAAAGTTTACGTTTTTTCTGGTTTCAAAACCGGTTCGGTCATATTTTGACAAATATTACGTATAAAAAAGTGACAAATATAAATACATTACTCGAGGAGAACGTTCAAAATTTTAACTACTGAGTATTTTGAATAAAATTTGATTTTAAAAACCAATTCAAGAAAAACAAACTATTAGAGGAAAAAATTCAATACAGGATGGATGTTAATAGTAATAGCTTGTAAACTAAGAGTATACGAATGTGTTTCTAATAAGACCATTTTATCATTCACTAATATAGTAATGATTATCATAAATACCTAAAACAGAACATTGAGTATTGCCCGCAGACGAGTAATGCCATTCAATTGCCATTTTGAATTTTAAACCGGTGCCGAACTGTTAATGAACTATCATATCACCCCTACATCCGAAATCTCTTCAATCATCCGATTCCCAAAAATGTTTTTCGTCGTCGGCGGATAAACGCCGTCTTTCTTTCTCTCTCTTACAATAAAACTTGCCAATTCACCTTGGCAGCTTCTTGCGCAACACTATGCTTCATCCGCGCATCCCTTTTTTTCTGATTCCGTTTATTCTATATTTGATCTACCCAAATATGCATAATTTATGGTTTATAAACCGTCCGCCTATTGTTATTCTAATTGTTCCCGTCGGTTGACTTTCTTCGAACTAGTTTCGCCCATTTTTGGCACACCACCAAACCGTACGAACTACATTAAAACGAAGGAGGGGCGACGACCTCAATGATGCATAACTTTTTGCTGGAAACCCGTTTTTTTCGCGACTTGAAGCTAAATTTTTTTAATGCCTTTTATGACCTTTATGGGATTTCATTCGGATTTTTTTCAACTGCAGGTTATGCGCAAACTTGAGCGGTTTTTCGACGAATATGGCAAATTTGTGGCGAGACATCCGTTATATTTCATAGTAAGTTTAAAATTTTGGAAAAATTTAAATTATTTTCACATATTTATTTTTTTGCCAATAGCAAAGCTATGGCATTCCCACCACAAAAATCTTTCAACTGTGAATATATTTTTGTCTTCAAATATCGCAAATGTAAAATAATAGACAATTTAACGAAAATTGAGAAAAATCGAAAAACTAACGAAACAAAAATTAAAAATAAAATTCTGTGTAGGCTTACGCTAAATCGAGGACCACTCGTTCAAACGAAGTATCGTTTGCCAAATTTAATTTCAGAATTCATTTTTACTTTTTAAATATCTTCTTTTTTCCCGCCACTCGCCACAACTCACGTGCGGTTTAGAACAATTGGTCAACAATTTCTAAAAAAAGCATAAATGCAAGTGCGGCGAACAAATTCTGGCAATTTTTCTAGGCCGCATGTGAGTTGCGGCGAGCTATGAGGTCCGTTCAAGTTAAAATTTGTTGTATTATATTTTGAGAATCAAAAAATCAAACACAAAAGAATAAAAATCATTGTATTCGAGAAAATTTGACCTTTATTGATAATTCTGCAAAAAGTTGTATTCAAGAATTTCTTTTGTACAATGACGCGAAAAATTCGTTTTCAGCTAATCCCTTCGCTGCTCACAATAGCCTCGACTTATGGGTTTTTGAATTTTCATAGTCAAGATGATATTTGGGACATTTACGCACCGACAAACGGATTATCGCGCGTCGAAGAGTCAGAATTGAAACGCTTCGAATACGCGTCCGGATCGCATCATCATCGAGTGAGTTTTTAAGGGAAAATATTATGAGCAAAGAACAATCTATCTTCTTAAGTGAAAAATCGTTTTGTAGATGCAAGTTCTGGTTTCACGAAAAGATGGTCAAAATGTTCTTACAGAAGAAGTTCTTAATGAAGTTTCCAGATCACACAAAGTAAGATTTTTTGGAGGTAAAGGGCATTATTAGCATTTGGGATTATTAGAATTATAAAATAGGAAAGTATGCGTTGAATTTATTTTTCAAGGCTATCAGCAATTGTTTTTAATTATAGTTTGTCGCGGACAATATCACCGCATTCGATGGATCTCACCACGTTCATTATAAGAATCTTTGTGGAGTGTACTGTAATGACAGTAATGCGGCAATCATTGCGTTTCTTCAGGTGAGATATTATAAGTTTTCTGCTTCATTTCAATATTTTTGATATCTCGATTTTCAGGCCGCTATCAATGATTCAAGTCATTCGTCATTCAAACTCACATTTCCAAATGCAGAAGCTCTGCAGAACAAAATTTTTATCGGATATTCTTTGGGAAACTTGAAATTCGATGGTCAAATAGTTGTCGAAGCGAAAATGATGCTTTTGCATTATATGGTTGACACTTCAATGAAAAATGGGAAAATGTTGGCGGATGATTTTGAGACGAATTTGCGACTTTTCTTTAATTCGATTAGCGATATCTCATCAAATATAAAATATTCGTTTTTGTCGCGAACCAGGGAACTGGAAGAGCAGAGGTAACCAATATGCCCGAATGCTTTAATATTTCTTCAGGGCCATTACAATAACCTCACTTCCTTTCTTGGGATTAACCGTCATTGTTCTCACTGCATTTATGATTGTAACACTCGTTCGACTACCGTGGTACACAAGTCAACATTGCGAGGTTCTCTCGTTCAATTTTTGAAAAATAATGATATTGGTCAATTTGTTTTTAGTCAATTGTTGGTGTTCTCTCACCCGGTATGGCGTTATGGACAACAACTGGTGTCTTGTGGGGCCTTGGTTATCCATTCAGCAACATTCTAACAGTCGTCCCATTCTTGGTAGTAACCATTGGAATTGATGACGCATTCTTGGTCTTGGCAGGTTGGAGAGATTCTACGTGCGTTTTGAGCAATTTATCCTTCTACACTCCTATTGTTTCTTTAGAAAAGGTGAAAGTTTGGAAGTCAGACTAGGACAGTCAGTAGCAATTTCTGGAGCTTCCGTTACCGTAACTTCGGTCACAGGTATATAATTCACTTTTATTTGCCTTTAAAATGAGCCTATTGATGAAATTTTTCCAAGAAATATATAAAAGTACAATGAATGTGAATTTTTACAACTCTGCATTGGAAAAAATGTTCCATTTTTATTTATTTAATGTTTATGGCAGTGTGAATTTGAATATTAATCGGCGAAATCCTCAAAATGAGCTTTAATTGTTCAGATGTTGCTTGTTTTGCTACTGGTCTCTTCTCAAATATGCCCGTTGTTCAGCTCTTCTGTCTTTACACTACAGTTGCTTTGGCGATCGACTATTTCTATCAGGTTTGATTATACGTTTTTACGGGTTGGTTTTCCTGAATGGATTTTTATTACTGTAGATGACATTTTTTACCGCTTTCGTTGGAATTTTCTGCAAAAAACAAGTTGAAATTGAACGTGAAAAATATGGAAGCATGGATCGATCGGATAAATGTCTTAATGTGGCTGATAATGCGAAGAAAGCGACGAATTTGTCGTCTTCGAAAATCTCTGGGATTTTTTCGTTTGTGCCAGCAATAACACAGGCGAAGCATCAACGAAATACTTTAGAGGTCTCAAGATTTGAAGCTTTGAAAGCACGATTTATCTCCAATTTTTTTTTTAGATTTTCATCGATTTTCTGCATTCGTGGTACGCAAAAGTGTTTGTTGTTCTCGTATTCTGTTTCCATATCATTGTGAGTTTTATTTCTTTTTCTCACATAAAACGAGGAAAACGATTGAGATATGCACAAAACATGTATTCCACGTCAACACTGATTTCGATATGGAGAATTTATATTTGGAAGATTCGCCGCTTACTGATGTCTCGCGGCGGATGCAGGTCGGAATTTCAACAATTCGACGATTTCTATTATGGAAAAAAAAGTTTTGCAGAATTTTGTGTTGGGTGAAGCGTTTGTGGTGAACTTCGGTGTCTATCCAATGCCTGATTTCGACAATTCGACAATTCGAGACAAATTCGAAGAACTTGTAAAGAAGTTGGAATCTATGCCCATATATGGAAAGGGACCATCACATACCAACTTGTGGACCAGAGAATATAATAATGTGAGAAAACGTTTTTTTTCGAATTCATTTTTTATTGCGAATTCTTTCTTGAAGGCTGTGGCATTTTGGGGTGAACCAGAGGATTTCTGGCATAAAGAAGATATGGTTGCGAATTATAGAGAATATGGAATGGATGAGAAATATATAAATATTAGGTATAAGATGGACCGAAATTGATTATGAACAGTTTTTATTTAGAAATGACACAAATGGCGATGAGATTCTTGATGGTTTCTTCTTCACTATAACTTACGCGAGTTTTGACAATTTCTTGCAAGTCGAAGAATTTTTGGATGACAGGTTCGATAAATTTCTTTAAAAAAAAGCAAATCGGAGGTACTAAAATTTGCAGACGGAAAATTCTTTCGGAATACTCGGAATGGTTCACCATTCATTCGCATCATCCATTTGAGAAGGTCCCAACCGAAAGCGCCGCATCAGCGCCTTCAAATTTCATTTCAACATCTGGTTTATTTTTAAAATTCCACAAAAATTTATCAGTTTTTAAGCAGTTTTATCTGCGGATAACTTCATACTGTTTTAGATCTCATAATTCATCATTTCGGTCGTTGACAATTAAACGCGTTTTCAGTTTCTGCCGTCGTCCTCATGTCTCTTCTTGTACTCGTGTTCGTCATGAATTTTGAAGCAATCATTTCAGTCGTCGTCTCAATTGTTTCCATATGTCTTGGTAATTCCACTTTTTTTTGTTTTCCATTCCGACCATTTTTTAGGAATCGTTGTATACTTGCACTTGTGGAATGTGAACCTCGACGCCGTCTCATTGATTTCAATGCTTATGTCCATCGGATTCTCAGTCGATTATTCAGCTCACGTCTGCTATCATTATTTCGCCCATGTTCACAAAGATGTATTATATTGAATACACAAATTAACATACATTATGTTCTTCTAGGAGCAATTATGGCAATCTCACGACTACGCTGAAACACGAGATCGGCTCTTGAGCACATTCCGAGGCGTCGCATGGCCGGTCATGCAGAGTGGCATCAGCACAATCCTTGGAATGTTCCCACTCATGTTCGTCCGAGCTTACGTGGTGGCGGTATTCTGGAAGACAGTTATTCTTGTCGGCATTCTCGGAATGCTTCACGCCCTCGTTCTTCTGCCTGTAATTTTCATTTTGACACACGACATCAAAATATTCTACAGAAGGCGTCGCAAGATCCAAAACGTTTCAGACATTGAGCTATCAAGCTAACAATTTCGAATAATTTTATATGATTATCGGGTAGTTCTTTATGTAGAATCAATAAATAGATGGGTTGTTGATACCAGTTGCAAATTTCACAAAGTTTTAAATAAGACTCGACTAGAAGTTATTATGTACAACATTTTCGACGACGTCTCGGTTCTTCGGGTTCCTCATCGTCGTCATCATCGGCGACTAGTTGAATCGAACGGGTCCCTATAGCTGAAGTATCTCGGCCATGCTCCCTCCAATGTTCGATCATTTCTACATACTCATCATTTTACTAGTCGTGTTTTCGATATAATTTAAATCTTACTTATAGTTAACTCCTCAAAAGCTTCAGATATTCCAATGTTCTCCATAGCTGACGTCTCCATATAAAGCGCGTTTTCACCTTTCGCATATTCTTCAGCTTCCGATTTGGCTACATTCCTCTGATGCTCTAAATCCAGCTTATTGCCGATTATCATTAACTCCGCTGAATCGCCAAGGCTCGTTTTAATCTCTCGCATCCACATTTTGACTTTGTCGAATGATCGACGATCTGTTATATCGAATATGAGCAAAACCCCATTGCTTCCTCTGAAATTGAATGTGGCATAATGCAAAACGTATTAAAAATAACCTATAATAAATTGGTCCGAGAGCATGATATTTCTCCTGTCCAGCCGTATCCCAAATATTCAATTCTGCTTTACATTCGTCTACGGTTATAGTCCGCTTTTGGAAGCTTGCCTAAAATATGGAATTTTCCGTTTCACTGACAAAAATCAAACTTGAATCGTCGAAACGTGCATTTGTTTGAATTTATTCTCGCAATATCTCAAAACCAACGACGATTTTCCAACAGCCCCTTCGCCGAGCAGGACAATCTGAAGAAAATGTCTAGAAACGAGAAAAGGAATATTGAGAAACCTTGAATTTAAAATCCTTGCCATCCTTTGAAACCATCAAATTTCTGAAATTCTTCAATTTATTTCTCTAACAAAAAAGAGAAAATGCGAAAAAAATCGAATAAACATCGAGTACAGAATACACTTCTGATCGGAAAAATAAAAAAAACGAAATTAGGGAATATTTCATTTGAAAAGAGATCGAAACATAACAAAAATAAATAATTTTGAATGTGTGTTCTTCATATTTATAATTGTCCACATTGGACGATCACAATCGGCAATTTCGGATTGTTGCTGGCTCCGGTCGGCACGTTTTCGATTTTTCGAACAGTCAGCATTCCGTCGAGCACTCTTCCTAGAACAATCAACATTTTTAAAGGTGTAGTCAATGTCACGAAGAAAGCTTATTATATATAAATCTATGGAAATATTTCTCCAAACGACTTTTTCAAACTAAGTTTGAATAAGCCAAACTTAAAGTTCAACGAAATCACGATTTTAATACACCAACGAAAATTCCACCTGCGCAAAATTTTCAAATTACGCAATCCATCAAAATCACAACATATGGATGATATAGCCAAAAAATGACCGGTCAATATCCAACCAGATCATCGCAACAGAAGCTGCCTTTTATGGCCTGACAACGACTTGGATAAACCGGGAATTCTATATAAAAAGGGGCGAAAAATTCGAAAGTGTAGCTTATTTGTCTCTCATGCTTTACAAATTATTTTGTCTTTTCGCCATTTTTGGCATTTCATACTCACAAACCCTTATTCCTTATTTTTACAACAATCTTGGAATTCCAAACCCCTATGATCAATGGAAAACAACGACAATGGCCCCACCAGCACTTCACCAGTATTATAGGTAAAGATCATGTTTTTTCAATTTTTAAGATAAAATTAAATAAGTTAAATGAAAAACCAAAAAATTTATTTATTTAAAAAACATTGCAAACCCTTTTCTGCTTTAAAAATTGTTGGTCGCAGTATTTGCTTTTTGATTGATCTTTTATAAAGTTCACGACCATTATTTTTGCAACTTTTCCAAAAAACGGAAATTTTAGCAATCTTGGCTGGCGTACAAACGACGATGGCGCTATTTATCACAACTTCAACGACTACGCGTCTTTCTATGTTCTTCAGAAATCAACGTATCCATAATAGTTTAATAAATATAATTGCTCTTACCGAAAACAACGTGTTTGTTATCCAAAAAATCGGTTTTGGTGCAGGTAATAAAGAATTGGCAGCCATTCGTGTCGGGACCAGCATTCGCCATCGACAATATTCCGGGACCAACGTGTTTCAGTTCGAAGTTTTCATCGCGGAACTTGGCGCCATAGATACTCGTCATACCTGTTCCGTCACCCTATAAAACTTTTTTTAATCATTTTTTTCACTTCTTCTCTAAAGCAATACATTAACAAAATCGCCTCCTTGAATCATAAAATCTTTGATGACGCGATGAAATGTGCAATTCTTGTAACCGTTAGGGACACCGTCTTTTTTAAATTCGCCGGTGCATAATTGGCGGAAGTTTTCGGCTGTACGTGGAGTCACGTCGGCGAAAAGTTCAATCTAGATTTAATAAGATTATTTATAACATTAAAAAGCGAATGCAATACCACAATTGTTCCAATTGGTGCACCCCCGGCAGTGACTTCAAGAAAAACAATTGGATTATCTGGATGTCTTAATTGCTCAGCGTATTTATCGTATTCTGTCATCTAAAAATAATTTTTAATAGAAAGAAAAACTGGGAAAATAAAAAGGGAATGAAAAAAAATGCAGAAAAAATTCGAAAAAAGAAATAAAATAAAGATGTGTTTTCTATGCGACCGCATTGCATATCCACACCACGCCCATTTTTACGCGCCGCATTGGATTTTTAATTTCAGAAATACATTGTTGAAAATTTGCGGCGAGTCTGCTTCAACAAAATCTCATCAATTATTTTACGCATTTTTAAATTTTAGAATATTTTTATCGATCCATAATGTCCAAACGATCCGGAAAAACGTAAGAAAATTTATATCTATATATCTTCAACGTTAAAATTTTTAGATCTTCTCATATCACATATGAGGACAATAACGAGGAGCTAATTGATGAAATTAATGCGTTTCACGCTAAAGATCGTGCGATTGATCCAAAATCATTGCGGAAGAAGAAGGTGATTTAAAATTAATATATTTTTCTTCACATTATTCATATTAAGGTATGGGATCGTCCTGAGGAAGTTCTAAATGTCGAAGCAGAAGCTTCTGATAGTAGCGATGAAGAAGATGAATCAGATTTTGATGACGATGAAGATACGAAAGTGACGGATAATAAATGGGGAAAGAAAAGGAAGGACTTCTATGGTACCGGCTACGTTGATAAGGAATGGGGAGGCATGAGAGAAGAGGAAATGGAGGTTTCAATAATGTTTGATCTTTGAAATTACAAATATTCTTTTTAAGCATGCGGAATTGGAAGAAGAAGACGCTTTGACTAGACAGAAAAATCTCGATAAATCTACAGCTGCGATTGCTGATATTTTCGATGACGACGAAGAAGATGAAGTTGAAGAAGTCACGGAAATTGAAACTCAATTTGATTTCAATGAGGAAAACGCCAAATTAAAGCATAAAAAGCTCGACAAACTTATTGCACAATATGCGGCTAGAGTAAATTTAAATATTTCTAATTATTTCGCATAAAAAATGAATGTTTAGAAGCGAATCTACGAACTTGTCGTCAAACCGCTGGATTCGGTTTTGGAGAAAATGCCAAATTGTGCGTTGAGAAGCCAAATTGTCTATGTTGCCCGGACATATGCCGTGTATGATGTTTATTTTATTATTCGTATCAAGTTCAATTTATGAAACATATTATCGAAGTCGCGCGACTGCGGATGGCTCGGTTTACTGTAGCTTAGTCTCACAACATGAGCTCAAATTCTTGGCACGGCCCCGCGGTTGTTAAGGGGCATAGTCCGTGTGGAGTACACAACACGCGTCTCGAAACCATTTCTGTCATTTAGCCAATTTGTCGCAGTCGCGCGAATATCTTTGTAAAAACTATCTTAAACGAAATATTCTTTGTAAAATTGGTTTGTTTATAGGTACTTAATGAACGTTGCGTTCATAATAAAACTACGAGCTTCTCAATTCACGAAAGAAAATTTAGATGACCCTTTAGTTGATATTCATCCTGCCTTTGAAGCACTCAAAAGGCTTAATAAGGTATATTTCGTATTAAATTAATCGATATTTATTATATATTTAAGAAAATCGAAGCATGTGAGAACTTCTTGAATACACACTCAGAAGAGCTTGATGAGCTTAAATCTTGGGCCAAGTCTTCTCCGGAGAAGATTGAAGAACTTTGCACGAAAATTTCAGGTGTTTCATTGTCGAAGAAAGCGCACAGCGACAATGTGATGAATGGGTTTATTGTAATATTAAATATAAATTCTTCTGCAAATGGCGGAATTCCTTTTCAGGAGAGCATTGGAGATCATTGTGAGTCCGCGGAAAATGGAGTCTCGTCGATGTACACAACGCTGGATAGCGAAGAAAAGAGAAAGGCGGATGACCGAATTGCGAAGAATAAGCAGCTCCGCGACAAAAAGGGCAAAAAGAAGGCAAAGACCAGCAAGGTTTGTTCTCATTTGTTTTCAGATTTTATGATAATTATTAAAAAATACCGTTTTTTTTTTAATTTAATCGTCCTTTTTCTTTTAATTTTTTTCGAAGAAAATCCGATGCTATTCGCTTTTAGAATTCGTACAGAATATTGCCGAAGGCATTCAACTGTCGAAAATTTTAATAAATCAGACAAAAATTTAGTTTCAAATCTTGTCGCGAAAAGAACAAATTTTTGTATACAACTTTGAAATAGCCATTGCATAAATTATTTGCGAGACCATTATCACGCGCTGTCCACCTGAAGACGTCTGTCTTCAACAATATTCAAATTCTAGGTAATACAGTTATTTTAATTATTAAAATTGTTGGACTCTCAACTTCGTTTCTGATTTTCACCTCGAAAATACAAAAATTTCTCAATTTTTGTTGTGGTCCCTATTTAATCGTATCGACGGCTGTCGCACAACCTATTTTGGTTTTTGACAAAACGAAATTTGAGCCCATATCCACCTGTTTCTTTGACTCATTAAAGTAGATTAACCTCAGCCGAACTGATTGGCGGCACCTCATCCGGTGCACACATCAAAAATAGCGACGACTCTCCGGGAAGAGCTTAGAGTAATTATAATAGGCTCGAGATTTTGAGGATAATGAAACGTGTGGGTGCCAATAATTGAATCGCAATTAGGTAATTAGCGAAAAGGTGACCATAACAATTATTTACGACTCGATGAACCTATAAAACTAGTGATTATCAATTATATTATAATTAAGGTAACATTTTAGCCGGAAAAATGATCACGTTTTGCGATCCCCTTGAGATTGGAGCCATTGAATATCTGATAACATATATTTTATTTGTGATGATTAGCAACACATTGTATATATTATCGCCAAATTGTTTATAATAGCGGGATCGCCGACTAGGGTCCTATAAATTACGCGACAGATGTTTTTTATTGAGTGTGCCACATATCGACACATTCGCTGACAAAACTTCTCAAATTTCAGACGAAAAACCGGAAACGGGTGCACGAGATCCAGAAGCGGGTCAAGTCGCAAGTCGGAGTCGTTCGGCGGGAACTTCAAAAGTATTCTGGAGAGGCGAGTGGCATCCGCGCAGCGACCATCAAGTCGACAAAGCTTATTGCTTAAAAAGGTAGGCAAGAACAGACGTCTGCCTGACATGTGGTTTGCAGTTTGCTGAAAAAGTGCCAAAATTGTGAAATGATTTACGCCATATGAAAATTCATTTTCTTTTCAGGTGCCCACCGACCACTTTGTTCTTCGAATATTTGTTAAATCGTTGCCTTTTTTATTCGTTGAGTTTTCTTGTTGTTGTTATACACTTTTGTTAATGAATTTTATGGTTATAAAAGTGAAACAAAAGCCGACTACCGTAATCACCACCATCATTAAAGAAGATTATAGCCATGGCAACAAGACCAAGTGCAGTCACTTCGACTTCCATTAATATAGCTTTTCGTTTCCTCTCTTTCGCATGCTTCTCGCGTGGACTAACTGGTTATTTCGCATTCGAGAATTTATTTAAATAGTTTTACGCTTGGACGTTTGAAATGTCAGGAAATGATAAACTCTAAATTAAGCAGTTTGTGTGTGTGTCCGCTCAAACGAAAACCTGCAGATTCCAAATTTTTTCCTAATTCAAACACACGGTGACCAATGATTGCTGTACGCGGGTAGATTTACGCGCATGCGCCTTGAAAAGGTCTCGCAACGCGTAAACCCCTTTTTTTCTGTTTTCACGTGAACGGTTAATGGTTTCTCGATGAGTTTAACACTTCTTCTTCTTTCAAACGTCATTTGATTTAAAAATTATCGAATCGACCCAAAAATGCAAAAAAAAGACACCACGAGAAAGACGCATCCCCGTAAATCTACCCGCGTACTGCAGTCACCGGACACCGACACTATACGAAAAACGTTTATATCTTCAGAAAAAAAATGTTGTTACGTAGAAAAATTCCAGTATAAAGATACTAAGCTGATTTTGAAAAACTCTTAAAATGATTAAGACAGGTTTTTCAAAAATTTACATATTGTCGTTATCGCGCAACTGCGGGATATTGGCAAAATGTCAAAAAAAAGTCCACTGAAAGTGGTTTTGGCGCAAAACTAAAAGTGTAGATTTACGGTCTAACAAGACCAATTCCCTGATTTTTTGGCATATTGAAAATATTTTGCAGTCGCGTGAGGCCAACAAAATGATTTTTCAAGTTTTAAAGCTAAAATTTAGAAATGAAAAAAATTTGTTTTTTCTGTCATATATAGTCGGCGTCCGGCAACTGCTGTACGCGGGTAGATTTACGCGCATGCGCCTTGAAAAGGTCTCGCCACGTCTGAACGCTTATTTTCTTGTTTTCATGTGAACGGTTAATTTTTTCTTGATGAGTTTAGCATTTCCTTATATATTCAACGTCATTCGATAAAATAATAATCGAACCGACCCATAAAATGCAAAATCACCAGTTAGTCCGCGCGAGACCATTTTGAAAGACGCATTCCCGTAAATCTACCCGCGTACAGCAGTCGCCGGACACCGGCTATATATAAAGTTTAAACCGAAATCCCATTTATGTTCACTTATTATTTCGAACATATAATGACTAAATTTTGGTGTTTAATCATACGCGAACTCTTTGGAACTCATATCGCCAGCGCGAATTGGGTCTTGTCACGATAACATCAAGAAGCCGTCTGAGAGCCTTTCTGCTCCAAGAACATCACCTTTAACTTTGATTTGTTTCCACATCACCTTTGTGATAATGATACTATGTCGATTTTGTTTTTAAGTGGTTTTTAAAAAACCCAAAAGCAAATTACGAATAAATCTCGTTTAAAGCAGTTTTTGAGTTTCGTTTTCCCCAATCTGCATAGTTGAATTACAGCAAATCAGAAAGAGAGAAATATTGAGTCGCAGAAAAAAGAGACACATTTTTAAATATGAAATAAATGAAAAATCAAAGTTGAAATTCAAATTTCTCCGGTTATTCACAAATGTCTTGAAAGAGCAAAATCAGATTTATCATTTTTTTCCGCCAAAAAAAAACAGCAGATGTCGCATGAAAAAAAACCCAGTCTAACATTTTTTTCGAAGTTTCATGACCATCTGGAGGGAACGATGGATAAAACAGGTGACTCGAAATCATACAATTCCCCCTTATATTCGGTGCGTCGTTATTTTTATCTTCTACCATTTTTTTCTTTCATCGTAAAAACATTCGACGATGACCGACGAGCGCGGAATATTCAAAAAGTTTTTGCTTGAAGAAAGTCGCCGACAATCGCCGCATCAGTATGTAAACAAACCGACGACGCCCACCGACGTCTGCGAAGAGCCAGCGCGAGCGACAGTGTGCACAATGCGAAAACAGTAAGAGAGAGAGACAGAGGAACTCCTTATGGCAAAATAAATCTACCGAAATTCAATTATATGTGTTTCGCAGTGGTTTTTTCCCCGCAGAAACATTGATTTGTAGGAATAAGCCGACAAATGCAGACAATCGCGTGTGTAGGTTAATGCGATATTGTAGCATACTTAGACCCATTTATAGCATATTCCAGATCAACAAAGTAGTTTTTATATTTTCGTAATATTTTTTCCCCTCGAACATGCCATATTTGCTAATTTGCGTCAATCTACCGAGAATATCTCAAATCAAAATGCCTCGTTCACTCAATTATCTTACAATGCACCAATGTACCGCATAATTAGAACACAGAAGGATTAATCGGGACATTGGCAATGTTTTCATCGCGATTCGCCAAAAACTGCGCAATCGTTTGGCGCAACGAAACCATGGTGTTTGGAGTATTCGGATGCAATGCGAGTTCTTTTGATCAAACCGACATTCATGTGAAATCTGTTTTGAAATTCAACAATTCTTTTTATTTTTAGGTTTGATATTTTTTTTTCATTTTCTAGGCCTCCTTTTTTAGGAATTTATTATTGCGAAAAAGTCATATAAAATAAAGAATAGTTAGAATATAATGGAAATGGCGTAAAACCAAAAATTCATTTTTTAATGTTTCATCCTCTCTAAAAATCGAAAAATTGTCGTGTTTTCCAAATGTGATGAAGATCCTTCGTATGGCCAAAATCTCTCACACCGAAACACGTTGAGAATTGTTTTTTTTTTGGTAGCATTAATTTCATTCGCGGCTGACGCCTTCAATTCCTTTGTTCTGCTCCCCAATTCCGCGATTTCGTTGTCTTCAATGATTTATTCTCGATTCTTATTTGGCTCAATACAGGCAATTTTTAATTTTTTCGATTTGTTCAATCCTTTTGTTCTGGATTTTCATTTCCGTGTTTCCTCAATTCGCCTACAGGATTCAATATTTTCAATAGAATAATTTGAGATGAATAATGAAAAAATTTTCAGTTGTACTTTTAAAAGCCCTTTTCTAGAATCATGTGATTTCATATCACTTCATTAATTTGTTTACGAAAAATAAGAAACTGGAGCTCAATGAGCCTTATAAAGTAATCAGCCAAGCATAATTATTATACTCCCTGGTATGCTCAAAATGAATGAATGTAAATTAGCATTAAAATAATTCTTCGTTTTTTTTTAGCAATGTCAGGTTTCTATTTCCATCGATTTCCATTTGACAAAAATATTTAAAAATCGAAATATCAAAAAAAAAACAATAGGTGAATCGATGCTAATTGGATCTATTGTGAAATATTCAAAAAAGACATATGGCTGGCAAATGTGTTTGAATGTTTCTTCGATTCTTTTTATTTTTCTCAATACATTTCGAAAAGGTGTGCAAGATGGTTGCGTTCGTTTGAAATCCATTGTATTCGAAAAGAAAGAACTAACGCAATCATGAGAGATTTCTATTATTTCAAAAATATTTCAAACAATTCAATTTTAAGTTAGCTTGTTTGAATAGGATGTTTGTGAAGCCTCAACTCTCTCGCTCTCATTTATGTGGGATTCGAATACAGGCGCTCATAATACAAATTTTCTCACATTAATTGTCTACCTGCGTTACTTATTGACGATTTTGAGATTTCATTTCTCACGTTTGGACATACAACTTACAACTTTCCAATTATTATTTTTCAAATATCGTTCAACTCCCGTAATCCGGATCTAATCGGAGCATTTTGTAAATGTTGCGCTGAACTCGAGATTGGCGATTCGCAACCTTTGACTGAGTTATCATTGAGGAATACATTTTGAATAGCAACCATTCACTTAATATCACATGTTTGAATTTTGTTTAAATGTCCACCAATAGAATATTCCAAAATACATGTTTTCGGGGGATTGGAGAATATGCTCAACTATTGTCGGCGTCAAACGACTGAAGGGAGCCGGGACCTTCAAATTCGCGAAATCAGCGTAGATTTAAATTGTTCGTTGATTAAATGCGCGTACACTATAATGCAATGTACGCAAACTCGCGTACTTCTCGCTGCCTTGAGACGCATTGGCACATAGCCAATAATTTTTGAAATTTCGCCAAGTCATTTGACTCCGGAATATATGTTTAAACAAGTTTAATTTCAAAGAAATTCAAATAAAAAATCAATGGTAATCTATTTTAGTAAGAAATATCTATGGTATCCGACCCATTTGTCCAATTCATTGTTTACAAAAAAAGATGGTTTATTCTCAATCGACAAACCCATTAAAAATATCGAGCATTTTCTCGATATTTCGATATATCATGAGTCAGCCATTAGATTTTGGTTGTGTCGCGTCGGCGAATTGCCGATTTTTTTTTCCGACCCTCCTCACTGTACTCATTTTGTCGCCTCCGCCAAAAACAATTGTTGTCCTCGAAATTATGAATTTTCTTGCATCTTGAGTCACAAGCTAGTTTCATATTTTGATAATTTCAATCCAATTTGTGCCATTTCGAATTTGGCGATTTCAATTAGTTTTGTTTTGAGCAACTCGGGACATGATATGAATTGAGTGACTCACTTTTTTTTTGAACTAGAATCCATTGATTGGCGAAATTAGTCTTTCTGTTTGATCTCTATGATATTCCAATTACATTTTTCAACAAATCCCTAAAACAATTGTGTGTGTTGACTTCAAAGCTACCGAACTCGATTTTAACATTGATTTGAATTTTTTAAGAAGAAAATTCCAAGAATCATGGTATTGAGATCGGCTTCCATTTGGATCGGTGAAAATTTTTCGATTTTCATCCCTCATTCTCATATTCGATATTCGAGTCCAAGCAATAACTGTCTGATAGTCTCGATTCTCTTACAATACTCGAATCGAGCATCTTTTTTCTTCCGATTAGACACACCGCCCATGCGAAACTCCGCCCACTTCACGCCTCGCTCGCTGCTTCCACACGGTGTGTCGGCGAACAAGACGGGCGAGCCAGTCAGCCGCCGCAGCCGCCTTCATTTGTGCGCATTCGCTTCATTCGAATCACTCGTCGGAATTCGCTAAAACTGAGCTCATTCGAATCTCGTCGATTCATTTGAATAATTGATAAAGGTAAGCAATTAGATAGCCTCTCGTTTATGCACAAAATCGGATCTCAAAATTTATATTCCGTTTGGCCTAAAAATAGTTTGCAAAAACTGACAAATGTACGAAAACCAGAGATTCATTCAATTTTGGGTTGATTTTGCTTTATCCAGTGTGTTTTACGAAAAATGAGTTCGATTTTATCAATTTTCGAGATCTCTAAAAATTGCGATATCAACTGAATCACACATTAGATCCTTGTGTCGTCTTGTCAACGAACCGTTTCCCTGTCGCACTCCATCGTGCCCACTGTCTCGCTTCCTCGACCAAAAACATTTTAAAAACACATAAAATTGGAGTGTTCGAACCTCATCAATATCGCCGCTTCATTTCTTTTCAGTTTTGATATTCAACGTGTTTTATGATTACAAAGGCGTGTTGGGCTACCTGACATTTTACTCCCTAGAGATTCAAATTAACATTCTCATTTTGTTTTGATTACACATTTCTTACTAATTCTTTCAAAGGGCAACTCCCAATCATCATCCATGCTGACTGATCATATTCCTTTGTGAATTGGCTCGTTCCACGAAATGATATCGCATAATTAAAGAAAAAAACAACTTTATTATATGATTGACGCAAAAACAGATAATTGGATAATCAAAGACTCATCATTATATCTTCGATATTGAAATTTTTTGGAAGATGAGATGCGAGAAATTTGTTAAAATTCGAATCAAACTATATACATCATTTTAACAATTTTTCGAATAGTTTAAATTTACGAAAATACAGCCGATTTATTTCGCTCATTTAAATAGCAATAGAGAGAAGAAGAGGTGCCACTATATTTTGGATGGTCCCTAATATTAGTTTTAATTAGTTAGTAATCAGCGTTCTTTATAAATCTTTATTATCTTCTTTGTAATTTCGAGGAAACAAGCGAAACATTCAAATAATTTAAAATGAGCTGAATCTAATTTTAAAAAATTATTTATGACGAAATTTGAAGAAAAATTGTTTGTAATTCAAAAAATCAATGAAAAACGTCGGTCGTCACCATCACTCGCTTCTTTTGTTTCCAAAATGCTTATAATCAAATAAAATCAATTTTTAAAACACATTATTTTCTTGCAAATAACTTTGAAAAAGGATTGTATTTCTCAATGCATTACGCACAATTTTTCGTAGCAAAAACATCGATTAAACACATAAAACGCCTTCTTCAACTCCTTTTTTCTTTCCATCATCATTTTATTTATTTCTCGCAAAAAAACGGTGTTGTATGGCTAATTCGATTGACAACAATTTTTTCGAGGCAAAAAATGTCGATTGAAACGCATGATTTTGCAGGCAGTTGATAAGTGTTCAAAATGGGCCACAACAAATTCATGGGAGATGGTGTGATCATTGAGGTAAACCCAATAGCATTGAATTGCCAACATCGTTAATGTTCAGAGCAAACGAAACAACCTCGTCGTTCGCTCAGAGCCCGACCGTCTAATTCATTTCACACTCAAAGATCTGAATGAATATGAGCCATTCGTCAAGAGCATGTTCGAAATCTTCCAGGTTGACCACTTTTTATGCGTTCTGCAACTCAGCTTTTTGTTTTTGTTCAGAAAGGTGAAACCGTGGTTTTCTCGGCCAAAAGCCACCAATTTATTGACAGGACTGAGTACACGGCGGTCGCCGTTTGTCCGAAGAGAAGGCTCGAGAGAATGGTGGGAACGATTCGCCACGTGGCCGACACGTAAGATTAAGTACAAAACGCAAGATGGAATGAGCGAAGAGTTTGCAGATTCGTCACGATTGAGAGTGGCGATCGCCGAATCTTCGCTCTGAAATCGGTGAAGGATTTAGATAATGATGTTGTTGAAATTCGCGGAAAAAACATGGTTATTGGTGCAGCCGTCAAATTCAAGGTGAAATTCAAAAATCGAAATTATGCGGTTAATTCGAATTCAAATATCATCACAATTCCAACAATTCCATTGGCTTAGGGGAGAAACTCGCAAACCTCTAGCATAACTAGTTTTTGTTCTATCATTTATGATATAAAATGAGTAATAATTGTAAATATGAGAAAAAATGTTCTGCATTGGCTAAAAAAATTAGTTTTATAAAATAAGCATTATGTTTCTTTTGAAAAACAAGCTAGAATCATTGATATTTCTTATTCATTTAAATATAAAAATATATAAATGCCGCCAAAATAATGTTTGCCGTCGGGTGGGCGTGGCCAACTGCGCTGATTGGCTCGTTTTTCATGACCGCTTTTCAGGCATTCAAACAACCATTAAATAATGGCTGTAGCTACATTGCGTGGAGTCTTCGTGTTGACAACAAATCCGAGTTGGAGATTCGACCGGAAATTCCGAGAAAAATTGGCGATTCATTCGGTCCAGTGTTCGGACCAGCCGATCTGCCGCCGATGTTGTACGAACAGCAGGGGATATGTTTTCAATTAAAAGAGAAACTTTTTGTGTACTCTCCGGTAATTTTGAATGAAAAAGAAAATGACGGTTCGTTTCAAATCGAAAATTCGCAGATATCTGGAGCAGCCGTCATCGAGAATGCGCCGCCGTTTGTCGAGCCTTTGCGCTTCATCCAGTACTCGGCAAAGAAGAGAGCTGTGTCGGACACGCGCGAAGTCGCTCTTGTCGCCGAGAGTATCATTGACTTGGGAGAGGTTCGAATTGAGTCTTCCGACTAAAAAAAACCATTGCTTCTTTCATAGGTGTTGCCGATTTATGCCGATACTCTAAATGTCAAACTGATGGTTTTGACGTACGTGCCAGACCGCAAAGGAACTTATGCGTGGAACGATTTATTGGGTTCGCTACTCATTCGTCTACAACATCGAGTTCCAAATTCTTGTAGGCGTTGTTTTTATCCCGGCGGCATGCAAGCTAACGGCTCCAGCTTTCGGAATCATCGACGCCTACGTTGCATATGATAGCTATCACATGTGGCGCGTTCGAGATATTATCACTGAGCTGATCGGAGACGAAGCAGTTGAGTGCAGAAGACATATATGCCAAAGATTGAATACGGTCGATGGAGCGATTATCAAGCATGTTCACCAGACGAAGGGCAAAGAATTCTCCGCGTTTTTTGCGGTCGATGGAAGCGAATTGTATGGCGAGTCTGTCAGCTATAATGGAGATTTGAGCAAATTCAAAAAGGACGACTCGAAATATAGGTGACATCGTTGCTTGGGAAAATGCCTAGAAAATCGTTTTCAGATGCACTTATTTCTATCAGACACAAAATCAGAAGCATTGCTATAAAATTTTAATTTGGACTAAAATTGCTCCGAATGGAGTTACGAGCAAACGTCACATTCTTCTCCAGTCAGATGAACATCGGGCACCGATTCCACAGCCATTTGTAAGAAGTTTGAAGCTAACATTCGTTGAGCATATGATTCAATTCAAGATCCATCAAACACCGCCAAAGCTAGTTGAACATGATTTCCCGCAATTTCATGACGGATTGGAGGAATACATCAGAGCGAGACCGAAGGTAGATGCTTCGCAATCGTATTTCAACGATAGCGATGATGAAATTGAAAAACCTCCGTCGACACTGAAGACGGAAAACCAAGTGAAAGAATCACAAGAGGAAATGGCGGAGGCAGGACCAAGTGCTTGGGATCTGGAGCACGACGGAACTGAGAACCCGGGACCATCGACGGCGGCATTCGACGATCGAATGATTCCTGTCCCGGCGAAAAATGACAATTTGTTCGAATACAATGAAAATCTTGGTCACTTTGTGCTTACGATGTGGTCCCCAGACTTTTTCAACAATATGGATAACCAAATGAGCGTTTCGGAAATGACCGCCAACGCGGATCCAGCGAGTCCGAATAAAAGAAATTCGAATGATGACACCGCAAGCGCGATAGGTTTTAACAGGTTTGCCATTATTTATCGAATTCAATTTGCTATTTTCGCGCTAAGAATGAATTTGTCCGAAATTGTTCGAATTTCCGACGGTTTCCTTTCTTCGACAATCCAAACCAAAAGTTTTCTTTTTATATTCATTTTAATATGATTGTAATTTTTTGGCCTCCCTAAATCCATTAATTCAAATTACTAAACATTACTAAAATAAAGCACTTACTTCAATTTGTTGAGGAGTGTAAATTAACTGTGGCGAATAATTTCATGTTCCAGCATATCCAACTATTTCAGATTTTCGCCTACTTTGTTTCATTGGATGTTGACCGACTTCAAGATATAATTTCTTCATCATACATAGTGTAATTGCATGTTTTCGCTTAATTAATATTATTACTCATTCTCCCCTTTCTAATAAATCTATTAACCTCCCCATATCATTTACTATGTCTTCCCATTGGTTTAATACCTTATACCATACCTTTTATTTTTTTTCTCATCCAATTTTGTAGGGTTTTAAGGGAATCGACATGAACGAACAAGTTCAAGACGCTGATTCATCGTCGGACAACACAGTGCAGCCCAATGACGTCATGCACAATGTCCAAGAGAGACTTCGACAGTGAGTTGAGAATGGGCGACTCAAATGATAATATTCAATTTAAGGCTTGAGCAGACTTTGCTCGTCACTCGTTCCAGCCTCGTCAATTGTGTGGGGTGCCAGCATCGCCAGATCGACTTACAGCGACAGCGACTCCAACAAATTAAAGAGAAGATGGACAATTTTGAGCAGACGTTGAGCTTCGTCGATGAGTTCAGCAGATCGGTGTTCAACATGCTGATGGATAATAATAACACGGACGAGTCCGATATGAGCGATTCGGAAATTGGCGAATCGCCAACTCTGGAACTGCCGAATCCGCTGATCATCAAGTGTCCGTTCTGCGATGAGCCTCATCATGCTATTGAATGCAATGTGTAAGTTTATCATATCATTTATTTCAGTGTCATTTCAAAAATGATTCGTTGCAGCTTCCCATCAGCCGTTCTTCGCCGTCATATGCTCGTCCAAAAGGAGCTGTGCGTTCGCTGCTTCGAGCACGACATCACAACCGGCTGCACCAAACAGCGGCCTTTGTGTGTGCGCTGCGGCGAAGGTCATCATATCTCTCTCTGCATTCTTCAATTCCCCTAATAGTACCCAAATATCTTGAAAAAACCATGACAATCGCCATATTTATTCGAAATATAACCAATACATATTTAAGTCAAACAATTGAAGTCTAATAGCCATCAAAAGTGCGAAAACTTTTTATTAATTAAAATAATTGTATTTGAATGTACTCATCATCCCATAGAACATTCTATTTTGTTTTAGGAACTCTACAACCTTTGATCTCGATTTAAAATTAATTGATTTCCGCTTTTCCTTGACCATCTAATATTGTAATCTTCAACAAATATTCCATGACTTAATTTCAGCATCGTATTCAGTGATATCTGCTTAACATCATTAATAAACTACTAATATACAACAAAATTGTTGCGTCTACGAGATATATTAATTGGAGAAAATTGCTAAAAAAGAACACTCAAATTATTTTTAACGTCTGTTTTATTCTGACATCTTTATTTTACAAAATAAGCAGGTTCCGGTTAATCGGGACCGTTCTTAGTATCATTTCCGGATATTGTCGTTTCGAGAAAATTACTAAAGAAACAAAAGGCCTCAATCTCACCCCGACGGATTCAGGTAGATGTTTTTCAGAAACGGATTACAGAACTTTTCGAAATTCGTACTCCATATTCAAAGTTAAACAAAATTCGCACGCGTCAAAAAGATACGAACTAATGGTTTTTCGTAATAACATTTATCAAAGGGTTCAATATTTTGAGGCAACGTCATGAATGATAATAGAAGTCGTATGAAAACTTGAAACTTATACTGAAATCAGAAGCCTTCAAGTTTCTGAATTGCTGTTTTCGAACTATTTTTTTGTTACAAATCCTTGCTTTTTACAATAATTGTATTTTGAACGCAAATTACATATTTTGTGGTTTTCTGGCGGTTCTAAATTCATTTAGAATACGAACACCTTATAAAGGACCATCATGTTAGGCGAAAAGCGAAATTTTCACTTTAATTATGCGGTGTTGGTCAAACTATAAGACTTAAATTTACTTTTTTATATACAGTAACAAACTGACAGTATTATTATTACTCCCACTTCCCCCAGCAATCCGAAACGCGCGACTTCGACTTACCGTTCCGGTTGCTTCACCAACCTTTATACAGTAACTTGTATTATTTAAAACTAGTTTATATGGTTTAAGGTTCACCAAAATCTTGAAATTTAATCTCGTCAATAATGAAAAAACCAGTAGAATGGAAAAAAGAAAAACATAAAAATTTTGAATTTAGAACACCTTTCCCAATAGCCAATTTCCAGGCGCATTCTCGCCTTCCGATGTGAAGAATACCTTTCAAAGCGAAACGAAACACTTATAATTAATACTATTCACTAATTGGCCCTGATGATTCTGAAAATTTGCAGGATTATTGGCATCAGATTGCACTCGTATACAATTGCGAATTTGTCGAAACATTCGACGGCGTTTTCGCGAGAAAGTAATCATTTTTTGATTTTGAACTTTTCGCTCTTTGCTCGAATTGTCCGCGTCATGTGGCAAAACTTCATTGTCATGTAATTCATTAATCACTCACCTTCGGGCTCAGGAATGTCAAGAGCAACAACTGGCTGGCCTAGATGAGGTCACAAACACACTGTCTCAGGTTTCTCCTCGAGCACGACTCCGCCTCTTCGAGACACTTCTCAATGTTTTGTTGGATTTTTTCGTGTTCACAAATGCAATGTTTTGTCACATGCCATCGTCGTCGGTATACGTGTGTAGTTCTCATGAGATTTACGATCATATGAGTTTGTATAATCGAAGCAAGCTCATTCATTCGTTCGTTTCGAACTCACACCTGTTGTTTTCACTTTTTTGCGTGACATTTTGTCGGCGGCTCTTACAAGCTTCAGTTTTTGATTTTTACCTCGTCCAGCAGACTCCGGACATTTTTTTTATTTCCACTACCGCTAATTTATCGCAGCAACAAACAATCAACCGAATTTTACCCTAAAAACGTCCGCAGATGGTTAAAATGAAATTTCTCTTGTTACAAAGTTTTACAAAAATCGTGGTCATCCACATTGTCGTTTACAGTTAAAACATTTCTGAGAATTTTTTACCAATTCAAACTGATTTCAACGACACACCAAATAGTTTTGTGACAGCATTTAAAAATGTAGAATTTTTCTCTCAATAGTTGTCAAGCATGATTTTGCTGTCACTTCCTCATTTTTTTCCGGATGCTCATTTAGCACTGATGATCAATTTAATACGATTACAAAGTGCGAAAAAAAACTCAATATTCGTTTTTTTTTATTTTAAAAGTTTCCCTTTTCCTATTTTATTGTAGTCTCGAATGCCTTATCACTTGTGTGTTTTGACCTGGCCACTCTGTGACCCATCCATCAGTTTCTCAACAATGTGTTTATTTTTAGACACGATGCGAAACACGATGCCATCGGCACCTGTCGGCTCCGGCGAAAAATTGCTCGAAAGAAAATGGACGTATGCGTTTACCACGTTCTTTGGTTCGTCTAATGCTCTGCGTTTATTTCAACCGCATTTTCAGATCTCAACCATAACGGCGTCATTGAATGGAAAGACTTCAAGGATCTGATCGATGTGATCGGACAAGTTCGAGGGAAAAAAAGCGACGTCTATGTGATTGCTCGTCTTTGCTTGCCCGACATTTGGGAGAAAATGACGGAGGCTATTGGAAAAAACGAGGAAGAGACGGTATGCGCTGGTCTCTGGAATCGCCTTCTAATCCATGGATTTTCAGATCACCTTGCAGGATTGGATCAACTTGTGCCGTAAGTCGAGAACATCGAAAAAGGAAACTGCTTGGCAGAAGGCATATGTCCAATATATGTTCAAACTTCTCGATGAATCTGGTGACGAAATCACGCATTTTCCAGTTCAACGAGCTATTTCAGGTGATCATTTTGTTGATCAGGCCGAATATGTGCAAGTTCTCGGATATTTCGGAATTTCTCGCGAAAACGCCGTCGAATGTTTCGACAAATTCGCAATTGTATACGAGTGCAATCTGATGCCAATAATCCTGCAAATTTTCAGAATCATCAAGGCCAATTAGTGAATAGTATTAATTATAAGCGTTTCGTTTCTCTTTGGAAGGAATTCTTCACATCGGAAGACGAGAATGCGCCTGGAAATTGGCTATTGGGAAAAGTGTTCTAAATTCAAAATATTTATGTATTTCTTTTTTCAATTCTACTGGTATTTTCATTATTGACGAGCTTTGATATTTAACAAACTTTTATTATTCAGAAACGAAATAACAAATTATTTTTTTGAATGAATGTTACGATATTGACCCATTATTATACATTCACGATATTACCCCCATTTCGGCGTATCTGAAATGAAAAGAAAATCAAATAAATAATTAAAAACGAAGTTAAACGCTGCTGACGAATTTACCCATTCTCTCATTACTGCGCTTGTACGGAACCTACTCCTTTTTCCAATTCACGTATGATCTGCCGGCTCCGGCTTTAGGTTGTTTGAGAACCGGCCCTTTTGTCAGTAGCTCCTTTATAGCCATCAACACTTCCTCCTGTTTGCGCTTCTAACGCCATGGCGTTTTCGCTGCTGTTAACTAGTGAATTGGTGTCGCAATTTTGCTATACTTGTTTTATAAGAATACATTCTGTCCACTGGAATTCCATTTGAAAGTATTTTTCAAAAATATGTTCATAATCTATTCTCCCTGTAATACCGTTTTGCCGTTGGGTCTATTAGAAACCACCCCCCCCCCCCACTTTTTGACCCCTCCTTTTATTTACGATACCACTCCCCACTTTTTTATCCTCAATTTTTGGGTTTCACCCCCACTTTTTCACTGAACTTCAAAATTTGCAGTTTCTAACAGCAATATTATGTAAATTAAAGTAAATATTAAAAAAAAATTTAAAGTAAATATTATCAAGTTATCAAGATTTGCAGAATTGATGTCCAACTTTGATTTTTCAGGGCCAATGTTCAATGACTCATACTTTTTGACTTGACTCATGATTTTTGACTCATAAAAATTGTATCATGATTTTTTATTCTTTGACTCATGGTTTTTGACTAGTGATTTTTGACTATTTTTTTTTTGACTAACAATTTTTGACTAATGATTTTCTGAGAATATACATATTATCGAAGTCAAACGGCTTGACGAAATGTAAGCAAATATCGGCTATGTGCCAATGCGTCTCGAGGCAGCGAGATTGCGTACATTGCATTATAGCGTACGCGCATTTAATATTCAGTTAACAAAAAATTTAAATCTACACTGAATTCGTGAATATTAAATGCGCGTACGCTATAATGCAATGTACGCAATCTCGCTGCCTCGAGACGCATTGGCACATAGCCGATATTTGCTTACATTTTATATATATATATATATATATATATATATATATATATATATATATATATATATATATATATATATATATATATATATATATATATACTGCAATAAAACTAGTTGTTCGGCTGATAGAGAAAATTTGGAAATTTGCAGCAGGCAGTATTGATTTCTTTTCCTTGATTCACCCAATCGAGCAATCAATGAATAGTAAACTAAACGTATTTGAAAGAACATAATTTTTGTGGGGGTCCAGGGTGGTTTGGAAATGTTGCTTGTTTTCAAATTCTTAAAACCGACCAAATGAACTTAAATGATTTGAAGTAATCAAATACGTTTAAAAAAAATAAATTTATTCAAAAAAAACCGAAATTAATTAATTAGCGTGGAGAAAAGACAATAAAACTGGAAAAAATATACCAAAAGATACAGAAGTAGAGAATCGAATGTTGAATCTATCAAATAGTGCTGCCAACGCACGGAACCTAAAAAATTATTTATTAAAAAACTGTGAGAAGTGGAGTAAACATCGAAATTTGCGGAAAAATTAAAATCCTAAAAATTAATGAGAAATAATTGAAATTTACGCAATTTCAAGCCTTAATTGCCGTGAATTTATAATAAATAGACTTAAAATTGAACTAGAAACATTTCAATTAATTTCGAAGCAACTAACTGCAAAAAGTGGCAAAAAAATTTAAAAAAAAAAAAAAAGAAGAAATAAAAAATGACAGTTAAAGACGCAGCGTTACGGTAACATTTTCTCAAATGTGCACAATCTAAAAAATTTAATTAGATAAAAATTAGTTAATCTTTTCGCTTTTCTATGTTTTTCCTTTTTTTTAATCTATGTAGAATATTTTAACTACAGTCTTTGAAAATGAATTTATAAGTTTTTATAAATAAAACACGTTGCAGTTCATTATGTAAGTAGTTGTGGAAAAAATACACGTGGTTGGTACGGTAAGCTCGGTGTGCATTTTATACCGTTGTGTTTACAGATCGTTTTCGTTTTCATGTTTTTATTGCTATCAATCCTAAATTCTCCGTTCATTCACTATTTTTCGTGCCGTAATTCTTAGTTACATGCTGAAACTACATGTCAGATGAAATTTGTTCCGTTTAACTTTATGACACTAATAAATCACTTTCAGTCGCCTTCTCGGAAAACTTCACATTTGGTTTTGTTATGTCTCTTCAATCTAAAACGGATTATTTGAAAAAGCACGAAGCTTTAGGCTTGCTCTTGTCCGACGACGAAAACGTGATTCGGTGAGTAATTAAGTTGAAAAAATTGAATTTTATAGATATTGGCGCATGCAAAAATTCAAAAATAGCTAACGCGTTTGGTCATTCAAATTTGTACAATTCGTCCTTCTTCGACAATATTTGTATTTTATAGATATTCGATATCGATGAACGAAATCAAATCGAAAATTGATGGAACATGGATTGGTTCAAAATATTTCATTATAAAGAAGGACGCCTTGTGTGGCCTAAGTGCGATGAACGATGGCCTCAAATGGTCAAGAAGGGAAAAAGGTTCATAATATTTTTGCAATTTAAATTATTTATTTTATTCTTCTAGGAAAAAAGAAAATTGCTCCCATTTATATTTATTGGAACCAAGAATACGAAAAATACCAAGTAATTAAATGCGAATACGTGGAAAACCCCGATCTGAAAAAAATGGTATTTGTTATTTTGTGTATTTTTTAAATTATTAGTTTTAGATAATTCATAAGATTGGCGGCGAAATTTTTTTAATCCAATACATTAAAAAATCTCCGAACATAATTCTTATTGAGGAGCCTTCGAGGCTTTCAAGTAAAATTTTGCCTACAACATTAAATAAATTTTTTTTCAGATCAAGAAGCTCGGATAATTCGAGAAACGCTGAAGGGGCGTACGGTTGACTGCACAAAAAAACAACTTTTGGATCAAGGTTTTAAATTTAATAAGAAACAGGTAAATATGGCACATATTTAAAATAGAACTATTTTACTTTAGATTCGGAATCAAGTTCGGTATGTGCGCGATGCAGTAATCGGGAAACGAGGCCCAAAACGAGTGGCAACCCCATATCAACTGTCAAGTATTTCTCATAAAATTCCAGATTGCAAGTTTTCGATTGAAAATTGTATGTTTCATTCACTTACACTTACTTACTTTTGGGTTTCATTAAATTCTGAAAATATTTTAAGGTGATGGAGATATATCGGAATGTTTGTCAATAATAATCCGTGAAAACTGTAACATTTATTTGAATTCCTTGCCAACTGAAGACGAACTAGTTCAACATCGCGAAAAGATTGGACAATTATGTGACGATGGACCGCTTAGTTCGATTCAAAAATACTTGGGTATGATAGCCATTGTTGTATAGAATTAGATATTATTTTGAATTTTGATAGACGATTGGAACAGGAAGGAAAAAGATGCATACATGTTTGAAGGAGTTATATTCATTGATACAACATTCACACTATCGGATCTTTTTATAACTATCATTGGGACTGCCTCAAAACAATTCCGGTATAATCAAAAATGAATTTGAAAAAATAGTTATCTTTAGAACTCGAAGTTCCGATAAACCCCGATTTCTTGTTTTGGGAGTTCTTTTCCATTCTAGAAAACATTCCGCAAGTCATTCGTTCCATGCGCAGCATTTAGAATCGATTTTGTCTCAGCTTGAGCCAAAAAAGTTAAGAAAAACTCCTGCAATTATTTGTGACGGTGAATCTTCATTCTCCGTATATCGCCAGGTTCTTCAATTAACTCATATATCTATTTCAAGAGAGAACTATAGACTATTTCCGCATTCGACCACGCACAAACTCTTCGTTGTGAACTACACAGATCAAAAAATTTGGCAGATAGTGTGAAATCTAAGGATTCGAGTTATAGTCGCAGAATAGTCCGAATGGTTTTTGGACAAGTTTAAACATTTACATTCACTTTTTCAATTAAAATTACGAGCCTACAGATGGGACCGAACTACTTGAAGACTGGACTTCTTGGAGCTTTGAACATACAAGACTATCACCGTCGTCTCGAATTGTTTGAGAAGACTTGTGATGATGATGGCGCAAAAGCTTGGTATTTTCAATATTTTAAATTTAAATATTAGGCAACGATGAAATACGATTAAAGAAATGCTGGCGTTTCGAGGAAAAACATTAAAATAGCATATTAACTAAAAAAAAAATAAATCGTAATAAATGAAAGAAAAACGAATTTTTTAAATTTTCTTTTTTTTTCTCCTTTTTTCAGGGTACGTCGAAATTTCGATAACCTTTTCGATTGCAATTCCTTGCGGAGCCGATTGATTGCTGGTGTTATTCAACCCTTTTTATCGTCGAATTCAATTGAATGTTTCAACTCAATTTTGGCTGAGCTGATAAAATCGCCGTTACGTGCTGATGATGCTTGTTTGAAAATTATGGAGTTCTTGAAGGGTAAATTGCAGTAGTCGTGAGTATTTCATTATATTTTCAGACGAAAGCGATCGCTATCATCGATCTGTGATAGATTACGACGAAGTCGTACGATTTGAGCATCAAGAATTGTTTTCAAATCTCCGGGAATTCGAAAAAACCCAATTTCTAATTAAATTAGGGTTTCGTGAAAGACCAATCTTAAAACTACCTCTTATTTTAGCCCAAGGTATGTGCTCACCAATCTCTGAGGAAATTCTTATTTTCAATTTCACAGACAATCCTGATTCGCATGTTGTATGGTTACACCAGCAGGTTCAGAAATTCAAAATAATAATGTATGAGGAAGGTTTTATAGTGAAGTCAAATGAGTATGTTTTTACTGGAAATTTTGCTGGAGAACTTCCGAAACTTTATTTCAGCAGTATTGTCGATGTGAAATCTTCGGACAATCGCATAGGATGCTCCGATATGAACTGCAAGAGACGATTCCCAAAAATATGCCAGCATTTGTAAAAAAAAAAATTATCTTTCTAACCTTCCAAAAAATTTTAGATGGGCTGCGGTTTGTTCTTTAACGGAAAAAGAAAAAGAGGTAGAAATCGAAAAGATTGCCGATGAAGCACGCAAAGTTAGTTTGAGAAAAAGGGTAACATTGAGTAGGCCAGTATTATGTGGAAGAAAAGCTCCAATGCGGAAGAGAACAAACAAGAGTAAAAATAATGGGCGAAGACTTTTGCAAGATTTATCGCTGTAAGTTGTTTTCAAATATTCGAAGTACGAACACTTTCTTTCAGCATGACAATGTACAATGATAGTGAAGACAGTGTACTTCAAAACAATGAATCCAGTGTAAATTTGTCTTCTTTCACCCCAACATTGGCACACAAAAGGTAATTGACCGTAGTAACCAAAAGTTGGACCAATATTTGAATTTTTAGATATCGAGATTTTGAATCTGATTCTGGATCAGTTTCCAATATTTTGGAAACATCAACACAGATTTGGACAACTCCAAATGAAAATAAAAGGTAATTGACCGTAGTAACCAAAAGTTGGGCCAATATTTGAATTTTTAGATATCGAGATTTTGAATCTGATTCTGGATCAGTTTCCAATATTTTGGAAACATCAACACAGATTTGGACAACTCCAAATGAAAATAAAAGGTAATTGACCGTAGTAACCAAAAGTTGGACCAATATTTGAATTTTTAGATATCGAGATTTTGAATCCGATTCTGGATCAGTTTCCAATATTTTGGAAACATCAACACAGATTTGGACAACTCCAAATGAAAATAAAAGGTAATTGACCGTAGTAACCAAAAGTTGGACCAATATTTGAATTTTTAGATATCGAGATTTTGAATCCGATTCTGGATCAGTTTCCAATATTTTGGAAACATCAACACAGATTTGGACAACTCCAAATGAAAATAAAAGGTAATTGACCGTAGTAACCAAAAGTTGGACCAATATTAGTATTCTTTTAGAAGTCTCTCAAACTTCGAATCGAGCTTAACGATGTCTGGAGAAAAAGAAAAATAAAAAAACTACGGAAATATTCGCCCATTTTCTGATGTCCACCATTTCATTATATAATTTTGTTTTTTGTTAATAAAAAAATCCTTTTTGGTTTGAGTTAATGTACAAAAATTTAAATAATATTGCAATTCTCATCAGACCAGAATAATTTTAATTTATTTAAATTATTTAAAAAATTCTCAGAAAATCATTAGTCAAAAATTGTTAGTCAAAAAAAAAATAGTCAAAAATCACTAGTCAAAAACCATGAGTCAAAGAATAAAAAATCATGATACAATTTTTATGAGTCAAAAATCATGAGTCAAGTCAAAAAGTATGAGTCATTGAACATTGGCCATTTTTCAGAAACTATGTCGAGAAGGCGAAAAAGCAAGTGATGAACTATTTTCGGAAAGCCCAGTTCAGAAAGATTTCGTAAACGTGAATCTATTCCAACAAATTTCAATGTTTCAAGTGTCCAATTATGTAATTTAATCTCAAGCTTCTTAGCAAGCCTTGCGCAAATCAAATACTTAAAAACAATTGTGGCAGCCAAATAGGCTTAAATTTTTAGTACAATTGAACACGTTTAAGAATTATAAATTTATTTTAGAAGAACAATATTGTCGCATCCAGCAATGCGGTTTAAAGGCACATAAGCGCAGATGGTATCAGAGAGAACAACTCGAAGTACACTTCGGTTGTAAATGGTATTTGCTTAGCAGATACGAGTTGTGCAAGAACGATAGTACGCCAGAACTAAGGGTAATAAAACGACAGATCAAAGAGGTCCGTAGTGTAAGAGAGCAGACACTACGGACGGTCCAATCAGAGAGCAGGACCACGCCCACTGGTATCAGGAAACCAGTATAAAAGGGCTGATCTGGGCTAGTTCTGGGCTCACTTGTCTCACTGGTCTCACTAGTCTCACTCAGGCTCACGCTCGAGGTCTCAACAGCTCACGTTCACCGCCGTCTCATCTACTCTCCTCATCTACTCTCCTCAGCCGCTTCCATCAACAACGACTACGACACCCGCGGACTCGTCGGTAAAGAAGCGCATCCTGGTCGCCCCCACACTGAACCACCGAGGCACCACAATATGTATATTGTATTTATTTAATAAAGTTTATAATATACTTCGAGTTTGATTGTATCATCATAGTGTGGACGCCACATTATTTTGGTGCATCGAACAAATTACCGCCAACAACTTCGGGTTGATTGTTCGGGTCCCGCGCGTCTCTAAAGACAATAAGTCGGAAGTGGGTTGTAGCACCTTGTCCAGAGAACCTAACGGTTTTGTGGGTTGAAAAACCACGAAGCGATAGACTGTAAAAAGTATGGAACACTGGACATGCGCAAAGAGAAAGCGTTGTCGGAAAAACTGTGCTATAGGTGCCTAAAAGAAGGGCACGCAGCAAAAGACTGCAAAAAGAAGTCAAAATGTGGAACATGTGAAAGAAACCACAATGAAGCCTTGTGCCCAGAGAGGTTTGACTCAAAGAGTCGAAAACAAGGAAAAGACAAAGAAAGGTCTAATAAGTGGCAAAAATGGAGCAAACCAAAAACGGTGAGAATAAATACCGTATCCAAGGACGAATCAACATTGTTGATGGCGACCGCAAGGGTTTCAAATGGCTCCGGAAAAGGAAAAGAGACAGTTATGGTTCTGGACAGCGGCAGCGAAGTAACATTCGTTGAAGAGAAGCTGGCAGAAAAATTGAGACTGAAATTGCTCGAAGAAAATGTTCCATTACGGGTGGAAGCATTTAATAAAAAACCGGAATCAGTGATATCAAAGATTGTCGAATTTAATTTGACACAAAGTGATGGCGATATGCTAGAATGCTTGGCATACACTATTCCGTCCATAACGTCCAAGATAAAACCCCCTGACAATGTCGAGGGACGAGAAAGCCCAAATAGAAAAAATGGGAATTTATGGTAAAGAGATACCAGAAGAAAAACCGAAACTTTTGATCGGACACGACTTGTTTTTCGCGATCATAAAGATGGGAGAGAAGACTATATCTCTGAATAGTGGCACGACCCTAATACCATCAGTTGTCGGTTACATTGTGAATAAGAACTCAACATACGGAGGAAGAGTTCAGACAGCAAGAGTTCATATGACTAGAACACAAGCTGAGCAGCAAATAGAAACCATGGTAGAACCGGATTCTATGGGTATGTGCGATACGGAGATGTCAGATCAACAGATCATCGACAACTTCAAGCAAACAGTGAAAATTGAAGAAATCGTGAACAATAGACCATTAACATACATAGACTTAGAAGAAGTGAATGGAGAATCAATTGAGATGATACGTTCCACATGGAGACGAATCAGAAATCATCTGTACAAACAATGGTGTAACATTGGTCGACAAGTATCTCAATGAAACAATGAAGTACAGGCTCTGCAGTCATACGTTTTGTCTATCAGACATAAATCCTGCGTTCGTGACACAAATCGCGCTACCAAAGGAGGAAATGATATCCTGGCACAAAATCACTTGGAAAAAGAGTGTTTATTCCGAATATGTGATTATAGAAAAGAATTGCCCACCCAGGGATCAATGTAGTAAGATAAAGTTTTGGATGTGCAAAGACGTTCTCATGAATCCTCATTGTGCTCCAATAACATTTTCAATCATGTGCGGTATATCGTACGTCGCATTGAAATATATCCTTCCGTTGGTGATAAGAGCCATTCGGGCAGGTTTTTAAAGAGAAAAATTTAAATAGAGGACTCTTATAGAGTGATACTATATATCTTTTTTATCAATATGTTATTCACATTATCATTATATTCATATAACCAATTGGTGTCCCAAGTGGTAAAGATGTCGGCATCCAGAGATAAATGGGCGGAGCCCACTATGAGTAAATCCTAAAGGAAACGCCCACAAAAAGGTAATCTCGTCGCTGGGAGAATGCTCCGCAGTAAAAAAGAGTCGAAGAACTCACAAAACCCGGGGGAGTGTCGCATCCAGCAATGCGGTTTAAAGGCGCATAAGCGCAGATGGTATCAGAGAGAACAACTCGAAGTACACTTCGGTTGTAAATGGTATTTGCTTAGCAGATACGAGTTGTGCAAGAACGATAGTACGCCAGAACTAAGGGTAATAAAACGACAGATCAAAGAGGTCCGTAGTGTAAGAGAGCAGATACTACGGACGGTCCAATCAGAGAGCAGGACCACGCCCACTGGTATCAGGAAACCAGTATAAAAGGGCTGATCTGAGCTAGTTCTGGGCTCACTTGTCTCACTGGTCTCACTAGTCTCACTCAGGCTCGACCTCACGCTCGAGGTCTCAACAGCTCACGTTCACCGCCGTCTCATCTACTCTCCTCAGCCGCTTCCATCAACAACGACTACGACACCCGCGGACTCGTCGGTAAAGAAGCGCATATGGTCGCCCCCACACTGAACCACCGAGGCACCAAAATTTGTATATTGTATTTATTTAATAAAGTTTATAATATACTTCGAGTTTGATTGTATCATCATAGTGTGGACGCCACAAATATTAAATCAGAAAAAAAGGGAACAATTAAATGGTGTAAGAAATCGGTCTCTTATCAATAAATTTTTTCTAATTCAAAACGGAAAAAGAGCCTTTTATAGCGTGTGCTTATCTCGCCTTCCATCTTTTCTCTTCCTCACGTCATCCGTGACACTCCCGACTGGAGCTCCATGTATCGGATCCACAGCTCCCGAGCTCGCGCCCTTGCTTCGAGCCACGCCAGCCGTAGGCGCAAGAGCTCTGCGGCGGTGCCTCGTTGGCGCCTCCTTCCTGAGGGACTCCGCTGGCAGTTCCTGGTCTTCCGGCCCTGGAGGCGACGTTTTCGTTTTCGGTGAATTCGGAGCATTGCTTGTCTTGGGGCGTGACCCCGTAGTGCTCTCGTTCTCGGGGTCACGTGTCGGGTCGGCTTCCAGGAAAAACAATCGTTTATGGGGGTATTCCTGTTTCCGCCGGGTTCGTCCGTTGATCACTTGGGCGGAGCGACTTTTGACTTCCGTGATCCAAGCCATCGGCCAATTGTGGATGGAGGCGCCCTCCTGTTCGATAAGGACGACATCGTTGACTTCCGGTTTGAACTCCGTCGTCTTGGTTTGTCGGTGTCCGGTGTCTCCGCGCATGTACGTGTGATTGATTCGTTGTCATCCGGGTCAGCCATGGTTTCGCTCGTTCCCAATAGAGTTGTGAAATGGTGCTCGTTGCCCGATAGAAGCGGTCCACATTTCGTTTGATGAAGTTGCAATCCATTCGGAAGTTCGGTGGTCGAGACGTTCCCGAGCAACTTAAAAGGACAGAACTCATTGCTCTGCGGTTGACCTCCGCGCCGCCATGGCGGGGCTCCGTGAGCCGGTATCGGAATCATGTTCGATAGATGGTGCCTTCCACGACAGCGCTTGCAGCGATCTGGGCAAGTCGTTGCCCGATGGCCTCCTCTAAGACATTGATAGCACAAATCAAATTCTCTGCATCGGTCCTTTCTGCTGGCGTTGTTCGGATAGGTCCGGAACATACTCTGGTGCGTGCCTCATGTTGGTCCTCACGCAGAACGGACATGGCTGCGGCGCTCTGTCGTCGATTCTCGTTCCTTGATCATGTGTTCTCGGCTGTACTCCTTCTGTTCGATGGGGGATGCGGTGATGCGGGCCCGATCCTTGGTGTAGTGTTGTCATTGTTGTCACTCGTTCCTCCCCAGGGATCTGAAACCTCTTTCAACTTACCAAAGAAGGTCCCGAAAGGTAGAGCGCCAGGAGGCGCACGCCAACGAGTGCGATCATCGTCTTTCGGTCGAGGAAGCTGCTGCCCCGGACGAGTGCGCTCCCGTTTCGGCCGACGTGGCGACCCAAGCGGACATCGGAAGCCCTCCAGCGAAGAAAACGCGGTTTGGAGTGGATCGTAGAATCACTCGAGAAGAGCTCGAACATATGATCGCAGAGATCGAGAGCAGGCCCGATAAGAAGTGGCACCGAAGAACGATGAGGTTACCGTAAGATCGCTGATTACTTTATGACTGATAATCAGAGCCCTTGAAGCGACCGTGCGAGGCGAGTCGGCAATGCAAGTCACGATTGCGTCGTGGGGCAAAACTATCCAGACCGACCGGGGGTCGCTCGGATGGCGACGAACACCAGTCACATCCGGACCAAGACGGTGGAGCTGACACTGGAGGTAGCGGAACTGCGGCGAGCCTTGGGGAGGGAGAAAAAGGCGCACCAGGACGTGTTGATGATGCTTAAACAGCTACGCGAAGAGCAGGTCACCCTTAACAAGCAACTTGCGGCGGTCCTCGCAAGTGCGACTTCGGAACCGAAGGTGACGATCGGCGGCGCAGGACAGCCGGAGAAGGTTATCACCTGCACCTTGTGCTACGAGGACCACAAGGAGGAACTTTGCCAGAGATTCCCGACGGCGACGGACCGGCCGCTCAAGGCCATCGAGGCAGAACTGTGTCTTAAGTGTACCAGGCACCCGGCTCGAGTCAAGTTCCGCCATCAGAAGTTGAGATGCCCGAAGTGTGGCTCGGAAGCCCACTTGCCGGTTTTCTGTAAGAAGGCCTGAGACGGCAACGGAAAGAAGGGATGGTTGTCCCTATTATTAAATTTGATTGTGTTTTTTGTTAGATAAACGTTATCAATAGCAATATGTTGTTGATTGAACTTAAAAGGGAACGAAAAGGTCGTTGACGAACCGGAAAAGAAGGGGCTGACTCTCATCGTCCAGCCGGGGGTGAATAACTGACGACCATTGGATGTTAATCTTGAAACCCTGGGTGGAGCTGAGACTACCATAAGCCGGGGACGATACAGTTGGGTATTAATAGCCCCAACCGCCCCAGACTCTGACTGATAGCAGGTGCAAAGTTCCAGGTCACGGCGGAACCCGACATGGCAGCGAGGTGCCCTGATCAACCGCCACGCAGTCGTGAGAAGACATGGTAATCTCGATAGATTGCCGGCACAGGCACGCGGTCTGGAAGCTGACCAATCTCTAATGACATGGTTAGGCAGCGCGGAAATTCAGCCCGTGTCCGACCAGGTCCGATCGTTAAGGCATGGGAAGGGGGACCACCCATTCCGACCTCGGATTTCCGAGGATCTCAGTATTTGTAACGGAGGCATCGAAAACGTATAAGGCCTACCGAGATAAACTGAGAAATACGGCACTCGGCATACGAAGTAAACGTGAGAGTGTGTAACATCGACCGAAACACAATCCTCTCTTTATTCTTCGGAACCGAGCGAGGCTGAAAAAAGGACGAAGTGGACGAAGACCTTCCGAAGAGGAAGAGGAAGACGAGTCATGAGGCAAAGGAAAGGATCCACCAATCGAGAAGAAACAAGAAGCATGCGAGAATGGAGCCATCGAATGAAGAGCATATGGCGCGAAGCACACAAATCTACCTGAAGGCTTTTATATACGGTGAACCTCTATTGATCTTTATCGGAATTGGATTTTTCATCGTACCCGATTTTATTCTTAATGAGATCAAAGCGCAAATCAATGAAGCAAGCTAAAGACGTTGGTCGTGATGCAATTAGGGACGCTTCGAACGATAAAGACGAGGTAAAATTATAGGAAAATTAAATAAAACACGAAAAAAATTATGAAAACGGAAGGGGAAATTTTCAAAAATTTGTTAGTATGCATTCATAGTCAAAGTGTTTACGGACTTTGTGTACCATACTCTGAATATTCAAAACTGGATTAATTTTTAGTTTTAACTTTTCGGTCTATTAGAAACCACCCTCACTTTTTAACCCCCACCCCTGCTATTCCACCCCGACTTTTTAAACCCTCCTTTTATTTATGATAACACCCCCCCCCTTTTCACCCAATATACCTAAAAACAATTGTGCCAGCCGATATTTCCAAGGGAAGAGCGGGAGGATGTCTCTACCGTCGGCGGCATCCGCGCTGAATTTCTACTTCGGAATAATGGGAGGCGGTTGGGAGAAGTTCAAGTCGGGCATCGTTAGGTGGGCGGCGAAAGAGCGAAAGCTGCTCAGAAGGCTGGCGCAAGCAGCCAGCTCGACGAAACAACTGCGCAAAGTGGTATTAGCAATCCTTTCGTTCGGAGCGTTGCTAAGAGCCTCGGAGGTACTAGGCTTGAAGAAGATCGGGAATGGAAGGACGAAGCTGTGACTCTTCGAATAAGGCGCGCAAAAAAGACCAACTGGGAAAGGGAGCTGAGCTTCAAGTAGGCTCTCAAACTTATTCCACCACGCTACCCATCCCGACCATGATTTGTTGCCGAATATTCATTTGTTTGTTAGCTACCGGCTAAAATGCGTCTTTGCCTCTCAGATAAAACAATAAGAGAAGCAAAATTGAGATTTTCGTGGAATGCAACATAATAGTTCCCTCCAAAATATTCCAAGACGTTCGATCGAGAATGTCCCTTAAGGGGATAATTGAGAATAAAGCGAGAATTTTCTAATCTATCCTACACTTCGAGACAACCTGCAAATTCTCGAACAGGTTGGCTGAAAAAAGGGAAAGGTCGGACAATAAAATAGGGGAATTCTAAACTAGAAAACTAGAACATGAAAAAACAAAAATTCTCAAATAATTCGGCAAAATATGGGGCAAGTGAGGGGTATTATCTACAACGAACTCCATAAATCAATAATACTATTAAACGTAAGTTATTCTTCACTTAAAATTAATAAACAAATGATAGAATCATCGATTAAGTTAAAAAAACGACATTAGTAAAATACATCAAAGTATTTTTTAAGGATACACATTGGTCGGCTTTTGCCTGCTTTTCCTTTTATTATTTTCTTTTTAATCTTTTTTTTTATATTTTCTGATTTTTTTTCTTTATTTTTTCTTATTCTTACACTCTTTTTTTCAAACAAAAGTGGCGAAAACGGGAATCAAAAGGTGTTGAATGGTGCAGAAAACGCTGAATTTCCCTTTGGTGTATACCGAAAAGTGGATTCGCAGTTGGATCGACTGCTTCTTTCTGATGAAAGTGTGACGGTAGAAGTTGGTAAACTGAAAATATAATTTTTGGCGACTATTTTATTATTTTCGGACACTTACATTTGAATAGAATTGGGCCACACGATGAGCTACTTGAATACGAAAATTTTCAGCGCAGATTCAAAACTTGCGAGCGAGTCGATTTATTCCGAAAACTTTTGATTGAAAAAGTCCCTTAAGGGGATAATTGAGAATAAAGCGAGAATTATCTAATCTATCCTACTATTCTAGACAACCTGCAAATTCTCGAACAAGTTGGCTGAAAAAAGGGAAAGGTCGGACAATAAAATAGGGGAATTCTAAACTATAAAACTAGAACGTGAAAAAACAAAAATTTCTTAAAATTCTCAAATAATTCGGCAAAATAGGGGGGCAAGGGAGGGGTATTACGTACAACGAACTCAATAAATCAATAATACAATTAAAAGTAAGTTATGATTCACTTAAAATTAACAAACAAATCATAAATTCATCGATTAAGTTAAAAACGATATTAGTAAAATACTTCAAAGAGTTCAATTAATCAAATATTTTAAGGATACGCATTGGTCGGCTTTTGCCTGTTTTTCCTTTTATCATTTTCTTTTTAATTATTTTCTTTTATTTTCTGATCTTTTTCATTTTTTCTTTTCTTTCCTCTATTAATTGGATTTAAGTGGGAACGGATTGATGAAAATTGGAGGTGTTGTTGAAAAGAACGTCAATTGCCATGTCGAAATCTCTAGTCGTTGGCTTTTCAGTTTTCTGAGCTCGTTGATGTCCAAATTCCAACTTGCGCGACGTTTTGTTTCCATGAATAAACGAGGCTAAGTTGTCTCGTGATCAATTCTCACGAATCATCATCAAATCACTGAAATAAGGCTTTAACTAAAAAAAACGATAATTTCTTGCTATTTGTACCGTAAATGTCCTGTATTTTGGAAAATACAAAAGAGGAAATGAACTGTCTGCATCGCGATTGCGTCCTTTGCCTTTTTTTCCAGTCTTCGAGGACGGGTTGTCTGGACGGAGGTGATAGAGAAGGCAAAAGTGTCTTGTGCAGTCAACTGGAGGCGGAATTGGTTTAGTTCGCTGAAACATATTTAATTATTAAGTAAATATTAGAAGAAAATTTTTACCTTGTCCGACTGCCATCGAAATGGGACCCATATGAATGAGCCTGATCCATTGAGAGGGACCATCTTGCCATCCGACCGATCGGTGGAGGAGAAACCGGCAAGAATAAGCGAATTTGGAACGAATGACATTACGAGACGTGGCACTTCATACGCCACGTCACACGTCATTCGAAATTCATTGAAATTCAATTTTTTTTAATTTTTAATATAATCAAATGGAAAAATTGAAAAACGAGCGAAGAAAATAAAATGCAAGATAAATAATTAAATTGATTATTCGTGCGGAAATTCGGGAATTTCGTGGCCTCAAATCAATAATTAATAAACATAAATATGAGTGGAATTCATTTTTAAAAATTTTGCAGAACGGATAAAAAACAATAGCGTGGTCTAACGGCGCAGAAAGCGGAGTGGCTCTCACGATGCGATGATTAAGTACGGTGCGGGAACGTGCGGACGAGAAAAATAGGGAAAATCGCTGAAAAAATAATTGTTAATAAATAGTTCAAAATAATGCCGTCATATTTTTGCATTTGTTTACCCTATACTGCCGCACTGTTGCACAAATGAATGCGGTCATTGCGTTTATGACCACGCCCACCATTTCAAAAATTTTGCAAATGAATCTCAAATTATTCGCGTATTTTTTCCTTTTTTTCTATTCAAATCATCATTTTGTTTTTTAGGATGTTTAAACTCACATATCGTAACAGATTTTGTTTGAAAATAGTGTTGTGTACGACTGCGATTCAGGGATTCACGGATTTTCTCAGCCTAATCGATTTGTCATCAACACTTACATATTTAAGGTGTTAAAATCGCGGATTATTTTTAAATTATTAATTTTTCAGAATATGAAACACTTGGGTTTTATTTGTCGCCTCATTGTTTTCTTGTGTATCAGCTGACAATTCTATCGGAAATAGTCTATCGACGTATGAGAGGATTTCGCGTCTTAAAAGTAAGCAGTGAAACAACTATCTAAACAATGTACATTTTATAGTTCTACTTGGTCACAAATTTGATCAAACGCGTCACAATTGAAGGAAATTCTTTATTGAATAGCTTGGTTTGTTTTCTATATTTCTCCAAATCCACTTTTTATTTAGGAGATCACCACCTGAGATATTTCATCGGAGGCTGTGAAATGATGAAAACGTGCTATGGAAAAAATAGAAATAATTTATGTATGAATGAGCTATGCACATAAAGTAGTTTTTGATATTCGTGCAATATGCTTTAAAATCTGTGCCGGAAGAAAGAATGTTCTTGAAGATTCGTGGAACCCTGTATTATTTGAAACTTTGTGTTTGCAGATCTGAGTATGTTTAAACACGATTATTATATTATAAGATTTTTATGGAATGTTAATAGAACAAATATTGAATATTAGTAAAACATGAAATAAAAAGACGAAAATTGGAAAAAAAAATATTGAAAGCCACAATTCACAAAGAAAAACTTAATTAGAATAAACGATTGGCATTAAAACAAGATATTAAATATCTTACGAAAAAAAAACCATAAATATTAATTTTAAAAAAGGATAAAGAAAGGGTAATATTAATATTAAGATGGGAACGACCACTATTCGATTGAACAATTGATAATAAAACAAAGTAATTAATAGAAATTCAGATAATCTTGCAAAAAGGAAAGCAAAAAAAACAAAGCGAAACGACAATGATTTTAAGTGAATGGACGCGTCAAATAATAAACAATACCGAACAAAAATAGGGCCGTCAGAACAAGTGTTGAAATGATGATCATGGCTTCTTTGCGGGAGACGTAATCCGCGATACTTACTTTCCCATTGCATTTTGAGAACCTGAAAACAAGAAATTAAAATGTTAATTGAATATTCAGAAAAATTGGGTCTATTAGAAACCACCCTCACTTTTTAACCCCCACCCCTGCTATTCCACCCCGACTTTTTAACCCCTCCTTTTATTTATGATAGCACCCCCACTTTAACCCCCATTTTTATTTTCTTATCACCCTCGATTTTTATTTCCGTACCGGGAAGATTTTCTGTTTTCCATAGAATAGTTCCACAAATATGTGATGTGGGTGTGTACAGAGCGAATTGTACAGAGAGTTCAAATGAGTTTGTCATGAAGTTACAATGAATGCAGAAAAACAGATTAAATTGTAAAATATTTATTGAAATATTATGAAAAAAAAAATCATCAAAAAACACTAACAAAAGTGGTGAAACCCACGATAAAACATCAACATACGGAAAACAGTCGGGAAAACCAATTCGAACTTTTTCTGGGAAGCACAAACGAATCGGGTGACGCAAGACACAGCTCCAAAATTGATTCTAGTCTTTTTTTGGAATAAGTTTTAACTATTTATAATCATCCGGCGATTGAGGAGATAGACTTACGGGCGCGCCTTTCGTCATTATCTCGCCACGTGTGAATTTGAAAACTAGAGAACATGGTTAACATTTTTTGAAAATGTTAGTCCGCGCGTATAAAAGAAGACTATTACATAAATAAATTCTTAATAAACATACGATTGCTTCCGAGTAAGGTCATGCCTAAAATCATAAGGTTTTAGCACGGTACGCCAAGACCAAAAGTTGAAGTTCGTGGGCGTAGTCGATCGCGATTTACAATCGAGACGCGTACACCAGGGCTGTGCGGCAATGGAATTGCCGATTGCCGAAATTGCCGAAATTGCCGATTTTTCAAATTGCCGAATTGCCGAATTGCCGAAGAGAACGTTCGATCGGCAAATTCCCGAATTGCCGATTTGCCGAAATTTTGATTTTCGGCAATTTGATATCAAAAAAATCGGCGAAACCAAAATCAATGTCCATTGAATAATTTGGGATACCGTGAAAATTCGGTATTTATATTTCGAATTATCGTTGAAAACATTTAATAGCCGAAATTTTGATTTTCGGCAATTTGATATCAAAAAAAATCGGCGAAACCAAAATCAATGTCCATTGAAAATTTTCATGAAATAATATTTTCTTTATTATACCGTACCCGTTCCCATCGAAAGTATTAAGGACATACATGCCTGCTCCTTTGAACGAGAAAATTATACGGTAATTAACTTTCGAAAATGATTTTTTTCTGTTATTCTTCCAATATTTTAGAATTTTCTAGATATGAGTCAAGTGTCTCATCTATATAATAATCGAAATGGCTCATTTTATTGTAAATTGTGTTCTTTCTCAACACGAAAAGGTAATTCAGGTAAATTTACTAATGAAAAATAAATGTTCCTAAAATATCGTTTAGGTTCAACGTTTCCTTTGATTTCTCACATCAAAAATCGTCACCGAAATGAATTCGATGAAATTAGAAAACCGCGAAAAAACACCCCAACGTCAAATTCATCAGTATCGCAAATTGCTCCAATTTTCAAAACAGTGGTAATGGATGATGATTGCGAGGAGTCGAAGAAAATAACGCGCGCAATTACTGAAATGATTGCTCTCGATATGCTTCCATTGTCAATCACAGAAAAGTCAGGTTTCCAAAGGTTCATGAGTATAATTAAACCAAAATATCGATTGAAGTCTCGCTGGTCGATAACTAGAAGGGAATTACCAAATTTGCATTCTGAAATTAAAGCAAAAGTTATGGAAGACTTGTCTTTTTCTTCATATGTCGTTATAGGAATTGATATGTGGTCCGACGAAAGCCTGACTCATGAAGTTTTAGGCGTTATTGCTTACTTCAAAAAGGAAATTAGTTTGATCTATCGAACACTTGGTGTTTTGGACATGAAAAAAAATCACATTCGGGAGTTGACATTGCCGTCAAGTTAGATAGCATTTTGCTAGAATACAATATTAAGGATAAGGTTGTAGCATGCGTTCGTGACGGTGGTTCCAATATGATTAAGGCGTGCGAAATCCTAAGAATACCAAGTTTTGATTGCCTCAGCCATAAATTGAATTTGGCAGCACAAGATGCTACTAAAAACATTACGGGATTTATAAGAATATTTGAAAATTACAAAAAATTGTACGAAAACTTAAAAAATCTTCTCTAATCCAAAACCATTTCGAGTCAATCCAAAACTTAATTGGAAGCTATCAATGAGCTTACCAAATTCTATACAAATCTTCCTTCATTAGATGAAAGTGATTGGTTAATTCTCAGAAAGACTCATGAACTTTTGGAGCCGCTCTCTGAACAAACAGTCATATCGCAGGTACATTTCAAATCTTTAATTATTTAAATAAATTCCTTTTTTTAAGAGCAGATCCTCTTCGGCAGGAACCGTAATTCCACTTTGCCATTTTTTAATTGTTCAAATGAAAAATTCGTCAAATTTGCACGAAGCAGCCGAAGCAATTGTCGAGCGAATTGAGACCGAACTCAGAAAATATAAGAAAAGCCAATACTTGCGGTTTGCAACAATTATGGATCCACGTTATAAAGTTTTTGTACGAAAAATTATGGCTGAAATAATTGATATTTTAGATGACGTTTCTTGACCAAGAAACAAAAGAGGAGTTCATTGAATACATATCTTTGAAATATAGCACACATAATTCTTGTAAGATCTTCTAAACAATAAAAACTAAAACTTAATTTTCAGTGAGCGATGACTGCGCGATACTTGAGAAGGAGCAACCACCGGCGAAAAAGCAGAAATCGTCATTTGAAGCTTTCATCCAGGTACGAATGGCTCTATAGTTATCAAAACTCTAAGCATTATTGATTCGCCTTGAATTTTTATTGATTCATAAAAAATTTAAGAAGGAACATAATTTTACAACTTTTATCTTTTCAGGCTGAAATTGGAAGCCAAATGTCAACGACCAAATACTGTACAGACAAGGAATTAAATGTAAAAGTCGTGAGTTTTTGATTTTTTTTTACTTCATTGAAATTTATTAAATCACAGGAAATAGAGAAATACTTGGCCATTCCACCTGATGTTACGGTTGACCCCATGAATTTCTAGACGAATGGAGCTACATGTTCTGATTTTCCATTACTTTCAAGGGAGGCCGAAAAATATTTGATATGTCCTTCGGGTTCAGCAGAAGTTGAACGAGTTTTCTCGGCCAATGTTCATTGACTCATACTTTTTGACTTGACTCATGATTTTTGACTCATAAAAATTGTATCATGATTTTTTATTCTTTGACTCATGATTTTTGACTAGTGATTTTTGACTAATTTTTTTTGACTAACAATTTTTGACTAACGATTTTTTGAATTTTTTTAGTTGAGATTCCTGCAGTTTTTTTCAGTATTCAATTCTGTTTTTTTTTGGCCAATATTGATGGGTAAGAAGCTGGAGGGTGGGAGGAATTGGGAGAAATGTTATTACTGAATGGGGGAAAGATTATTACTGAAAGGAAAAAAAGTTCTTTTAACTTCTGTAAGCATAAAAAATTGTTCTTTTTTGGCATTTCATCGCTTATCGATTTCAATGAGAAGCTTAATCCCAGCTAAACGGATCCACCGAAGGAATCGATTGTAACATGAAACGAATATCCGTAGTAGGCCAAAGGATATGTACGATTTGATATTTTTTAGTAGTCTCCGTTAGTTTAATGAAAATAACTAAACACAGTTTTTATTCGATATCATTGAGCGTGAATAAAGGAGGGAAATGGATGGAATAACGCGATAAGTGATTTTTTATTAATTTGTTTTGCAAATTATTTTAGTTTATACCGTCAGGCCTGTTTTAAAACGGCATAATTTTCGATTTCTAATCAAAATTCAGGAAAAACGGTATATTCAAAAAAATAAGACATTGTTATACTTTGAGAAGTTTTTTGAAGGCTGTTTTGTTAGAAGTATCATTTTGATAAAGGTTTAACGGTATAATGGTCTATCGAAAATTTCAATGATTGATTAATTTTAAAAGTTATTAATAAATATGATATCGAATAAAAACTGTGTTTAGTTATTTTCATTAAACTAACGGAGACTACTAAAAAATATCAAATCGTACATATCCTTTGGCCTACTACGGATATTCGTTTCATGTTACAATCGATTCCTTCGGTGGATCCGTTTAGCTGGGATTAAGCTTCTCATTGAAATCGATAAGCGATGAAATGCCAAAAAAGAACAATTTTTTATGCTTACAGAAGTTAAAAGAACTTTTTTTCCTTTCAGTAATAATCTTTCCCCCATTCAGTAATAACATTTCTCCCAATTCCTCCCACCCTACAGCTTCTTGCCCATCAATATTGGCCAAAAAAAAAACAGAATTGAATACTGAAAAAACTGCAGGAATCTCAACTAAAAAAATTCAGAAAATCATTAGTCAAAAATTGTTAGTCAAAAAAAATTAGTCAAAAATCACTAGTCGAAAATCATGAGTCAAAGAGTAAAAAATCATGATACAATTTTTATGAGTCAAAAACCATGAGTCAAGTCAAAAAGTATGAGTCAATGAACATTGGCCAGTTTTCTCGGCTGCTGGATTAATTTTGACCCCCATAAGGAAATCAATGAATTCAGACAATTTAAATAAATTACTGTTTCTTAATAGGAACCTTCAATTTTATAATTAAATATCAGATTTTTGTTGAATAAAATGTGTTTTTTTTTTGGAATAAAACAGTTGTAATTTTGGCTACCGTGAAAATTCGGTATTTTTATTTCGAATTATCGTTGCCAATATTTTGATTTTCGGCAATTTGCCGAATTGCCGAATTGCCGAAATTTTGATTTTCGGCAATTTGCCGAATTGCCGAATTGCCGAAATTTCCGATTGCCGCACAGCCCTGGCGTACACGTCGCGGTCAAAGCGAAACAGTAAACAACTAGTGTTTAATTTTCGAAATTATTCAACAATATGTATGAAATATCCTCATTCGATTAAATTCAATTGACGATTTTGCTCCTATTTTTGTTCCTACTTTTTTATTACCCGTATCTTTTAATAAAATAATTTAATAAAATTTGAACATAGAAGTGTTCCTTATCTAACTAATGCGTAATGTTAGTATTTTGTTTGGGTGACATATTAAACTCCTGTAAATATGTATACAGGGTGGCTGAAAATTACCCGGACTAAAATTTCGAGTCTTCGTGAGGCGCACTGGTGCTTTTTTCAGCGCAATGTTTTTTTACTTTTTTAATTAGCAATGTTTTTTTTACTATCTCTCAAATTTTCATGATAATTGGTTCGGTTTTAGCAAAGGTTTTAGCTTTTGGCGAAGCAAAATGCAAACCGACCCGCAATTATCGCATTACACAAGTCCGGAATAGGCACATATGCAATTTGGAAGCATCTGGGAATTCCGAAAAGCACCGTCTACGATGCGATTTCTCGTTTCAATCCAGGACCGTGCAGGCATGGGATAAAAATCTACGGTGACGACTTCTTCGAACGCTAAGATCGTCCGAGACAGAATCAGACGAAATGCTCATCAGAGCATCAAAAAGATGGCTCCCGCCCTGAATATGTCACGAGCTTCAATGACAACCATTGTCTAAAAGAAGCTTAAGTTGACTCCTTATTGTGTCAGAAAAGCGGCCATCCTTTCTCAATTCAACAAGCTCAAACGGCACAAAAAGGCAAAACTCCTTTTGGCGCGCGCGGGTTGGGGAACATCTTTCGATGGTCTTTTCGGACGGGAAGCTGTTCACCGTGGAGACCGAATTCAATTCGCAAAAGCATCGAGTGCTTGCCCGAACGTCCGAGAAAGCTTCAGAACTCGGCCGGACGATTCATCGTACGTCGCACCCCGTCAGCGTCATGATCTTCGGTGCCATCTGCTCCTATGGAAAATGTCCTATGATTTTCGTGGAAAAGGATGTCAAAATCGACAAGGACTACTATGTCAATGAGATCCTGAAGAAGAACTTGCTTCGTTGGGCCCCCCAAAAACACTTTGGTGGACAACGATGGGTGTTCCAGCAGGACGGGACGCCAGATCATACTGCAAAGTTTGGTGCGCCAACAATTTTTCCTCTTTCATCAAGTCAACAGAATGGCCCGCCTCGTCTCCTGATCTTAATCCGTTGGACTACTCCGTATGGAGGGTCTTACAGAGTAAGGTCCGTGCTAGGCCCCACCCGAATTTGGACTCTCTAAAGAAAGCGCTGGTCGAGGAATGGGACAAATTGTCGGTGGAATACCTGCGTGCCACGGTCGACGCATATCCGAAGCGTCTTCGCGCGGTCATCAGAAACCGCGGAGATCGAATCGAACAACGATAATCTATTTATGTTTGTTATTGTAAAAATAAACTAACTAATTATGAAATTTGAGTGTGTTTGAACAATTATTCACTGAAATACATTGGTTTTCATATAGTCCGGGTATTTTCATCCACACTGTACCGCCCCTCGTATACATCAGTCGCCGGAAGCTGACTATAAATAATTAACATTTTCGAATTTGAGTCTTCCGAGGTCTATTGTTTCGGTTTTCGACGGTTCATTTTCTACCTGCAAAAAAATTAGTTTGATTAACTCAACTATTTATGAACTTTTTAGCAGATGGAACACGTTAAACGTTTAAAAAAGATATACTAATAAAAATTAACTGAAATTTACCTTCTAGAATGATGAAACGATAGCGAAATTTTCAAAATGCAATTTTGAAAATTGAGTTTTTCGAGAAAGGATATCTGTAAATTTTAATGTAACTGTATTAAAAAATTTTTATGTTTATAATCAAGGTGAATATTGCGAAATTGTGATATTTGAATTAAAAAATCGTGACACACGAAGCAAATTAGAATATAAATAAGTTCTGAGCACGCCGCGGCACACCTTTTTTTTATCAGTGTTGTCCAATTGGTTACCGCACATCTCAGCGGTAACCAATCTCGCCTGTAACCCCCCAGTGCAGGCTGGAATTTTGTGAATACACTCAAAAGACCTTCTAGTTTATGTGTGCAAAATTACAAAAAATCCTAAGACGGAAGGTAAAATGACTTCCCTTGTCAGTCCGTAAACACTGGACGTCTAATTGCACACTGTACCGTACACTGCGTTTTTAATTTCTTATTCTATGGCCTATAAATTCGTTTTATAATTTTTTTTACCATAAATAAAAATATTCTACATAAAAATTATCTAAAAAATAACTTCTTATTTTCGATTTTGCAACCAGCCAGCGTTTTTTTTTCTTAATTACTTTCAACCGAAGTGGAAAATGGTCGAATTTTAATATGTTCCCAAGGTATATTCTAATATAACCAGTCTATTCGCCTATAGCAGCTTTAAAACATTAATTTTCAGTCTGATTTATGTTACTACTGCTTTGAAAAACTTATTTTCCGTTTACTTTTTCCATATATGGTGTCTGATTTTCTCAGATACAGATTTTTTCAGTTATTTCTTATGTCTTTAATGTTTCAACAGGAGACAGTTTCTGTCCAAATCAAAAGCATTAAAGTACATCGAAGACAGCCGATTTTTTCCGTGCGATCTTGACGGTTTGTGTTGTTTTTGACAACAGCGAATGAAATTGGAAGTGTGTTTGTCATATTTAAAAAATCAAATTTCAAAACAAAAACCTGCTTGGGAGACGGCTTCAAGTGGCATTCAGGGAATAAAGGTTTATTTAAAAATATTACTTTCAGTACATAATTTTATTTAGATAAGAAAAAGGTGAAACCTAAAGACTCCTATTGGCTATTCGAAGAATATATATATATATATATATATATATATATATATATATATATATATATATATATATATATATATAT